CTTAACTTAGGCTTAGGTGGCACTTTCTTTTTGGGGTATGGGAGATTGGGAGATTGGGGGGGTTGGGTTTTTGGGGGGTTTTGGGGAGGGGGGACGGGGCCAAGGAAAAACACTGGGATGGGGGGTTGGGTTTGGGGGGGTTGGGGAGGGGAGGGGGGACGGGGCCAGGGGAACGCACTGGGGGGGGGGGGGGAATGCGAAAATTGGGGGGAACTCGCCTTTTTTGGCCACCACGTGTATGGGCCAGGCTTTTTCGTAAGTGCCGCGCCTGTGGCTGCAGCCTTACCAACCGGTTGCTTAGGCATTTGGACTACGTAGAACACGTAGCCAAGCCAGTACTTTTATACTGCAAAGCCGAAGCTTTTCAAGCAGTTCAGAAGCCGTAGCTTTTCTCTAGGCATTAAGGGGAGCCATTCCACCCATTTACAGGCATTAAGGGGAGCCCTGACACCCATTGGTCAGAAGGTTGGGGTGAACCGACTGACGAATTGAGGTGGGGAGGGGTGGACTATCTGTCCACACAGTGGGCCAGGTGGGGGGCTAGTGGGAAAGCGCGACGGCGCCCGGTTCAATTACCCAAGTTTGCGGTTAATTACCCAATTTTCTTATGCCTAGGCCAATGCCCAAGCCTAAGCATAATTTTTCTGAAATTTTTAGAGAAATTGGGGTAAGAATTTACGTTACTTTACCCCCCCCCCAGCCCCAAGGGCCGAGAATTTTTTTAAGGCCACCAATTGGTAGCCCTGGGTCCCAGCTACCATCCCCTGGCCGGGAATTCCGAAAAAAATCAATATGAAAATTTATACAATTAAAATAGTGTTGAAGCGGTTATTCGGATATTGCTTGTTTTTGACATAACTATCTTATTTTACATTGTTTGGGGTTGTGAATAAAACTCTTCGTGTATTTTTTGACGCTCTATCGGGTGGCGTCACAGGAATTCTGTCAAAATGTCGAAAATGTGGAAAACTAGCTTTGCAACGCTGGGTCCCATAGCGAAATCGCGTTTAAATTTTGTTTTTGCTGTAACGATTTTATATTGCGTTATTGTGGGCGAAAATTAAAACCCGTGGTATATTTTAGGATGCTCTATCGAATGGCGTATCGAAAATTTTGGAAAAATAGTAAAAATATCGAAAACTAGCTTTTTTAACCCCATTTTTAGAGGTTATTTTTGTTTTTGCTATAATTACTTTATATTACAATATTTTGAGCTGCCCTAAAAACTCTCGGAGCTATTGATGTGGGGGGGCATCCTTTTTTCGGGCTCAGGCTCAGGTTGGCTATAACATTGCGTCGCTTAGCTTAGACAAAGCTTAGGCCCAAGCCTAGCTTAAGCTTAGGCTTAGCTTAGGCCTACGCTTGGTTTTGGCTTAGCTTAGGCTTAGGCTTAGCTTAGGCCTAGTCTTGGTTTTGGCTTAGCTTAGGCTTAGCTTAGGCTTAGCTTAGGCTTAGCTTAGGCTTAGCTTAGGCTTAGCTTAGGCTTAGCTTAGGCTTAGCTTAGGCTTAGCTTAGGCTTAGCTTAGGCTTGGCCTAGCCCGATTTTAGGCTTAGCCTAGACCTAGCTCAAAATTAGCTTAGGCGTGGGCTTGGCTTGGTTAGCTTAGACTGGGAGACAAGCTTAGGCCGGAAAAACCCTCCAAAAAAGATTCCTTCCCCCAACCTCAATAGCTCCAAACTCTTAGTATATTTTTTTGATGAATGGCGTCGAAAAAATCCCGAAAAAATAGCGTAACTATTGAAAAGTGGTAAAGGTTGCTTCACGGGGGCGTACAAATAACGGGGGTGGAAACAATTTTGTGTATTTATAAAGAATATCCTGCTATTTTGAAAACGCCATCGGATAGAGCGTCGAAAATTATACAAAAAGGTTTAATTTCAGTCAAAAAAAAAACCAAATTTTTAACGATTTTTAATTGATTAAACTTTTTAACTTAATAAAGTAATAATTTTAAATTGTGGTACTTGGGGCTGAAATTAAATCTCTTAGTATAATTTTCGACGCTTTATTCGATGGCACTAATGAAATCCCGCCAAAAAGGATGATCACATTATGGCTATACTTCATGACTGATGGTTTTGTTTTTTAATAACGAATTAAATTACATTATTTCGGGCCGAAATTAATTCGCTGAGTATATTTTTCGACGCTATGCTTGAATTAGCACGACAGGACCCGATAGGGGAAAAATGGTGTCCACCCCCCGTTATTTGTGTCCCCCCGGTTAAGCAACCTTTACCTAAAAACGTTGGGACCCTTGGGCAGGGCGGGAGGAGGGGGTAAAGTGAACCGTAGCCGAAATTGGTCCACTGGAAAGGGTCTTGCGGCCAGTTGTACATTGGCGCAGTTCAATCTATCTAAAAGCCCGCCGCTTCAAGCTTTCAGCTCTAAACTTATAGGAGGGACAGCTGCTGACGTTCCGGATCGGTGATGAAATTTTCAGGAAAATCGAACGAAATACAGCCATTTTAGGGGGCTTGTACCAGATGTCTTCCCCCCGCACCCCCGAAACGCCCGCCACCTGGCCCACCCCGGGGGAGGGGGGTATTTAAGAAAGGTTGGTCACACCCTCGCCCGCGCATGTGTCCTCCCTGAGTCACCGACAAGCCTGAGAGCGGTTGATGAGGGGTACGGCATCCCGGAATCAGGAGACTATTCCAGGTCCTTTCTTCTACCCAAAGGAAGGGATGCGCCGCTCATCTATGTCCCACAACAGCAGCTGGCTTGTCCCGACCACCGTATGCGTAGGGGTGCGTGTATATCGGTCGGGGCGGGCGTAAGCTGTGTAAGGCGCTCCGGTACGGCGGTTCTCACCGTCGGGAACTCTTCTGTCCGATTCTCAGACCACCCACCCTTGAGGTGACGTGCGAGGGATAGGGCAGGCCGGTGATGCAAGGTAAGCTGTACCAGTCGTTTCTGTGGCCACGGGAACTTCACGAGTCAGCAAGGCGGGCGTGAATAGAGTTTTGCTCGCTCCTGCTAGACCAGTTTTTTGTGCTGGATCCGAATTTTGTGTCCGTTTAGTGTGGTTAGCGATCGTTTTTGCGATACCGGCCCCCAACCGACCTACCTATAACTGTGAAGTATGCCTAAGTATAGCCTAAGCGTAAACATAAACTTAAGCCTCATAAGCATAAGCTTATACCTAACAAGGCTAAGCCGCAGCCTAAGCCTAAACCTAAATCCTAAGCACAGGCCTAAGCCTAGGTCTATGCCTATGCATAAGCCCGAGTTGAATTGCAAGCTTCAGCTAAGCCTAATCTTAAGCCTGAGCCTAAGCCTAAGCCTACCTCGCTAGTCGCCGTAAACGTAATCGTCGTATGATCCACCTCTCAGAGGTGACGTACCTGAGTGAGGGCAGGCCGGTGATGCAAGGTAAGCTGTACCAGTCGTTTCTGTGGCCACGGGAACTTCACGAGTCAGCAAGGCGGGCGTGAATAGAGTTTTGCTTTTTCTGGACCAGTTTTTTGTGCTGCATCCGAATTTTGCGTCCGTTTTGCGTGGGTTTTGCGTGCGTATCGTTTTTGAGATACTCTGCCCGTCCAACAGGCTTCTCACCTGTCACCCTCCCTTGTATTTTTTCCACTTTTTCAAAAGGCTTAGGATCGGCTTAGGTTTGGCTTAGGCTTAGCTTAGGTTTGGGCGTTGGCTTGGGCTAGCTTAGCTTACCTTAGTCCTAGCCTTAACTTAGGCTTAGGCTTAGCTTTTTAGGCTTAGCTTAGGCCGAGGCTAAGGCTTAAACTTACTAACGTTATAATCCACGGCCAAAATTCCCAAATGATCTCTGCTAGCAACCCCCACCACTTGACTATCACCCCGGCGCCAAAAACAACAAAAAATGTTTCGACGCACGAAGTTTCCAGACAACAGAAACCTTAAGAATTGACGGGTCGAATCGAGAAAATCGAGAACCCCCCGAGACTACCCATCGGCGTATAAATCAAAAAAATAAGTACTTGAGGAAGTGTGGGGAGAGATGGAGGGCTGGAAGAGGAAAGCAACTGCCCGAGGAGTCGGACAAGGAAAAGCAGAAGAAAAAGAAGAATATCCCTAGGGAATATAGACGGACATCACGAGATGGAAGCGGATGGACGGAATAAGGAGGAAAGGGAAGGGAGGGGGCTGATATCTTGCCACAAGAAGATGGCCACGATCTACTGACAGAAAAGCGGGGACCGGAGGGGAGGGGGAATGAAGATAGAGCGGTTTTTGGGTGTAAAAACAAACTTCAGGTCTCTTTGGAAAAGTAGGCTAGCAGAGATTCTTTAGGAAAGGGTAGGCTAGCAGAGATTCTTTAGGAAACGGCAGGCTAGCCGAGATTCTTTAGGAAACGGCAGGCTAGCAGAGATTCTTTAGGAAACGGCAGGCTAGCCGAGATTCTTGGGACGGCAGGCTGGCAGATATTCTTTAGGAAGTCCAGACCCAGCTGCTGAACTTCTCCAAGACGTGCTGGCATCCGGTAGCCGTCCGGAAGCGGATCCGATCCCTTAAGCCGCTCCTGGTGGCGCAGGCTAGCGGAGATCCATGCGGAATCGTGAAAATCGGCTTCATGACGTCCTTACCTACAATAGGCTTGCAGAGATTCTTCAGGAAATACCAGTACCTTTTTGGCCTCTTGAAGCCTTCTGGAAAAACCTACAAATGTACAAGGCAATCTAACAGTGATTCTTTGCACACCAGAACCCTGGCAGGCTGGCAGAGACCCGTTAGGAAGCCAACTTTAGTTTTTCGCCCTGATATTCAGATTTCCACACCAATTCCCCGTTCCAATCCGTTAATGACCGGCCCTGGTCGCCATACGCTAATCGTGTATTCCTGAGTGAGTGTGAGTGGGCAGTGAGTGTCTCTACCCTCCTTCCTTCGTTTCCATGACGATCCGTGTGGCCGTGCCGGGACCCGAATTTGCCGAGAAGGCAGCCCGTCGATTGCCATACTAGCGTCCGGCATCAGCAGAAGTCAAAACCGGAAGTCGGCTGCAGCTGCTTCGAAATTCAGGAAAATGGTAGGTTCCTGAAGAATCTCTGCTAGCCTGCCCTTTCCTAAAGAACCTCTGCTAGCCTGCCCTTCCCTCAAGAATCTCTGCTAGCCTGCCCTTTCCTAAAGAGTTTCTGCTAGCCTGTCCTTTCCTAAAGAATTTCTGCTAGCCTGCCCTTTCCCAAATAATCTCTGCTAGCCTGCCCTTTCTCAAATAATCTCTGCTAGCCTGCCCTTTCCCAAATAATCTCTGCTAGCCTGCCCTTTCCTAAAGAACCTCTGCTAGCCTGCCCTTCCCTCAAGAATCTCTGCTAGCCTGCCCTTTCCTAAAGAGTTTCTGCTAGCCTGTCCTTTCCTAAAGAATTTCTGCTAGCCTGCCCTTTCCCAAATAATCTCTGCTAGCCTGCCCTTTCCTAAATAATCTCTGCTAGCCTGCCCTTTCCCAAATAATCTCTGCTAGCCTGCCCTTTGCTAAAGAATCTCTGCTCGCTCGCCAAAAACTGAGTTTCAGGGCCTCCTCGAAGTGCTAAAGAAGTTCAAAAGTACCCAGAACAAAGAATTGCGGATACTGTTGCTAGGTCAGTTTTTAGGAGGCAGCTTTGAACGTCAATTTTTTTTAGGTCTCGACAACGCCGGGAAGACGACGATTCTAAAGGGGATGGCCAGCGAGGATATCGCACACGTGACGCCAACGCAGGTAGGCGAGCAGAGATTCCCTGGGAAAGAACAGGCTGGCTGAGATCATTTGAGCGTCTATTTCCAGGGCTTCAACATCAAATCCGTCGTCTCGGGCAACATCAAGCTGAACGTGTGGGATATCGGCGGCCAGCGGAAGATCCGGCCGTACTGGAAGAACTATTTCGAGAAGACGGATGTTCTGGTGGGTCTCCGCTAGGCGTAACGATCCCCTTAAGGCTTTCGCAGCACTTTAAAGGGCAGTTGAAGTCAAAAATTCAACGCTTTTTGGTGGATTTTTGCATCCATTTTCAGCCATAAAGCGCCGATCAAGGCATTGTCTATGGATTCCCTATAAATTTAGCCAACCCCACCAGTGAGCACACGAATTTAACGTGTCGTAATCCATTAAACGATAAAACTACGTACGGAACCGACAAAATCCATAAATTAGAAATCCAACCCCTCGATTTCAGATATACGTCATCGACTCGTCGGACAAGAAGCGCTTCGACGAGACCGGGATGGAGTTGATGGATCTGCTGGAGGAGGACAAGCTCGCACATGTGCCGCTACTCATTTATGCAAATAAACAGGTAGAATGAATTCTTAAATAACCTCTGCTAGCCTGCCCTTTCCTAAAGAATCTCTGCAAGATTTTGAATTTAGGACCTCGTCCACGCAGCCCGAGCCTCAGAAATCGCCTCCGGACTCCAGCTCCTCGCCATCCGAGACCGAGACTGGCAAATTCAGCCCTGCTCCGCCGTCACAAACGAGGGCGTCAAGGTACGGTATCTAGTTTTAAAGGGACGGGAAAAGAATGCCTATTTAAAGGGACTGTTAAGCCAGAATCCATAAGAAATAAAAAAAATTTCAGGACGGCCTCGACTGGTTAGCCAAGATTATGGAAAAGAAGAAATGATTTGGATTGTGAATAAAGATATACAAAACTACAGAGAAACGAATTGGGAAAACTTGCAGAGATTCTTTAGGAAAGGGCAGGCTAGCAGAGATTCTTTAGGAAAGGGCAGGCTAGCAAAGATTTTTTAGGAAAGGGCAGGCTAGCATAGTTCCTTTAGGAAATTTCTCGCTCAACCCCTACTCAACTTTTTCCCCATTCCAATCGATGTCCCCTCCTCCCTCGCGGCCTATATTTGATAAGTGCCGTCCGGGGGAATCCCCCCTCGACAAGAGAGTACAATTTTTAGGAGACCGCAGACAGTCATAGCAGTCATTGCACGTGAACACCTCGGGGATACCCCCAAAATGTACCCAGATGTTGGGGGCGAGAGAGTGGGGCATAGAGAGAGGGAGCAGAGAAGGAGAGAGAGTGTGGCTTGAGGGCAGGCTGACCCTTTGACCCCGGCGGGGAGTCCCATAAAATTGATGGCGCCCGCCGAAAACACAGCTGGGTGCATTTTCGCTGGCAAAGAATCTCTGCTTCCTAAAGAATCTCTGCTAGCCTGCCCTCCCCAATGATCTCTGCTAGCTGGCCCCCAGATCTCCGCTTTTCCGCGATCCGCCCGATCAGCCAGGCGCGCCCAGCCGAAATAAGCTGTCGTATACAGCTGTGCCGTCTGGTTGTGTCTCTCTCTTCTCTGCACTCTCTTTCCTTTTCTTTCTCTCTCCCTCTTCTATTCCTGTTATTCACGTGCCAGCCATGAGGATCCGGGCGGAATTTATGTCTCAAGGGGGTTCCCCGTCTATGTATACACACCGCCCGAAAACTTGCCCTTGTCTCGGCGTCTCTCTCTCTCTCTTTTCTCTCTCTCTCTCTCTCTCTCTCTCTATCGCCCTATTTCAGGTTATGTACTTTCTAAAAGTGGGGATTTCCCGGGGAATCCCCTTTTTCACATGACGAGTTGACTTGCCCTTGGGTGATCTATAGAAATTTGGGCGGAGAAGCTTCTGGAAGCTTCTGGTATTTCTTAAACCTTAAGCTGCTAGGGAAACTGACTTCGGTTTTGAGCTAAAGTTAATTGACAAACTAGCTTAGGCTGGGCATTTGTTAAAGGGAAGCGGCAATCGGAGGCCAGAAGATTGGGCTTAGGCTTAGCTTAGGCTTAGCTTAGGCTTAGCTTAGGCTTAGCTTAGGCTTAGCTTAGGCTTAGCTTAGGCTTAGCTTAGGCTTAGCATAGGCTTAGCTTAGGCTTAGCTTAGGCTGAGGCATCAGCCAGGCTTGGGCTTGGCTCTAAGCTTTAGGTGTTTGCCTTAGGCGTAGTTAGGCTTACGCTTTTGCTTAGGCTTAGCCTAGGCTGGACTTGGGCTTAGGCTTAGCTTACTTAGGTTCTCTTCAGCTTTTCAAGCCATTCCTGCCCTTCCAGTCCCTTTAACCCCCTCGATAGCTGTTTAGCTGATTTTTTCGTTTCGCAGTTCGCGCATGTTCGCCCCCCAGACCTGAGGGTGGGCGCTCCAGCTGTTGATCAGCACATGCCGCCCATGCCTTTGTTGATTGTTTTTGCTTTCTGTCGAAACGGGCCGTTGAGTGAGTGGCAGGAAAACGTTTCAAACCAAGCGTTCTGGTTATGGCCGGCTTCTAAGCTTCAATTGAAGGCTGCGCCAAGGCTCCGGTTAAGCCTAAAGCTAAGCTAAGCCTAAGCTAAGCCTAAGCCCAGGCCTAAGCCTACGCCTAAGCCTAACGTAACATAAGCAGAAACAGTCTAGCCATTGAAGTCAAGTATCTGGACTTCAAGCCTCGATTTTCCCCCTAAACCTTTCTCTGCTATCTAGCTCTTTCCCGCTCTTTCTCTCTCTCTCTCTCTCTCTCTCTCGCTCTCTCTCTTTCTCTCCCTATCTCTCTCTCTTCCGCTCGGGCCTCTAAATTCAGGTTTTCACAGCCGCCAAACGATTTTTTTTTGTCGGTGGTGGCGTTGGTAAACAGCGAGGGGGAAACGGCCCAAATTGGACATTTTTTCCGGCTACGTTTAGTTCCTGTTGCCGGCAGGCTAGCGGAGATTCTTTAAGAATTCCCTGAAAATTCCTAAGATATTGTGCCTTGCACGTGGTCCTCCTCCTCCCCCTCTCGACCTCCATAAAGGACCTTTGTCAAGGCAAAATACACACAGCTGGGTGAGTGTCACCCCTCGACCACTGCATATACCGGTTCTCGGTATCGATTTTTGTGGAATTCCGGTCATTAATTCCTTACCTAAATGATCTCTGCTAGTATGCTCTTTCCTAAAGATTCTATGTTAGCTCGATTTCCCTAAAAATCTTCTTCTTAATTTTCTAAAAACCTCGCAGAATTGTAATTTTACAGCTATTTTCTCTCATAAAAAACCCCTGCAATCCCCGGGCGGGGCGCCCAATTTTCTGGGTGCACCTTGGCCTCTCGGCACAGATGTTATCTCTAGATGGGGGCTGGCTGTTCACAGGCGATAGATATCGAGAGAGAGAGAGAGAGAGAGAGAGAGAGAGCAATGGCGATAAAACCTTATTTGAGAGAGCAAAGCATGTGACCCACACTTTGTGCACATCTGGGAGGAGGGGAGAGCGCGTTTCTTGCCAAAAAACGGGATACAGATTCGGGACGGATGGGAGATTAGCGAGGGGTGGGTGCTGGATTTTTGGCCGGTTAAACTTGGACAAAGCAGTAAAACGGAGTTTAGGCGAGGTGGCAGGCTAGCAGAGATTCTTTAAGAAAGGGCAGGCTAGCGGAGCTGCTTTGGGAACAGGGCTTAAATAGAAAACTCGTTTTTTTATATTGAAAATCGCTGTAATCCTTATTTTACAATGTTTTTTCTCGCATTGCCTTTCTCTCCCTGGAAAAATTAGACAAGCTGCCAATCCTGACAGCACAGATTTTATCTTCCCCTTTTCGGAGACATAAAAGCCCGTTTTTTTAATCTAAAAACGAGAGAAATCGCGTCCAATTCCGCTTCTCCAATAATTTCTGCTAGCCTGCCATTTCCTAAAGAATCTCTGCTAGCTCGCTTCCCTGCCGTTTTTTCCTGTCACCATCCCTTTAAACCCCCCCGGTCCCCTGCAAGTCTGCCCCATCCAGTCCAAAAAGCCATTCCGGGGCAACCGGCTATCACCGGGTGCAGAGTCAGGGCTATCAGCACCCCGCGAAGAAGCCCGCGTGACTGACTATCGTTGATAGTATGGGGGTGTAGTCATTAAAGGAAAAATTGCGTGAACTTTTAGCTGAGAAAAGGAGCTTTAAAGGGGGGTGACAGCAGGGTCGGGCAAAACGGCAGGCTGGCAGCGATTCTTTAGGAAATGGCATGCTAGCAGAGATTCCTTACGAATTTTTCTAGTTCCACTTAGACCCAGGTTGAACCCAACTTTTTCCTAATTAGCCGGCTTTTCCGGGATCACCTGAACCCATCACAGCTGACCCCAAAGATTGATTCGATTTGGGGGAAGCCCCGGCGGCTATTTTCGAGATCACTCCATCTCTCTCTCTGTCTCTCTCTCTCTCTCTCCCTCTCTCTCTCTTTCTCTTTCTCTCTCTCCAGCCTTTACAACGTACCCCCAGGCCAAAGTGTCCGTTTCTTCCTCTTTTCGATCTGATAAACTGGGGGAATACCCGGTACAAGCGACGCCCAAAGGCATCCCTCAAATCAAAAATCAAATTTCCAAAAACGGTACTGGCGCATTGCCAAGGTTTAGATTTTCCAGAAGAAACTCTGCTAGCTTGCCTGCGGAATTTCATTTGATTGGTGATGTATGGAAAATAGTGACGTAAGGAAATAGTATGAGCAGTTTCTTCACGGGTACATTGAATGGAGCAATATTTACACAATTACTGGCTATAAAATGGCTCCTAATTTCTAGTCCTCAACACTCTCTGCTAGCTGACCGTTTCCTCAAGAATGTCTGCTAGACCACCCCTTCCCAAATGTTCTCTGCTAGCGTTATCTGAGTCCCCTAGGTACCAAAGTCCGCCCTGGCCCCCCGAAATCGAACTCTGCCCACCACCCAGCTGTGCTATTAATCTCAAACTGTGTAGCCTGATCCGATGGGTCAGGAGGCAGGCTAGCAGAGACACGTGAAGTCGCCGTGGTCCGCTTTTTTGGGGGGCTATTCCCATCACTTTTTGCCGGGTCCGCGAAGAATGGGGTGGGATGTTTGCCCTGCCAGATAACCCGCGAAGACCCCCACGGCGGCTGGGTCAGCGAACAATTTTTTTGCAGAAAAAAAGCGAGGAACTCCCTCGATCCAGACGGTTCGCAGCGGTCACTTGTCTTAAGTTTAAAGCGGGGAAATGGGGAGGCAATTCCATAGGAATCCCTGCTATCCTGCCCGGTTTTTGGATCTGATTTTGCTTAAAGAATCCATGCTAGGCTGCCGAAGGCTTGGGTATGTAGCCGAGATTCTTTAGGAGAAAGCAAGCTAGCAGAGATTCTTTAGGAACCGCTATTCGCAATTTCTCACATTTCCCTAAGATCCTCTGCTAGCCTGCCCCCAAAATCCACTGTTTTTGGCTCCTCTCCAAAACACTATCCCGTCGCGTGGAAGCGGACGCGGAAATTTGCTGGTTGAGGGTCCCGTGAGGGGCACACACGCAGGAGGATTATTTTTGGGCCCGGGGACGGGGATGGCCGACAAAAATAGCACTTTTCTTGCAAGCCGCGAAGCTCATCGATCACGATATGAAAAGGCTTTCGCAATGAATTGTCTTTCAATCGATTATGCAACCAATACCCCGTCTAGTTCACTCGCAATTTTTCTGGGAAGCAACCGATTAACGTATAAAAAGCGGATGTTAATCATGCTTTTTTCAATCGATTACGCAATCAATATCTCACCTAGGGGCTTACAGTCCACTATCATTAGTGTGCCAGTTTGGGGGGGGTCAATTTTTCGGGGTCTGTCGGACTTATTGGGACAGAGTACACCAAATGACAGATGTGGGCCATCTTGAAGCAGATCCCGGACGGCTTCTTCCCTAGGAAAGTCCAGGTTGCATTTTTTAACGTTTACACCTTCCAAATTTTGCCATTTTTCTCTCATTTTCATACTTGAATCGGTTCACTCATTTGTTTTCTTTGCGGTTTTCTTGGATTTGGGAATTTTTGGACGACGTAGGCTAGCAGGGATTATTTAGGAACACCTAACTACATTTTTTGGACGTGCCCCGTTCCCATCCATCCATCACCCCTCCCCTGGTTTCCCGATCATTTCTCCTCGCCCCCTTTTCGGGCCATCGTGTCCCGATTCGATTATCGGACCACATACAACTCGATCATGTGGTCGGCCAGCCACGCACCGATTTCGATGAAAACCGGGGGTTTTTGGGGCGTGTTCGCCCGCCTTGGAAAAAGTGGTGGTTGGATTGTGGTGCATCCGGGGGTAGAGTCTAGGAAGAACCGAGAGCAAATAAAAAAGAGGAAAATCTTCCTAAAGAATCACTGCTAGCCTGCCCTTTCCTAAAGAATTTCTGCTAATCTGCCCTTTCCTAAAGAATCTCTGCTAGACTGCCCTTTCCTAAAGAATCTCTGTTAGCTTGCCCTTCCCCAAGAACCTCTGCTAGCTCTCTCTCTCTCTCTGTCTCTCTCTCTCTCTCTCTCTCTCTCTCTTCTCTCTCTCTCTCTCTCTCTCTCTCTCTCTCTCTCTGTCTGTTTCGCTCTCTTCTTTCAATTGTTTTTGTCTGACACTATTTTCGTAGCCATTTCCCAGCTGTCACACTCCCTTTGCTAGTGACCTGAATATAGATGTTTTTTTTTCTTGCTCTCTCTTCCTCCCTACCTGCTTTTCCATATATTTTCCGGGTGCATCGGGTTCCCCCGATCCACCCATGTGCCATCCACGTTTTACCACGGACCCCCCAGGATTACAGGCGAGAGAGTGTTTCGATTCCGGAGAGGGCCAGACGGCAGACGGTGATAACCCGGTGGGACCGCCCCCCTCGATTGGACAGACAGCCCCTCCCTCCCCTCCTTCTCTCAACACATTCACAGCCGCCAAACCTGTGCTGTGTGTCTACTATTATTCGAAGATCAACGATTCCACTACAATACTGAAGACGCAATGGTCTCCAAGCTTAATCCGTAAGTCATTTTAGCGGAAATTTGGGGTTAAAGGGTCCCAGCAGGTTGAAATCAGTTTCCTAAATAACCCCGGCTAGCCTACCGGACCCGAGTTTGGATCCTAAAGAATCTCTGCAAGCCTGCCATAGCAATAATCTAGGGTTTCCCAAATGGTCTTGGCTAGCTCGCCTGCTTCTGGGTCTTAATTGCCTAAGGGATCTCTGCTAGCCTGCCCTGGCCAAGTTTTTGCCACAAGAATCTTTGCTAGCCTGCCCAGTGTTTTAGGCAATTTCCCAGAGGATCTCTGCTAGGTTGCCTTTCTGGAAAGTTAAGGCTTGCTCAAGTGATAGAGCTATTGTAAAAGCGACAGAATTAGCGAGCGAGAGAGAGTGAGAGGGAGACAGACAGACAGACAGATAAGCCACCCGTTTTCTGTCACTTCCATTCCCCTTTAAAACGCTTATTTTTACTGATTTACGCATCCATTTATGAAAACCGGTCACACTCCAAAAAAGTGCTCGCCACCCCGCCCCCCCGCGGGTTCAAAGTCTCCCCCCGGGGGAGCTGGTCGGTGCACTCTCTTTCTCGGCCCTCTCTCACAAACAGACACTCTCTCGCCGATCCCGATCACATGGTCGTGTCCGCTTTACTCAACGGGACGAGCGTGTTCCCCACACCCCACCCCTCCAGTACTGCTACGACTGTTTACGCCCCGATACCCCGGGCCAAACAACAGTTTTTGGGAGGGGACCAGCTGGGAGATTCTTTAGGAAAGGGCAGGCTAGCAGAGATTCTTTAGGAAAGGGCAGGCTAGCAGAGATTCTTTAGGAAAGGGCAGGCTAGCAGAGATTCTTTAGGAAAGGGCAGGCTAGCAGAGATTCTTTAGGAAAGGACAGGCTAGCAGAGATTCTTTAGGAAAGGGCAGGCTAGCAGAGATTCTTACGGCAAAAAGGGAAAATAGAGCAATCTTGCAGAGATTCTTTCGGAAATTCGATTTATGCGTATAAAAGATTAGTTAAAAATTCTCATTTAGGATGTACGCCCTGAAAAGCGCCCGCCCACTGCAGAAGACCCTGGCTGTTGACTGGCAGGACGGCTTCTCCACCCACTTCGCCTACGTGTGGCTCCGCGACAACGGACACCGCCGGCCATCCCTCATCCACCTCGACCTCCACACGAAGCCCGAGGTAAGGCGGACTAGCAGAGATTCTTTTGGAAAGGGATTATTTAGGTTTAGGTTACAGATTATTTAGGACTTCATAGTCTGGTTTTAACTGTACTGCTTCAGGATGTCGGCTGCAAAGATGGAGCCGTCAGCATCACGTGGCCACCTTTCCTTAATGCGATGTATACTTCACGATTCTTGAGGGATCACGCGAACATCAAGCCAATCCACTCGACGACGTGCCCTGTCACGAAGAAGGTAGGCAAGCTAGCAGGGATTCTTCAGGAACGGGCAGGCTAGCAGAGATTCTTTGGGAGAAAACCCTAACAATCCTATTTCCAGGTCCTCCAAGTCCCATGGCGTATCGAGCATCGCCCCGTCGCCGAAGACAACGTCTGCATGGCCTCGACAAGCTGGGGGAGCAACGCCGTCGAGCACGGCACCGTGTTCCCCCATCTGATGAGCGTCCCCTCCATCGTCACCCTCGACACCGACTGGGCCGACGCCCAGGTCAACCTCATCGATGGGGTGCAGTGCTTGTCAGGTGGGTGAAGTTCCTCAATTGTCTCTGCTAGCCTGCCCTTTCCTCAAGAATCTCTGCTAAACGGTTATTTCCAGAAATGTCGTACACGTACCCAGAAGAGTTCCGCTTCCTCCGAAAGCTGTTCATCGAGTACGAGAATGGCATCTTCCGGGCCGCACACCCGATTATGAATATTGAACACGAGCGAATCACTGGGGTAAGTTCAAGACGCTTCCCAAAGAATCTCTGCTAGTCTGCCCTTTCCTAAAGAATCTCTGCTAGCCTGCCCTTTCCTAAAGAATCTCTGCTAGTCTGCCCTTTCCTAAAGAATCTCTGCTAGTCTGCCCTTTCCTAAAGAATCTCTGCTAGCCTGCCCTTTCCTAAAGAATCTCTGCTAGCCTGCCCTTTCCTAAATAATCTCTGCTAGCTTGCCCATTCCCAAAGAATCTCTGCTAGCCTGCCCTTTCCTAAAGAATCTCTGCTAGCTTGCCCATTCCCAAAGAATCTCTGCTAGCCTGCCCTTTCCTAAATAATCTCTGCTAGCTTGCCCATTCCCAAAGAATCTCTGCTAGCCTGCCCTTTCCTAAATAATCTCTGCTAGCTTGCCCATTCCCAAAGAATCTCTGCTAGCCTGCCCTTTCCTAAAGAATCTCTGCTAGTCTGCCCTTTCCTAAAGAATCTCTGCTAGCCTGCCTAACCAAAAAATTTTCAGGTGTGTTTCAACAACGAACTTCGCTCCCCCGAACTCACCACCGAAAGCATCGAAGCCTTCTACACGAGCCTCAAGGTTTTCCATCGCGTAAGTGATTATAGAACAAAGTTAAGCCTAACCTAAGCCTAAGCCAAAGCAAGCCTAAGCCTAAGCTAATCCTAAATCTAGATTAATTGAATTTTTTTCAGATCTGCTGCGACCACACGCACACCATCACCCTGCAGCCCCAGCAACGAATTGTCGTCGACAACTCGCAGACCTTCATCGGCGCCCCTCCCCAATACGGTCGCCGCGTCAACGTCAAGATTTTCAACTGAGCCTATGGATTTTTGAGATTCCCCGCCTTCAATGTCCCTTGAAATGTCGAATCCCAGCTATCGCCTAAAAAGCAACAGCGAAGCGCTTCCCGGAATTGAACCCGGGTGGTGCGGGTGGCAGCCTAGTGCTCTAGCAATACACCAAGCTGTTGGGGGCACGTTTTTAACTTTTGTGGGTTTAAGGGTTGTCAAGCTAAGCCTGCGCATAAGCGTAAGTTAGCCTTGTTTAAAGCCTACGCTGAAGTCTAAGCCTAAGCTAAGCCAAAGCTAAGCCAAAGCTACGCCTAAGAAAAGCGGAAGCTAAGTCGAAGCCTAAGACAAGCCTAAGCTAAGCCTAAGCTAAGCCTAAGCTAAGCCTAAGCCAAGCCTAAGCTAATCCTAAGCTGCCTAAGCTAAGCTCAAGCTAAGCCTAAGCCCAAGCGAAAATCCCCATCCCTACTAAATCCCCAAAAAACTTCTAATCCAATTTAGAAGCCACTTTCCCATTGTTATATTCTCTGTAAAAAAACTCCTAGTTCTCCCCTATCCCGCCCCCCGTTTTTGTACAGTACCCCCGATACCGTATTTCCCAATTTTCCAATTTTCCTATTTATTTTTTCATCGTTTTTTTGTCTTATTCCGCTAGCGTACAAACTACACCCCCACACCCTGCCCTAGTCTTCCCTATAACCGTCAAAAATTGTGATTTTTGTTGTTGAATTCTCAGCTCAGGATCAGTTTTGCCTATTTTCAGTTGTCTACAGTGCCCTACCGTAACGAAACTACCGTACCCTTTTTTCTTGTATCCCCCCATTACCACCATTAATACAAACGGGTCCGCTCGGCTAGCGAGCCGTGGAACTTGAGGAATTCGCGTGCGTTTCTTGGAAGTAAAAACATTTAAAAATATCGTGTACTGTAAAATGCACAAAAATACTCAAGACTACAATTTACACAGTTTTTAGGCATTTTAAAGGGACGGTGACAGCTGGATTATGGCATTGGACGATAGAGCAAGCGTTTAGAGCAACAGAGACTTCACATAACCGAAGCCCAAGCCTAAGTCCAAGCCTAGGCCAAGCCTAAGCCAAGCCGAAATCAAGCCCAAGCCGAGCCTAAGCCAAGCCTAAGCCAAAGCCTAACACAAGCCAAAGCCAAGCGTAAGCCAAGCCTAACCCAAGCCTAAGACAAGCCAAAGCCAAGCCTAACCCCATCTTCACTACTCGCTTTCCAGTCCCTTTAAGAGCTCCCGTCTACTCTCAGACTCGAACGGAATTGGTTAAGCTGCGGAGTATGGGGATGGCACGGGATGGAATTGCATACCAAATGGGTGTGAGAGAGAGAGAGAGAGAGAGAGAGAGAGAGAGAGCAGCAACCATTTGAGGGCCGGGGGGCCCTCATACCCATCGATCGATCAAATACCCTGCGCGGAGGGATGGGACGGGATGATACAATGGACGCACACACTCACACTCAACACCCTATGACCCCCAAACATACTCTGTGTCACGTCACTCTTACTTTTCGCTTTTCATGGATTTTGCATGAGGCAGGCTAGCAGAGATTTTTTAGGAAAGGGAGGCTAGCAGAGATTCTTTAAGAAAGGGCAGGCTAGCAGAGATTCTTTAGGAAAGGGCAGGCTAGCAGAGATTCTTTAGGAAAGGGCAGACTAGCAGAGATTCTTTAGGAAAGGGCAGGCTAGCAGAGATTCTTTAGGAAAGGGCAGGCTAGCAGAGATTCTTTGGGAAAGGGCAGGCTAGCAGAGATTCTTTAGGAAAGGGCAGGCTAGCAGAGATTCTTTGGGAAAGGGCAGGCTAGCAGATATTCTTTAGGAAAGGGCAGGCTAGCAGAGATTCTTTAGGAAAGGGCAGGCTAGCAGAGATTCTTTGGGAAAGGGCAGGCTAGCAGAGATTCTTTACGAAAGTCATGCTCGCTATCTATTTATTTATTTTCATCCCACCCCGATCCCATTGACGCAACCCAAATTGTTTACATCACTCTGTCATCGTCAGCCACCATCCCCCGTCAAAATTCACATCTCTTTTTCCCTCCATCATCTTGTGAGGGGAGCACAATCCATTTTTGATGGCTTGGAATAGCGGCCTGAGAGGGAGAAGGACAAGCTGGGGAGGATCAAGTTCTCCGGATCCACCTCCTCGGCTTGTCTTTTCCGTTTTCCGGAGCCGCCCGGAATTTTATGGGCATAAATTGGACGAGTTCCTGAGCCAATCAGCTTGATTCCGGTTTGACGAACTGGCGGGTTGCCAAGCATCTCTGCTAGCCTGCCCTTTCCTAAAGAATCTCTGCTAGCCTGCCCTTTCCTAAAGAATCTCTGCTAGCCTGCCCTTTCCTAAAGAATCTCTGCTAGCCTGCCCTTTCCTAAAGAATCTCTGCTAGCCTCCCCCGTTCCCAAATAATCCCTGCTAGTTTTCCTGCCTCAAATTTCCGCCAAATTCCTTCACCACAATCTTTTGGCGCTGCCCTTTTTAAGCAGTTTCGATCCGAGAACAGCTCCTCCTCCCCGCCGGCTCCTGGGTAGAGCCGGTGTCTGTCCGTCTCGATCTGTATATTTGTCTGTCCGTCTCAACCCCACCCATCTCCTCCTCTTCCCTTCTTTCCCCCGTCGGTGAGTGCGACTCGTTTTTGGGCGGTCGGCTGGGGGGCGGTGGGATGGCTTGTGATGGGTTGCGGCGTGCGCGGGCCGGATCCTCCTCCACCCTCCATCCCTAACCCACCGCTATAATCGCAGCGCCGCGCTCGGCGTTCAAGCCTTTTTTACGCCGAAATCGGCCTGCCCGGCGGATTTTTAACGAAAACGGCAAGTTTCGAAACATATGGCTTTTTCTATCGTTTAATAGATGTTATAAAACGCTTATAAACCTGTAAATAGATGTATGAAGTCTTGAAATATTTTATAAACGTATTTTCGCGGACGTACTTAAATTCACTAAGTTTGTTTTATTTTCAACTAATTAAATTTTCGACAGAGCGGAAATTTGTACGTTTCAATACTCTATGCGTCGTAGTCCGCGACATTCCTATCGACCTTGAACTGTACACTGGTGGAAACGGAAACTTTCGAAAATCGGATTTTTTTAGAAAAAGTATCTGAATTGTTTCTAAAACTTTTTAATCAGCTTTTTTTAATAATAATTCAGCTATTTTCATTTATGTGAAGTTTCTAACAATGATTCTGGGTGTTTATGTCTTCTACGTTAGCTTGGCGCTTTTCTGTCCACCTTGAGACTCGAAAAACTTGTTAGCTTCCGTCTTTCAGCTTCTTCTTCGCTTTCCTGCCTTCTCCGACTCAATGACACCATTTCCGTGACTCATTCCATGCCTCTAACCCTGCCCGCGCCACCCGGCACCCCAAACCCCCGGCGCCATAGACAACGGCTCGCTTTATTTGGCGTCTCGGCACCCCCGGCTAACCTTGGCACCCACCCCCAGGACATCATTTTTTGCCAAAGAAGCCCCGCTGATCGTTATCCCACTTTTTTAAGTTCTTGTAATTTGGTTTTATAGATGGCGGGAAACCAGCCGGATCATCCGCTGAATTTTGCGAATTTCGCCACTGGGATGGGCTCATCTTGCTAAAGAGGCCGGCAAATCGTTACCCCCGCTTTTTGTAGTTTTTCAATGTTGCGTGAGAAAGCGATAATTTTTAGAGAAATTCTTTTACGAGCGGGTAGCAAGAAGTTTCGATGATTTTTGTAGATGATTTGTAGTTTTTGTGGCTCCTCGGAGCGGGCACTTCGCCTTTTATTGCTTAATGTTTTGTTTAATTCGTTGTTGATAGGCGAACTTGTTTAGAGCTTTTAATTGTCTTTTAGAGCTACAAACAGCCCAGAACTACCCTAGATTTTTGCAAGCTTTGCCGCCCGGATGTATCTATCTTCCAGCCAAAACACATGGCCACCACGAAGATATTTTTACCACCCCAGCTTCACGACTCTGTATTGCAGGTGTCGCCCCGCAATTCTTCACACTTTCCGTCCAATTTCTTGCAGCGACCCCCAACGAAGTGGGCCACCTGTTGGCCCCCGAACGATCTTGGTGGTAGCATCGTTTTCCGATCGGCCCGCTAGCCACGCAGCGTCCCCCCTGTTTTATAGTCATTGATTTCCGAAACATCGGGGGCTTTTTCTTTCTAGGGCTTACCTCCCTTTTTGGTGGACAATGAGGTACTACTAGGAGATTTTCTTCTCATGTTCCAGCCCTAAGACCTATACTTCCGCTGGGCACTCGAGTGGAAAGGTTCAATGTTTTTTGGGTTCTTTGGCATTATCGGAGGGCGGTCTAACTCTTTTAGAAGTCTAGAAACTCTATTAGCAGTATTTTTGTAGTGTTTTTAGCCAATATGATAATATGAAAATCCTTTAATTCTCTAAAAGCTTTCAACAATTTTGAAAAAGCTCAAGTTTGGTCAAAGATCTACGGTTTTTTGATTTTTTAAGATAAATTTGTAAAGTTTTGACATCTAAGAATAGTAAAAAGCCGTTAAAAATTTGTGTTTATCCGGTGAACGGCTAGTTTACTCTCCCGCCTTCGATTTCAGCACGCCGCCAAATTGTCCGTCTCGTTAGCCCCATTTATCCTGCTAGCCGGGTAGTTGTTAGCCGGGAGCGCGAGGTGGTCATGCTCTCACTTTCAACCCCAATGTTCTCAATTTTCTTACCAAGTCTGCTCCGTTATAAGTATTTTCGGACTCAACGTATTCTCGAGCCTTTTTTCAGTTTTTCTAGATGATGCCCCAATTTGCGCCCCCAGCACGATCACCCGCTCTATCACTAGAAAAGGAAATCGACGCCGATCACATTCGATTGTTTTTCTCGGGTCGCCTAGGCGTTATTTTTCTTGCCAATAATTTCCAGGCATCGGATCAAAGGGCCGTCTTCCCCATTCGCGCGTTTTGCACATATACATATGAGGGCTGCGCTGGCGCGGGCAGCAACGTCGGCTGCGAAGGGCCTTGAGGGCTGATGAATCATTGTTTTGCGCGCTCCCGTTGAACCCCCCCGTTTTGGCCATCGATTCACTACAGCGGTTGTACAATTTGGATCATACTTTTTTAGCAGAGTTCGTGGTGGTAAATTCACCCTTACAAGCGCTTGTTTTTAGGCCAAAATCGATGTTTCGCGATTTAATATAGCTCATTCGGCAGAACTTGAAAATCTAATCAAGCAGTTGCTTTCAGAAACTTCAGGTCAATAGCTATCTTCGAGAAATCCGTTCTGAAAGACGCGATTTCAGTAATTTTGGCGATTCCTGTAGAGACCTTTAGAACCCTTCCTTGAAATAAAGTTATTTAATTTCAGGCTCTATAGAATGCTGCATATTTCAGATCACAAAACCCTCGTATCACCTAGAAAAACGGCTACCTGTTAGTCATTCGCTACCCACATCCCAGGCTAAACCGGTTACATCTTCCTATTCAGCTGCCTCTTCCTACGATTACCTTCCCCGCCAATGTTCCCAAACGGTTCCTCTTCTTCCTTTCAATAGTTTCTAGGCGATGGATTTTATGGTTTCCATCTTCCTCTCGTTTTCGGTCTTATTTTGTTGATTTTATCATATTTTCCTTTCCAGAATGAGCCGCTTCACCGTGTTCGCCATCGCGCTCGTCGCCCTCACCCTCACCCACTCCGTCAACGCCGACACGGCCAACGACCTCGTCGAGCAGGTCAAGAACATGCGCCCCTTCGAGCTCAAGTCAGTTTTTTCTCGCAACTCTGGGCGTTCATACACGAAAGACTGGAGTTTGTACAGGTTCGCTTTTAGCGCTAGTTTTTTTTTTGACGGCGAACCGGATCACAAACCCCGAGCTTTTGCGTTGTTTTGGTTGCTTTTCGGAAAACAAATATTTTGCATTCTTTTCCAGGCGATCGGCCCTCGGATGCCCGCTGCCCGTCGTCGGCGCGTCGTGCCCGGAGGAGACGCCGTTCTACTACTTTGCCTGCTGCGGTGACCTCGCCGGCCAGTGCTGCTTCCGCCTTCAGGTATATTTTTTGGTGATATCGCCAGTTCTGAAAGGCTGGCAAGGGTTTTTGCGCGCGACGCGTTTTTCTTTTTTGCGACTACGCGATTTTCAAAAAAAATTTCAAAATCCACAGAAAATAGTCCTTGTTCGTCCCTGGAAAACTGCGCCTTTTTGAGCGCTTTCTGATAATCCCAAATTTGTAAAACCCAATTAAAAGGCTGTATTTTAGGTTGAGAAGGCAAAATTTTCTACCTAAAATCGCCGAATTTCAATTTTTTGGAACACTCTATTTTTTGTAAAGCTTCAATCTTTTCTTCTAAAGAAATTTATGCTAATTTTGTGAATTTGGATTTAGGTCAATTAAATAAAGAATGCCTCGTTCCGTTCCGATCTTGTTTCTTCCAGGAATTAGTGTTGCTAATCGTCTTTTTTCAGGAATGGGTGATGCTCCTTCTCATCGTGCTCGCCGCCCTCGTCGTCATCTCGATCATCGTCAACCTGATCCGATGCATGTGCTGCTACTAAACGATATATTGCTATACGCCCCATCTCCCCTTCCATTCTATACTTTGTCTATTCCCCCCATAGCATGACGGGTACCCCTTGTATTTGAACGTTTCACTTTGTATTGTGGTTGCCGCTTGTTGCATCCACTCCTCCACCCCGACGTCTTGCTCACCTTTGCCTCCACTCCTCCTTGCCGAGCATATTTTGTCAGGTTCTACTTGCCCACGCATCGCCTTGTGAGTAATAAATTATCTCCTACAATGCTGCTGAACTCGGAAATTACGTTTTATCAGCGTCTAAGTTTTACAAAGTGCTTTGGAAAAAGTAGACGGACGAACAGGCGGAGCTTGATAAAAACTCAGGATCTTTCGCTTTATCGGGGGGGTGAGCGCAAAAAATCGGGTTTTCGACAACAATTCACGTTTTTGGGCATTTTCTACGTTTCCAAATTCGTTTTTTTTTGGATCTGATGATGAAATGCCTAGTATGAAAGTAGTATTAAAATACTTGTTGTTTAGGAAACTTCGGTCCCCCCGGTAATGGGAAAGTCCCCGTGTAACGGGATTCTATCCACGAGGCCGCAAACGTTTGTTTATTTTCTTGTAGCCTTATCAGACGCGATGGTCAGCAGAATTTCCGGCTTCGTTTCCCCCCCCAAAACTACACCGGAAGCTTCTGCTCTGAAATCGTTTTCTAAGACTTTTTACGGATCTAGAAGAATCTATGTGTCCTCCTTGAAAAGATTTGTTAATCCGGATGTCGTTTTGTAAATTATAGTCCTCAAAATTTGCACCGGAAGTTCGGCGCTACACCTCGATCATCTGCTACACCTTTTTTACGAATTTAGAAGAAGCGCTAGGTTCGCCTTGAAAAAGGTTTGTTGATGGGTGAAGTCGCCGCTGCTGCGTCTTCGTTTTTCTGGGGTGCAACGCTGTGCAGAGAACGCGAGCATTTTGGAGAGCCCGCACACTGGTCGCCGCTGAAAAACGGCATGTGTGCCAGTACCAAAAAACACTTCTCGCACTGACCGCCCCTCTCTTCGCCCGGACCTCGTAGCGATTGATTGGCGCTGTAGGTTTAGGAGATTTTGGGTGTAGGTCAGCAGCTTTTTAAGGGTTTTCCTAGCTCATGTAAAGGATATTTGATGACGTCAGATTTTGCGAGCGCATTCCATCAGATTTGGATAATTTTTGTAGGTTTTTGGATTCTTTATAAAGAGCGAGCCGACGGATTGACCCTAGATTCTGACAAAACCTAAATTTTCTGAACTTCGAAAGGTGTTTTTTTAACTGTTTTCGTACGAGTCCTAAACTAAACACTGACAAATTTGGATTAAAATACAAAAAAAAATCGATTTTTCAGTAAAAAATGACCGATTTGCGACCAAATTTTGGACGGTTTTCGACAGTTATTTTGCTTGTGTGACTTACAATATAGTGCAATTTTTTTTTAAACGCTATTAGAACACTTATTATTGGGTTACTAGCCCATTCTGGGCTTATACGAAAAAAACTGCCCCCCCCCGATAATGCGAAAGAACCGCTCTTTTATCCGTCACAAAAATTTTTGAACAAAATGAAGCTATTGACCATTTGCGCGCTATTTATTTGACCAGCTTCCTGATAGATAACCCTTTTGCGACACATGTTCCCCACGTGGCGACCTTACAACGCGACCCGCCGGGCCCGCTTACCCGCTCTTTATAACGAGATCAACCCTAACTTCTGGTTTTCACCTTTTTTACTTCCGTTTTATGCTCAATTTTGCTGAAATTCCAACCTAGTCCATTCATTTTTCAGGTAATCCAACATGGCCATGGCGCGCAACCTTTCGAAGACGGCCGTCCGTGGAACGTACGTTTTTTTGAAGCTATTCTTATCTTTCATTTTTGGGGCTTGGTGGAGTCACGTCGAGATGGGCCCCCCGGACGCCATCCTCGGCGTCACCGAGGCGTTCAAGCGCGACACCAACCCTAAGAAGATGAACCTCGGCGTCGGCGCGTACCGTGATGATCAGGTATGAATTTTTGGCAAATGAGAAACTTAGTTTTAGGGAAAACCCTTCGTCCTCCCGTGCGTGCGCAAGGCCGAGGAGCGCCTCGTTGCCGAGAAGCTCGACAAGGAATACGCGGGAATCATCGGTAATTTTAAATATATTTGTTTTGATGGTCCTTGAGCATTTCCGGTGGATCGAAATTTTTACTATAATCCTAGACAAGTCGATATTTTTATACTTTTTTAGTCATATTTGGCTCGTGTTAAAGTCGAAAGAAAAGTTTATAGACACTGAAAACGGCTTGAAATCAAAGATTTGGTTGAAAACGGTCTTTTGGATTGTTTTAAGGGTTGTAATTTTCTTGCATTTAGCCTCAATTCTTTAAAACTTAAAATGTTAAACGAGGACTAGAACCCCTTTTTAGGTATCCCCGAATTCTGCCAGCACTCGATCACCCTCGCCCTCGGCAAGGACTCGCCGGCACTCAAGGACAAGCGCACCGCCACCGTGCAGAGCATCTCCGGCACCGGAGCGCTCCGGATTGGCGCCGAATTCTTGGTATTACTGTTTTTTCTAACGCTCAAAAACGGTGCTTTAGTCAAAATACTCGAAGGCCAAGGTCATCTACCAGCCGACACCAACCTGGGGCAACCATGTGCCGATTTTCAAGTATATCCCATTTTGAAAAATTTATTTGTTTTTTTTTTAGGTTTGCCGGCATGGACGTGAAGAACTACCGCTACTACGACAAGAACACCTGCGGATTTGACGAAAAGGGCGCCCTGGCCGATATTGCCGCCATTCCGAAGGGCAGCGTCATCCTCCTCCACGCCTGCGCCCACAACCCGACCGGCGTTGACCCCACGGTAAATTCAACCCTGTAACATTGAATTTTTTAGTTATTTAGAAAGAACAATGGAAGAAGATCTCCGAGGTGTGCAAGAAGAACGGCCTGTTCGTCTTCTTCGACATGGCCTACCAAGGATTTGCGTCTGGCGACGTCGATGGGGATGCGTTCGCTGTTCGGTAAGGATTTCTAGCTGAATTTTGGTAAAAACTAGATTATTACAACCGATAGATAGCTTATAATAGTGAGTTTCTTTAATTCCTTGATAATTAATATTTTGACCCTTTTCCAGGTACTTCATCGAGCAGGGCCACAACATTGTCCTCTCCCAGTCCTTCGCCAAGAACATGGGCCTCTACGGCGAGCGCATCGGCGCGTTCAGCGTCGTCTGCGATTCGAAGGATGAAGCCGATCGCGTAATGTCCCAGCTGAAGGTATTTTAGCTCGACTTTTCAAAAAAAAACCCTGTATTTCTAGATCCTCATCCGCCCGATGTACTCGAACCCGCCGGTCCACGGCGCCCGACTCGTCTCCCGAATTCTGAACGACCCCGCGTTGCACAAGGAATGGTAAGGGTTTTTTTAAATCGTATAAACATTTTTTGTTAAGGCTCGGCGACGTGAAGGGCATGGCCGACCGCATCATCTCCATGCGCACGCAGCTGCGCGACTTGCTGAAGAAGGAGGGCTCCAGCCGCGACTGGAAGCACATCACCGACCAGATCGGCATGTTCTGCTTCACAGGGATCTCTCCACAGCAGGTATTTTTTTTGCTTTTCGCCATAACGCTTGTTTTGAAAATGGTTTTTGAGAAAATCCATGCCAATTTTTTGTTTTAAGGATCCAGATTTTCTAATGAAAATATTCGCGCTTTTAGACTTCTAACAATTTATTAATCGCTTTTTCTAACCCAAAAATCGCAAATTTTAACGTTTTTCACGTTTTCTAGACAGTTTTACCAAAAAATAGCAATTTTTAAACGTTTTTCGATGTTTTCCAGATAGTTTTTCGCTTAAAGTATAACTACGTTGTCCGAAAAGCGCTACAGATTTTGCCATTACATGAAATAGGCATGAAAAATCGTGACAAAAAAAAACCATTTTTCGGAGAATACACATTCTAAATAACTTTTTTCTTATTTGCTTTACATATTTTTTTGCAGGTGGAGAAGCTGATCAAGGAGCACTCGGTGTACCTGACGAAGGACGGGCGCATCTCCGTGGCGGGCATATCGTCGAACAACGTCGCCTACCTCGCCCACGCCCTCCACCAAGTCACCAAATAAGCGAAACCCTCTCCCCCCATTTTTGTACTATTCATTTGTGATTTTACCCGGTTCTCTATTCCCCCAAAAATCCCCACCGCCACCCATAGAATCTCCCCCATACCCCCGATTTCGGCCAGTTTTTCTAGCATTTAGTCGGCAATAGGCTTTATTTTAATTCTCTATTAATTCCCGGGGCTTCGGCCTCTTTTTATCAGTTTTTGTTCTTGAGACATGTTGCTGTCGTATGGGTAAAAAGGCTTTTTGAATAAACGAGATGAGCCCCAGAATGGAGATTCGACAGTTTGAAAACACTCTAAACTTTAGAGATTGAAGGTTATAAAAGATTTAGGGTTAGAAGGCTTCAAAATCGACTTGGTGCTGTGTAGCTTGCTCAAGAGTAGCGGCTCGAGGAAGATCAAAACCCAACCTTGTGACGACAAGAAAAATGGCTGCAACTTTCAAGAAGACTTTGGGGACGTTCAAGGATTATAAAAGAAGAAAAGGTATAAAAATGCGTTACCTTGAAAGCATATCGACAATTTAGAAATGCTGAAACCAATGTAGAGGACGTGAACGCGAAATTGGCGCTTGGATACTTGTTGAAGACGTTGAGCTCGGTGGCGTTCCGGATATTCAAGCGAAATTCAATTCGACTGACTCGACTGACCAGCCACATGGATTTGATCTCATCTGGAAGACGTCGCGAGTCGTGACCAAAACTCGTTCGGAAGGTGCGTGCGCGCTTCCGCAAAGTTTTCCTGCTAGCCTGCCGAATTTCGGTGACAATAGCAGAACTTGGAAGATGAGCAACCCCAAAAAAGCTGAGAAAATTATAGCTGAAAGGGCCATTTACTTTGAGGAATAACAAGGAATTCTGTCCAAGTGAGGCGTGGCCATTTCCTACATTTCCCCTGCTAGCCTGCCCAATTTTAGAAGATCACCCCAGACATTTTCGTACTTTCCCAGCTTTCCTGTAATCTTTGGGCCGCTTGTAGGTGTGTTCCGCGCTAACGCTGAAGTGTCGCAGCGGCGAGATGAAAGCGAGAGAAAAGAGAGAGAGAGAGAGAGAGAGAGAGAGATACAGCGCGTGTTTGTACCCGTCGCCTTGCTGGGGGGTTCAGGCGAGGCGCAGGGCTGATTCCCGGGCAGTCGGCCAGTCTCTCGCCCCACTTCTTCTTCTTCTTCACATTCCCCCTCCGGCCACCTAGCTAGCCACACATCCACCGCAAATAATCATGGTACGCGCATCGATCCGTTGGGAATTATGCAAATTTCGAGAGTTTCAAACTTCAATGGCCCTTTAGACTGAGCACTTCACTCAGCAGAGGATTGATGGTGAGTTCACGGCTTTTTCTATGGTTTCCTAAAGAATCTATGTTAGACTGTTCTCCTAAGAAATCTCCGAAGTGTGCTAAGTGTTCTCCGAAGACAAGGGTCGAAACAGGCCAATTAATTTACTTTCTTTAGCCAAACTCCCTAGCAAGAAGGGAGCCAAGAAGGGAGCACCGCCCTTCGGGGTTAAACCGCTCTTCGGAGCACCGCCCTTCGGGGTTAAACCGCTCTTCGGAGCACCGCCCTTCGGGGTTAAACCGCTCTTCGGAGCACCGCCCCTCGGGGTTAAACCGCTCTTCGGAGCACTGCCCTTCGGGGTAAAATCTACCCTTCGGGGTAAAATCTACCCTTCGGGGTAAATTCCTGCCCTTCGGGGTTAAACTCTCGGTTCCTAAGGAACCATTTCCTTTAGAAAAATCATTATCACCTATATTCTTTTACCGTTATATTCTCTTTTATCTTATCTTAGTCCAAAACAAACTTAAATTCTTTAATATACTCCTAAAAACTTCACTTTATCATAGTTTTCAGTTACCCACCACCTGTCTCTACCTATTTCCATTAAACCTGCCCACTTTTAACTAGCTCTTTTCTTCTCTATACCTAATCTCAATGTACAACACAACAAAATTAAACCAACGATTAAGCCGATATATTTAAATTATTCCTTCAAATGAGCCTTAGCCATAAATTTTACAACTATAATATTATTACATTTTCACCCAGAAGCGATGTTATGTTAACAAATCATTACTAACTGTGCCGTTTGGTGATCTGGTTCAAGAGGTTATCGGCATACGTTTAGGTCGTTGGATAACCGCCTTGCTCATTCGGCCTTACCGCTGGGAATCGTATGCTTCCTAGCACGGCGCTGATGAGGCGCAAATTACGACCAAACCATTGGGTATTCTAACGTCGGACCCCTTTGGTATACTTAGACGTGTCAACACTTCAAAACCCTCTCTCTCTTATTATGGGCTTGTTGAGCATAGTTCAACCAAAGTAGGTAGAAAAATTAATTTCATTGATAAAGAATATAGTGATAAAATAGGTACAAAATGCAACAGAAGTAATTGTACTACTTGTAAGGATCTAGAATTTGAAGCTATTATACATAGTAACTCCACTAACTATTATACAAGAACCAACCAATATAATCAACCTAATTGTCAAACACAAAATGTGATATACTGTCTTACTTGCAAAATCTGTAATCTACAATACGTAGGCGAAACATCTAGAAAAGTCACCCAACGTATGTATGGTCACAAATATTCTATCAAAAAGAGAAAATCCGGATTCATCTACGATCACTATCGTACTCATTTTCCTAATGGACAAACAGATAATATGTTTCATATACACATTTTGGATGATCATATAGAAAATCAAGACAACCAGATACGTACAGACAAAGAACTATACTGGATAAAACTTCTAAATACTGCCTATCCATTTGGACTGAATGATAAAATTAAAGGTTACGGAGTTATATCTAATCCCAATGGAAAATTATCCACCCAATCGCCATATTTCGCTCTCAAAATTAAACCACCACCACGTAACAGAGGTATACGCAAAAACAAACGTAAGACTAAATCCTATAATTTTGATTTCAATCAATTCAAACTAACACAACTTAAAGCTAACGAAATTAGAAATATTACACACAATTTACCTAAAAAAATGTACGGAAAATTAACACCTTACTTAGAACATCATAACCCAATTGTCAAAGCTTTTGCAAAAGCCTCTATCCATAAATACAGTCAAATCGAAAACCAAGTAAAACCAAAAAGAAACATCCTAAAATACGTATAAAAGTCCCTTATCTAGAACCAAGTATAGACGAATTAATTGTAAAAGAATTATTAAAGAATACCTGAATAAAGCAAAAATAGAATTCAACACTGACTTCCAAATAACTTATGAATATAACCCAACCTTAGGTCAATTATTATTTAACTATAATAAATTTCTCACTAAACTTGGAAACAATCATATTAAACATAATTCTACTCACTGTAATAATTGTTTCGATTTCCAGAATCAAAATAATAGTGTTAACCACAATGGACAAACACACGTGCTTACGGGCGATAGTAATTCACTTTCTAAACACTTCCCAAACACCTATGAAATACTCAAATTAGGCACTAAGTTCCGACCTAGTTTGAATTACACTCAAGAAGATGTAAAATATAAAATGATTACACAATTTGGTAAAGAAATCTCTAAAATAGCTAAAAACGTTAATTTTCAACAAATCAGTAGTGATTTAATCAATTTAATTACTAATTATTGTAGTAATAAAGAGACTACTAAGCTAGACTGGAATGAGATAAGATTATTGCAGAGAAAATTCATAATTACTAGCGTAGATAAAGCCACTTCTAACTTTGCAATAATCTGCCCACTTCTTTACCAACAATTTATTGATAAAGAAATGGGAATACAAAATGGACTTCCTAATGGTAACGAAACTTATATACCATATACGATTGAGAACGAAGAAAATATAATTAAAAGGCATATCAACATACATCTTTTATTTAAAATTATCCCACCAGAGACGCCAAGCCTACCCAAAATATACGGACTACCTAAATTCCATAAAAACCCCATTAAATTCAGATTTATTACTGGTGCATATAATAGCTCAATCAAACCCATTTCTATTACTTTGCATCGTATCCTTAGCTTTATACGCCAACACTTACAACGATACTGTTCAGTAATAGCAAATAATACGAACAAAATAGTATATTGGTCTATAAATAACTCCAACCAAGTCAATTTGCTAGAAAATCACGATAAAAATAATATATATATTGCAGATTTTAGTAGTCTTTTTTACTAATCTTCCACATTCTATCGTGACACAAGCCATTGATGGTATCCTAGAAATTTGTTTTAAAAACTCTCAAAAGAAATATATAAAAATGGGATACAAATCTTGCTATTATACAAACGAAAACCTTGGTAATAATATCTTTGGAAAAAACGAAATCATGTATCTAGTTAACTACGTATTAAGTAACAGTTTTGTAACCTATAAACAATTACTTTTTCAACAAAAACAAGGTATCCCTCAAGGACAAAACTGTAGCCCTATGCTAGCAGACTTAACTTTAACATATTACGAATACATTTATCTCAAAGAAAAAGCTGATAGCAAGATTGTAGGATACAGATACATGGATGATATACTTATACTTTACAAAAACTCCATTGATATTGAAAAATATCTATCCGAAATTTACCCCAAAGAGCTTACTTTAGAACGAACCAACTCTAGAAATGATTGCGGAAATTTTCTAGACCTAAAAATCTACACTCAAAACAATATAACACATACCGAATTATATAATAAAGTAGATGATTATAAATTTAAGGTCACACGCTTACCAAACTATTGCTCAAACATCTCCTATTCTATCAAACACGGGTGCGTGGAAGGAGAAATTATCAGAATAGCTCGAAAATGCTCCCAACAAAAAGATCTAATTAAACACATAAAACTTTTAATAACTCATCTACAAAATAATAGTTACCCTACGCTAGTTTTATATGCCCTTTGCAAAAAAAATTTTCACTAAATACCCGGTACTTAGTCTCAAACACCAATGCAATCCAAAAAACATAGTTCATTTACTAAAATAGTCGAATATATACCCTATTAGGTAAATTTAAAATATACATTTTCTATAATTTATCACTTTACCATTTACTTTATCCTTTTCCATTCACTTTTCGACTTCTTTCAACCATAAACACATTTTCTAAACCAAACGCGCCAGACCATTACGCCATGTATATCCCTTTTCTCTGCCCCCTCTCTCTGCCCCATGATACCTACCCCCACGCGGTAACTCAAAAATTCCCCCCCACCACAATCTAGTTAAACCTTCTCAACCAAATACTTCATTATCCTTTAATTTTCATCTAACAAACCTTTCCTACCAAAATTTATCTAATTTCTTTCGCTAGGGATTCCAACTGAGGATGACCCGACCCTAGTGTAAATTGCCTGTCTTGGACAAGGGTCGAAACAGGCCAATTAATTTACTTTCTTTAGCCAAACTCCATATTGGAGTAACCTTTTTTTCTCAATTACATGATTTTCTTTAATCTTAGCTCACTATATTTATCATTTCCTTTCATTTGTAGGTGTGTTCCGCGCTAACGCTGAAGTGTCGCAGCGGCGAGATGAAAGCGAGAGAAAAGAGAGAGAGAGAGAGAGAGAGAGAGAGAGAGAGAGAGATACAGCGCGTGTTTGTACCCGTCGCCTTGCTGGGGGGTTCAGGCGAGGCGCAGGGCTGATTCCCGGGCAGTCGGCCAGTCTCTCGCCCCACTTCTTCTTCTTCTTCACATTCCCCCTCCGGCCACCTAGCTAGCCACACATCCACCGCAAATAATCATGGTACGCGCATCGATCCGTTGGGAATTATGCAAATTTCGAGAGTTTCAAACTTCAATGGCCCTTTAGACTGAGCACTTCACTCAGCAGAGGATTGATGGTGAGTTCACGGCTTTTTCTATGGTTTCCTAAAGAATCTATGTTAGACTGTTCTCCTAAGAAATCTCTGCTAGCCTGCCCTTTCCTAAAGAATCTCTGCTAGCCTGCCCATTCCTAAAAAACCTCTGCTAGCTTCCCCCTTTCCTAAAGAACCTCTGCTAGCCTCCCTTTGTAAAATCACTCCCCCGCAGAACTGCGCGAATGCTTCAACCTGTACAGCGACAACGGCTTCGTCAACAGCTCCTCCCAATTGCGCTGTATCTTGAGGTACACAATTCGAAATTTCTAAAATTTGGTTTTTCCAGGTCCCTCGGCTACGCGCCCACCCAGCAAAAGATCAGCGAGCACTACAGAAGGCATAGAAGTAAGTTAAAAGGCTTCAGATCTGTGAATATTTATATTTCTAGAACAGCCCATCGATTTTGCCGTCTTCCTGCAGATAGCCGCTGCTGAACAACAAGCCGGCGATCCGCTCGTTGAAGTGATTAAGGCATTAAGGGGTTAGTTCCATATCATTATTTTCGTAGGGATAATGAGATTCCCTGTCACGATTTCGAAAATCACCATTTCGAAAAATCACCATTTCGAAAAATCACCATTTCGAAAATCACCATTTCGAAAATCACCATTTCGAAAAGACACCATTTCGAAAAGACACCATTTCGAAAATCACCATTTCGAAAAGTCACGATTTCGAAAAACACCATTTCGAAAAACACCATTTCGAAAAAATCCCCAGTTCGAAAAGACCCGGTCTTCAAACAGGCATAAAAATTGCAGTGTCGAAAAACCACGGTTTTTCTCGGATATGACTAGTGATGTAATAGAAATTGTTTTAGTGGTGTCTATAATGAAATTAATCATATCTCCAGTGGAAAAATAGACCCCCGAACCTCAAACCAGCCAACGAAAATCATTTTTTCTGCGACGGAAATGGGCTATTGCTAAATCCTGTGTTTCCCAAATGGTAATTTTCAAAATGGTGATTTTCGAAATGGTGATTTTCGAAATGGTGACTTTTCGAAATGGTGATTTTCGAAATGGTGTCTTTTCGAAATCGTGTCTTTTCGAAATGGTGACTTTCGAAATGGTGATTTTCGAAATGGTGATTTTTCGAAATCGTGATTTTCGAAATGGTGATTTTCGAAATGGTGATTTTCGAAATCGTGACCGCCAACCGGATAATGAAGCTCGACTCTGCCGGCTTAAAGATAAAGCTCACCGCTTTAGACCGACGCTAGCTTCCCAAACTTGGGTCGCGGGCTTCAGAACGAAGCTGGCTTCGTGAGCTTGTTTTGCGGGCTTCAGAACGAAGCTGGCTTCTCGAGCTTGAGCCGCGGACTTCAGAACGAAGCTGGTTTCTCGAGCTTGGGTTGCGTGGTTCAGAACGAAGCTGGCTTCCCAAGCTTGGGTCGCGGGCTTCAGTACGAAGCTAGCTTCTCGCGCTTGCTTAACGGGCTTCAGAACGAAGCTAGCTTCTCGAGCTTGGGTCGTGGGCTTCAGAACAAAACTTGTTTTTAAGGGGTTTAAAACCAAGGGACACGGCGGGGGAGTTTAAAGTTAGGATTAGAAACGTTAAAACTTTAAAACTCTAGGACTCGATCGTGAGGGCCGCCAATCGATCAGTGCCCGCGAGCTCACGAACGTGCTGGCGTCGGTTGGCGAAAGGATGAGCCTGGTAATCTTCTAAAGCTTCGGTTATCAAGCTTCTTTTCAAGCCCGAAATCGACACCGTGCTCGACCAAGTGGCCGTCAACGGCATCGTGCCCCACCAAAAGCTCATCCAGCTCATCTCCCGGCCGGCCGCCCAATTTTAAAGGCACCACATAAAAGGCATTACCGGTTTATTCTCCACCCACAAGCTCTCAAACCGTTACAAAACGACGATATATATGTACACACAAAAAAATGGGTTATCGATTGTAGGCGGCCAGCTTCCGTTTGTTCGAGCCCTTCACTTTCACGTCGCGTCGCCAGCTAAAAATTGGCTATTTTCGTCTAGAAAACAAAAATTACTTGTCAAATTTCTCCTTTGCCTTTACGCCCTTCTGGAAGACGACGAGCTCTTCCTGGGTAGCGCCGTCAATTTTTGTTTGGCCCTAAAATAAGTTTATTAACAGATTTACGATATCTTCTTTGTTTTTATCTTCTTTGTAGTTTTAATAGCTTAAATTTTACCTGCAATGGTCGGGAAACGAATCCGCCGGCTCGTTGGACCCAAGTGTTCAACACCGAGGCCGACAGCGGCGTCGCCAGGTCGAGCGGTAGTATCCGGCATAGCGAGCTTCCAAAGGCTAGGAAAAAGTTATAACGTGAAAAACACGAGCTTACTATAATAGTAGTGATTGATGTCGCTGATCGGCGTCGATTCGGGGTTGCAGTTGAGCACGCTTTGGTAGTTCTGGTTGTAGCCGGTCGGGTATTGTGCCTAGAAAATAAATATTCATAAAAACGAAAAACACACAATCTAATCTGTGTTTTTTTCTAGTTTAATAAAGTTTTTAATCACGTTTTAATATACATAAAGCGAAAAAGTCTTATAAAACTGCCGATTTCTAAGTTTAAACGGAAGTTTTTGACTGAACTTTGACGTTTTTCATGCAAAATAAGCCCAAAACTTTGCAAAAAAACTTCTTTATATAACGTTATTTAACTTCTATTTAACTACTAGTAAGCAGGCTTAGCAAACTTACAACTCCTAACTGTCCCTCGACAATAGCCGGCGCCATCCACAACGGGATGTCGACCCGGATCCCGCGCGGCCCAATCGACGCCGGCGCGTTGTGGCCGAACAGCGGGAATATCGCTAAAAAGAGAGAATTCTATATTGTAAGAAACAAAAGCCAACTTGGCGGCGTCCGCTCGTCGAGCTTCATCGGCACGGTGGGCGCGCACGCGAGAATCGCGTCCAGGTCAAAGTAGTCCTGAGGGGCGTCGGTGATCCGCATCTGCGGCAGGAACTCGTCGCTCTCCATCCTTTAACGTACCTAAAAAGTTGTAGAATAAAAAAAATATACTAAAAAAATACATATTTCAAGCGGAAAATGAAAAAGCGCGACAAAATCGGGTGAGTTTTTACGTTAAAAGGCAAAAACTATAATGCTAACTTTATTTCTATCTGGTCTTATTATTCTAATTTTTTAAATATTTTTAAAGCTATTTTCAAATTGACTTTTGACGATGCAATGTTCGAAAAATTCGCCCTCGCGCGCTACGAAAGAGGCCTATTGACACGGGGAATTGAGAGATCCGAACACTGCCCCCTTGGCCAACGGCGACTAAAAGTAATAAAAAATGTATTGTAAATACAAAAATCTACCTATTAACTTGTCCTTTAGCCTTTGATAACCTTCTCTTTGTGTTCAGCGCTTCAAATTACCTATTCCGCCTTTCTTTCGGGCCGATTTTCCATCCAAAATTGTCGAAAAACTAATCCTAATTTTTATTCGGAGAATTCATCTATTAATTCGCCCAATTGAGCTTTTATAGGCTTCTCTTGGCGCTCAGGAGTTTCGATTAGGGCTCTCTGTTGCCTTTCTAACCCATTTTCGATGAGAAATTATCAAAAAAGTAATTTTTTTTTTATTAAAACATATAACAAATCTATTAACTTCTATTCACACTATGATAGGCTTCGCTTCTTGTTCACCAGCTTCGATTATCTGCCATTGCTTTCGTTCCTAACTCGTTTTCCATGCAGTTTCGAATAATTTTGTGTTTATTACCTTTTTTTCAGGCAACCATTACACCGGTAATTACAGCCAAACATGGAGCAAGAGCGGCGAAGAGCCGCCAAGAAAAAGGTACGGATCTCGCGCTTTTTATAGTTTTTAATTTTTCGCTTTTCCAGGATGAGGAGGCGCAGCGCGAGCTCGACGAGATCCTCGACGACTACGAGAAGGACCACAGCGGCCTCAACATCCCCGTCGCCAAGGCCTTCATCCGCGCCGATGTCGTGAACGCGAACAAGACGAGTGAGATTTTTTAAAATCTTTTGCTTAAATGTTTTATTAAACTTTGCTTTTGCTTTTACAGCATCGTTTGAGTCTGAAAATGCTGATTTATTTAAAACAAAAAACGATCAAAATGCATTAAAAGTCGATTAGACATAAAAGGGTCGAGGAAAAAGCAGTAAAAAAACTTCTTTAGTCCCCGGCGAGGCGAAGGGCACGCTCTACAAGCCGAACAGCAACATCTTCGACAAGCTCGCTTCAAGCGCCGGCTCGACCGCCAAGGCGAAAACCGGCGTGGCCGGCTTCGAGGAGGCAAAACGATTGGCTGCTGAAAGAGTGAGGGATCTGGATTTTGTTCCAAATCAAAATATTTATTTTTAGGCCAAAAAAATGATGGAGGAGGCTGCGAAGAAGAACAAGCTCAACGGACCGGTGTTGGTGATCGCGCCGAACAATCCGCTGCGCCCCCCGAAGCCCGGCAGCAAGAAGGCCGAGGTGGCCAAGTCGAAGATGAGCAACCTGGAGATGTTCAAGCTCGAGTTGAAAGCGTAGGTCGCTTTTTTCCAACGAAAATTCTTGCTTTTTGCAGTCAACAAGAAGAGCGCGACAAGCGGCGCGATTTGCGGGAGCACTTGGTGAAGAACGTCGGTGAGGAAAAGCTTCTAAATTTAGAGAGAATTCAAAAATTCAGGTCTCGACGCCAGTGCCGTCGACCGCATCGCGCCCAACCTCGACAACCCGTACGCTTCCGGTCGTCCGGTTGGAGAATTTGACATGAACACCGAGACGACGAACCTCTACGTTTGCGGGCTGCCCCAGGATGTAAGTGTCTTTCTTCTTATAGAGGGGGAAAATCGATCAGTCGGCCTAAAAGCGAGCTTTCTGCGCTCCGTGAGAATTTCCCACCTACGGACTAAAGAACGATAACGGTAACTTTTTTAGATTGAAGTCGACGAGCTGATCGAGATCTTCGGCTCGTACGGACCGCTCGCTTCCGCCAGGGTGCTGTACCCAAGGACCGAGATTGAGAAGATGAGAGGTATCTCAGAATTCCGAAAAATACCCTGTACCGGACTGTTGGCAGGGAAAACCCGAGTTTTCCCAGTAATCTTTCATGGGCATTTTACACATTTTGCGTTGAAAAATGTTCGAAAATCCGACTTTTTTATCTAAAATGTATGAAAAACGGAAAGTTCCTCCCTGCTAACAATCTGATGCGAAATATTTTGGTTTTCAGAGTTCCTCTGCGGCTTCATCGGGTTCATGTGCCGCACGGACGCGGAACGGGCGATGGGTGGCCTGATCGGCCTGACGATCCGCGGCTGCCTGATCAAGTACAGCTTCGCCAAGCCGGTCCCCATCCCGCCGCAGGTAAATTATTGAAACAAAACGTTTTCATTTTTAAGATACCCAACCTTTTAAGTTATCAAGAATTACGGCCATTACCTCTTTCCAGCCACTCTACATCCCGCCCGCCTTACAATCCTACATGTACCCCGATCCGCCCACCGGCCTCCCCTTCAACGCCAAGCCGCGCGACATCGACCTGAAGGAGTTCATCGGCCGCTACAAGGAGCTGCCCGAATGTGGCAACCTGCCGACGGAACCCGACGCCGAGCTGCTCTTCCGAAAGGTACTTGACCAACCCCGGGTCTTTTTTGAGCCCAGTTTTTACTGGAGATGGTGAAAATGGTGAAATCTATATCTATAAATGGGTTACTACGCGTGTATCGATTTCTTTTGATCCCAACCACCTGATCCCGAAATCATCTAATCGAAAATAACCTAAATAACTTAGAAAACTAAAAAAAATGAAAATTTCGCAACTAAAACCTGCCGAAAATAATTTAAAAATATTTTTTTGGCATTTAATTTCGTGTTTGAGAATGGTTTTTGTGCCTTCCGATTACAAAAACGTTGCAAATAATGTTTTGATGGCTTTTTATGAAATTTTCGAATTGCGGAGCTTCTCAAAGAGGTCTTATAACTTTGAAAACATGGAAAAATCCGCTTATGTTATTTTCGATTAAATTTTTCGATCAGGTGGCTGTCAAGCCGATTTTCAGTCAAACGCGCCTTTTAAGAAAGCCTAATTTTCTCATTTTCGGCTTTAAAATGTTGAAAATTCCACCCCGTGTTCGCCGTGACAAATAAGATACATTTCACTGCAGATGTTGAAGAACGCGGTGGTTCGCGTAGTCATCCCCACGGATAGGTGAGTCTCGGATGGCACAAAACGACCGCCACCACTCAACCCTCGACGATCCGGTGACACGGAGCCAAAAAAACTGACTCTTTTGCAGCATTTTTCAAAATTCTCTAATGTAGCCATTTTACGTGTTTTTAGGCAGGGAATCGGTTTGTATTTTCTGATGAGTGCATTTTTATCGATTTGTGCACATTGCAATGGAGGTGGAGAAGGTTTTGAAAAAGTAAAAAAATGGATTTTTTTTAATTTTTTACAACATGTTTTGAAAACTGAAATTTTGTGCTTATTTTTTCGAATTCTCCCCTCCGCAATGTGCACAAAAATTGGCAAAATCTCTGCCATTTCAGCGCCCTGCTCGCCATCATCCACCGCACCATCGAGTTTGTCATCCGCCACGGGCCGGCCTTCGAGCGGTTGCTGCTGGATAACGAGAGCCACAATGATCTCTACCAGTAAGGAATTTGAATTAGTTCATTTTTTAGATGGTCTAAAGTCACCATGTCGGCATTTCGGAATGTCGAAATTAGCAATGTCGGCATTTCGGAATAGCGAATTTCCTAGTGTCGGCATTTCAGAATATCGAAATTAGCAATGTCGTCATTTCAGACTATCGAAATTCGCAATGCCGGCATTTCAGAATTAAGAATTTCATACTGCCGCCATTTCCGAGTGTCGAAATTGGGAATGTCTGCATTTTGTTCATCAGCTTTGGGCGTTTCCTGGATGATTTCCTCATGCTACAACCATTTTTCAGGTTCCTCTACAACTACCATCACCCGGCTCACCTCTACTACAGGTGGAAGCTGTTCTCGTTGTTGCAGGGCGACGAGCTGTACAAGTGGAGGCTGCTGCGCTTTAGGTAGCTTTTTGTTGTTAAAAGGAGAGAGAGTTGAAGACATTACGTCAGTCGAAAAGTGTGTGTGACACGCGCGCATCGAAAAATTAATAATCGAGCTTTGCTGTACCTTGAATGGAATTTTATCAGCTCTGCATTTTAGAATGTACGAAGACGGATCGTGGTGGGAGCCGCCGCCGATCCCCGGCTCCGAATACAACTCGATGCCCAGGTCGCTCTACCACACGGCGCTCTGCCTGAAGCGGCCTGAGGTGAGCCCTTTCCCGGCGAGCTATTTAATATACGTAATTTTAGAAACGTGAGGAGCCCGAAATCCTGAAGCTGAACGAGGACGAGATCTCGCGCAAGCGGCGTCGTCTGGAGGAGGCCAGGGAGAAGGAGCGCCGGCGGAAGATGCGACTGCGCACCAAGGATCGGGATCGCCTCGAGGAGATGCTGCGCAACTTGACGCCCGAGAAGCAGAATGTCGGTGATAGATTTTTTTAAAGGGACTGGCAAGGGATGCTTTTTTGCCGCAGTCTGCCCAGTCGCGAGACGCAACGCATCGCCTTTTCTTGCTATAATTGATTTTTACCCTTTCAAGATGGCCAAGCGCCACGTTTCGCGGCAAAATCTATCTATACTTGTCCCTTGCAGACCCCTTTAATACGATTTAATTTTTTAGATTGCCAAAGCGATGATCTGGTGCGTGGACCACTCGATAGCCGCCAAAGAGATCGTCGACTGCATCGTGGAGTCGTTGATGATCGACGAGACGCCCCTCCACAAAAAGGTATCAACCCCCTTCCGAACGAAACTGTCTCCCATTCCAGATCGCGCGTCTTTATCTGGTTTCTGACATTTTAGCCAACTCGGCCCTCCGCGGACTTGGCCACGTGTTCTATTATCGCGAGTACTTTGAAAACTCGTTTAATCGGGTCTTTTCGGTGGGTTTTTGCGTTTTAGCAATTGGAATAAATACTTTTTCTGTTATTGTTTATTGTTTTTCGGACTTCTAAAAAATTCTTGGTCATCTACGGACTTTTTAGAGCGTTTTAAGCAATTTTCTGACGATCGACGAATATAATGACCCTTTTTAGGCAATGGGCCGCGTGTTGCAATCGATTACGGCTCGCCTAAAAGCCGAACAATACAAGCAGCGGTAAGAAACTTTAGAATTTCGTTGATTTTCCACTTTTTCCAGTGTAATGGCCTGTTTCCAAGCCTGGGAATCGTCGGCCGTCTATTCCACGGAGATGCTCATCAAGAACCAGAACATTTTCCTGGGCCTGATTGAGGTAAATTTTATTAATTTCACCTAGCTATTATCGTATTTTTAGTACAAAGAGAGCGCGTCGTCGGCGTCTTCCGCCGCAAATTCTGATGCGGAAGAGGAGCGCAGCACTCAGGCCAAACGATCGAAGCGCGAACCGGAAGATGAAGATCTCGACGGCGTCCCAATCGATCAGGGACCTTCTACGGTAGTTTTTGAAGCTTATGGTTAAACAATTAAACTTCCTTAAACATCTTCGACTTTTAATAACTCATCTTAAGAATAATGGTACTAAGTTAGAAGACTGCCTTAAACATCTTCGACTTTTAATAACTCATCTTAAGAATAATGGTACTAAGTTAGAAGACTGCCTTAAACATCTTCGACTTTTAATAACTCATCTTAAGAATTATGGTTATCCTAATCCGATTTTGAGACAACTTTGTCAAAAAGTCCTCAAAAAATCACCTTTACTGAGTCTCAAATACGACATTAACCCTAAAACCTTCATCCACCTTATCAACAACCCCAACTCTAACTAATTTATTTTAATTCTTTACTCTTCTTTTAGTTTTTTCTACATTCCTCTTTCTATTTTCATTTCCCCTTACACTGCTTGGCCTAGCCTCCGATTACGCCACCCTACACTCCGCTCCTTTCGACACGGGCTTCCCCCGGCTCTCCCCGAGCTAAGGAAGCCTGCCAAAGTGGGCCAAAAAGTAGAAGAAAGGAAGAGCAAAAATAAAGTAGATGAAATAAACTTAAAATAGTCCTCCCTTTGTATTAGCTTCTTTTCCTTCCACATTTCCTTCTTTATACTTTAATTCCTATCTTTTCCAACTATTATCTCATCTAACCTCTTCTATTTAACCTCCAAAAGCGTCAGGGATCCAGCTGAGGAGACCCACCCTGACGTATTCTAAGCCTGTCTTGGATTAAGGGTCGAAACAGGCACATCTTTTCTTACTTTACCTCTTAAATACTCGTTTACGAGTACCCGCCTCACCTTCATGGTGAGGTTTGTGTCCTTTTGGACAACCAGCTTGCTCTCGTAGCAAGTTTGTCCCTTCGGGGAACCCGTTCGCTTCGGCGAATTTCGCCTCTTCGGAGGTATTCGCTCGCTTCGGCGAGTTTTTTCCCTTCGGGGAATTCTTTCAATTTTAATTATATTAATACATTAGTTTATTGTTTCTAGGTACCTGTTGATGATCTCGACGGCGCCCCGATTGACGACGAGCCATTTGTGGAAGAAGAGGCGAAGAAGCCGGTCTTCAAGAGTGGCGGCTGGGCCGAGGTGGAGCCCGTGGAAGCCCCGCCGGAAGCGCGCTCCAAATGGGACTTTGAGGATGAGGAGCGGGGTAAGAATTTATGTATCGTTCGCGCTCTCTCTCTCTCTCTTCCTCGCTCTTTCTCTCTCTCACTCTCTATCTCGCTCTCTCCCTAAACCTATAATTTTTCAGGCTCCAAGAACAAATGGGACGAGGAAGAGCACCAGCCCCTCTACACCCAGCAACCCGCCGAATCCTCGTTTAGTAAGAATTTTAAAATCGGGGCTGATTCCTTCTTTTTTTAGATCGTCCCCACAGCGGCACCGACGATGAAAACAGCCGGCCACGCCTAGACGATTCGGCTTCAAAATGGGAAGACGACGACAATGGCGAATATTCACCGGGTGAAATTGCGAGCCCAGTTCGAAGGTATGCACATTTTTAATTTATATTATCATTTTTCTTTGCCTTTCATTCTTGAAAAAAAAAATCAAGAAAACTACTGAAAAATATCTTAAAAAATTCAAAAATTTTTCAAAAAGTCGATATTTTGGACAAAATCGGTATTCCTGATATTTTTTAATAAAATTTTGTAAGTTTTGTACATTTAGGAATGGTAAGAAGCCGTTTAGAAACACTTCCGCTTTTTGTATTTGGAATAGTCAATTCTGAGGAAAAAAATTGCCCACTTCCCCGATAATGCGAAAGAACCCACATTTCTTTTACTTCCTTCAAAACTAGCCGCTTGAACAAAACATTAATCTTTTATTTCCAGTGAGAACAAGCCCGAATCCCAAATCGTGCTCGAGAAGATGAACAGTGAGCTGAAAGGAAAAGCGGACGCGCTGCGACGTCAGCTTCTTGAAGACAGGGAGCCGGATTGCGAGATGATCGTCAGGAGGTTAGCTTTCGTCTGGTGGCTTGATCGTTTTTTTTCAGATTTGAAGCCGAGCAGCGCGACAAGATCAACAAGGTCGTCCTGGAGCTGGAGGCCAGAGAGGCGGTAAGGAATTTCCAAAATACCAAAAAGATATCGTGTTTTAGAAAACCCGTAAAAAGGAGAAGAAGGAGAGCAAGCGGGAGAAGGAGAAAGAAAAGGAGAAGGAAGGCCGCTCCACACGCAGCTCGATAAGTGAACGGGATCGGGATAGAAGGTACGTTTTCAAGTCTCGACTGCCGCGGCAGCGATACGCAACGCGCGACTCCATTACGCAATGGAAAGGCGGGCTATGCGTTGCGTATCGTAGTCGCGGAAATATCGTTCGGGTTTAACCATTTTTTGGAATTTATTCACCTTTTTAGGAGATCACGCTCAAGGGACCGCAATCGCAGCCGTGAGCGCAGTGAGCGGGATCGAAGCCGAGATCGGGGCCGTGATCGCGATCGAGACAGGGAGCGTAGAAGAAGTCGCAGTGCTGATAGGCGAGCTTTCCTTAGGTTTTCCAAACTTCCGGATTCTTTGGCATTATTGGGGGGAAAAATTTTCAAATACAAATAGACAATAGACGTAGTTTTCCTAAACTGGTTCATACCGCAATTTCCTGTTTTAGAATGTTTTTCTCCGTATTCTAAATAGCTTTGTGCGGAGTTTGGCTAGATTTGCTAAAAACGCTATTAAATACGTGTACGTACGTACGGTTTCTAAGAAAAACCCTCCCCCCGATAACGCTAAATCACCTTTTTTCGTTTAGAAATCGTGACCGTCACTCGGAACGGGATCGCCGGAGGAGTCGAAGTGCAGACAGGTATGAATTAAAAAAATTACATATACCCTGGTTTAGGGATCGCCGAAAAAGCCCGGACCGGCGCCGTCGTTGATTTTTGCCGTCTGCCAGATGCCGAAGAAATTTATCGTATCCCACGCCCCCGGTTACCCTCATTGTTGCCTGTTGCTCCCCCCGCTGTTTGCCCCCCATCATTTCGTTGACCCCCTTATGCGAGTATTTATAGTGGATGTTCCTTTCGTGTTTTAGCATCAATAAACGTTATAAATATTTTGTGCTACGCGTCAAAGAAAACCTGTAAGAGCATTTCATAGTATTGCTAGAAGGCGTCGGCGCCGGACTTTATGGAATTTCGTTTTAGTTTATAGGATTATTCGATGAGATGGCTGAAGGAGAAGCCAGAAAAAGAGCTGGAGGTACTTTATCTCAACTGGTTTTTAGGAAAACGAAACTAGCAGAGATTATTGAGGCAAGGACAGGCTAGCAGAGATACTTTAGGAAAGGGCAGGCTAGCAGAGATTCTTTAGGAAAATACAGGCTAACGGAGATTCTTTAGGAATTATGACCGTGCTAAAATACTCTTGATTCAGAACCCGGCATTGATGCGACCGACGCATCAACTCGAAAGAAAAAGCCCAAACAAGCTCGAGCGACTTTTATAGTGCCGCTGCAAGGTGCAGGATACTTTTTATAAAATTTGTATTATTTATAGGTATTCGCAACTGCGAGGGTGATCTCTTCCATCATACTGCTCCGCGCCGACTTTGTGAAAAAGGACGGCAACGGCTTGAAGACGCTGGAATCACCATCAAGGCCACGCATTTTGACAAAGTGAGGTTTAGATTGTGGTAGTACAAAATTGTTTAGAATGAGGACGAGATCGTGCAGCGGAACTGGTACGAATTTGCCGATCAATACGGGCTCAAGGATAAAGATGTAAGCTGTTGATAAAAATATTAGACTTCTTGTAGGCGTTGTACCTCTGCGGCGTCGACGCAAAATCGCGAGGGGCTGGAATGGACGAGCGCTCGGTGTTCATCCAAAAAAGCCGTTTCTTCCCCAAAATTTGCCGCAAATTGGAGCACAGGACTGGGGAAACGGTTTGTTTTTATGTTATGTTTCTCACGGAAAATTTCAGGTAATCGCGGCCTTACGACGCATGTTCGACCCGAACACAAAAGACCCAAATCGGGACTTTGCCCTGAAATTCACGGAAGAGGAAGACAAAATGCTTCGGGTAATGAATTGCTCTGAAGTCCTAATAACCACAACGTTCAGGAATATTACCAAAAGGGCTGGACCCTCTTCAAAATTGCCGAGGCCATGAAGAAGCCGAAGGCTCGCATCCAGTCTCGTATCAAGTCGTCAATTATTGTAATCAAAAACTTTGATTTAGATATTTTCGGAAGCAAGGGCTAACCAGAGAGGCGGATGTTCCTGATGATGCCAAAAACGCGTTCTACTGGGCCACTTCCTACAGTTCCATCAAAAGCAACGGGTTCGCGATGCCGGAGACTGGAGTGCTCGATCAAAATGGCGACTTCTTTTACCACGCGCATATGGTCCACAGTTTGAGTCTGGCAAATGTGGAACGGCTTCAGGTTTTACACATTTTTGCGGAACCTATAAACTTTTCAGCGGTATTTTTGAAATTGCTGTTTTAGAAACACGGTCTCCTACTGGAGACGACACGCATGGATGGCGAAGAAAAGAGAAAGGCCTTGAGGAATGCCACGGTATAACAAATCGCTTTTCGGCATTTTGTCCTAGAAACTGATGAACGAGTTCAAGTTCTCGAAGCTCGCCTTCATCTGGATCCTGGGATATGCGAAATACGCAAAGGCACTGCACAAACACTGGGCCAGCGCTTTTCCAGGTAGAAAAATTGTCATAGGATCGTCAGAAACTAAACCTTCAGAAGAAGACGAGCGCTTCTTCGAGTGGTCCTTTCAACAGAGGGCCATATTCACGTCGGAGAACCGATTTTGGCCCCGGCTTTGCGAGGGCTTCCCGAATCGACCGTCGGCGGCCGTCGCAGGGTGTGTGCGTGGGGTAAGCAGCTGGTAGTGTACGTATCATTTTTGCGATTTCCGTTTACGTTTTCCGAAGTTCTTGCCGAAAGTACGTAATTTCCGGAAAATCGCGGTTTTGAAAGAGGTTCTTGTATTGTCCGACATCGGACCGTATTGAATGGATTAGAATAGAATCGATCGTTTTAGTTAATCGACCCGGCCAACGAGCTTCCTGGCGCCCAGGATCGACTAACCGAGGAACAGTACCACGAGTTTGACCGGGTCTACCGAATTCATCACAGCCTGGCCACGGTAGGTTTTGCCAAAACCAATTTTTAAAACTTGTAATGAAAATATTAGCTTTATTATGCTTTTGTTGGTTTCCGATCGTATCACTTGGGTTTTGCAGCAAGTCTTGGAAGGTATCGATATTCATAGGATATTTTTGTAGTATAGAAAACGAGTTTTGCCCATTTTTGGTCGTTTTGATCCGATTTTTGGCCAGTACGTTAGAAATTTTAAACGTTTTAAGACTCTGTTAATGTATCAAGGCTTAAGAATAAAAAGCAAGGCTACGATCATGAACAGAAAAACAATAAAGACCAAATAAAATGGCTTTTTAGACCGCCGGCATACTCGGGATGCCATTTCTCAAGGCGTTCATGGCCATTAAAAATAACGAGTATCGCGCCACCCCGCTTCGCGTCACCGAGCGCCGCAGATTATGGTCGGCAATCTTTGTTTTATGAATATCACCCAGAGCATCATCACTATCATCTAACAACAAGCATTTTCAGGAATATCCTCGAAAAGCGCCACTCTGGCGGCGGCAAGAAGCTGATCATGGACGAGATTCAAAAGGGAAAATCCAAGTTTAACGCCAAGAAGATGGCCATCACGATGAGTCGACACACGCCGGCAAGTCAGCAATGACCAAGCAAAAAACGAGAAGCTTTTTTCAGGTTATTGTTGACGCATGGAAGGAGCTGGTCGGCGAGTTTCAAGAGCTGCTTGAGCACGAAGACTTCGAAGACGTCTTTGAGGTATCGTTCTTTCGCTTGGCCACAACTTTGCCTCTAGAAAGTCATCCCGAAGCCCTATCCAATCACCGGCCGGGAATTCTCGGACTTTCTCGAGCTTTTCATCGACTACAACCCGAAGATTGTTGTCCGAAAAATGAGGTATACCTTTACTTTTTCGAAAGGTCCAGAAGTGCCTAGTAACTTTGTTGTAAAATTTATCTATTTTTCCATTCGAAAAACAGTAAAAACGATAAATTTTTTAGTCTAAATTTTGGTAAAAATTGGTCTTTTTGGGCAAAAATCTATTTGTTTTTGTATCTTTTTAATCAACATTTGTAAAGTAATAATAAAACGTTAGAACTCGGATTTTTTAGGTTCACCGACACGGACCGGCTGAATCTGGAGCGTCGAATGATACGAATGGGGCTGACCGGCTTCAACACGCAACGCTTCACCGAACTACAGTAATTTCCGAAAAACCTACAGCATCGGTCCAAATTGCAGCTTTTGCCGCCGGATGTTGGGCAAGATTTTGTGCCAGATTTGCACAAATCTGAAGCCGGTGGTGGATTTGACGACGGTGGCAAGGAATGATGCGCTAAAGGTGATTTTTCTTTATGATTTAATTTTTTTTCAGGTTCTTTCGCATCATCAGCTTTAAAAAAAACGTTCTAAAATGCCGGCTTTTGGTCGAAAATCGGCCAGTTGCGGCCGGAAAATCAATATGCTTGTATTTTCAATCATTCCCCCCCCCTCGATAATGCAAAAGCACCCTGGTTCCATAGTGTTTTTACAAAATTAGCTATGTTTGAAGTAGAAAAACTAATAAATAAACTGAAAATAGCTTAAAGTTACAATAAAATTTTGAAATTTTTTGACGGTCGACTGATCGAAAAATCTATATTTTTGCGTCCTGAAAAATTGGTGCAGTTAGGAAGTGTAAAGTAAAGGTGGAAAACTAACATTTGTAGCACAAATATGGGTTTGCACGAAATGCCCCCCCCCCCGATATTGGCAAAGCGCCAAAAACTGATGGATTTAGGTGTTGTCAAAGACTATCGGCAAGCTTGGAGATGCGCCGTTTCGAAAGTTGGCCACCAAGGACTTTATCGACACGCTAGTGAGGTATCTAATGCTGATGATCCGTTTTTCAATAGAGTTTTTAGTCACATGGCCGAGAATCATCCAACTTGGCAACCGACCAAGGGCTTGCTGGAATGGTCCGAGGAGTTGGGCAAGCAGACGCGCCAAGCCAGATTCTAACAAATTGATTTAATACTAAAATATTGATATACCTGTTCTCCAGCGATCTCCGCTAGCCTATCCGCTTGGTCTCCCCGATTTTGTGATCACTTGCTACGGTTATTTTTCGTTACTCGTTTATTGTTTTTTTGCGGAGCTTTGTAAAGTTTAAATAAAGTTTTCAACAACGTGACGAGGATGGATACGGAATCAGGATGTTTACCCTTCCACATGCCTTCAAGTTTAACCCTGCCGGCCTGAACGTGAATTGCTTCTTCAAGCGTCTACTTTCAAAAATGTATAAGCCGTGCTTCGAAAACAGTTCTTTTAGCTCAACTCATGGACGCTGAAGAAGAAACAGAGCGCAAAAGGGAGCACGAAGGTATCATTCTGGTAGTTATGTATGTGACGACTTTTAGACGATGAAAATGGCGTAGAGGAACAACCGGCTCGAAAGAAGAATAAAGCAAAGCGCACCTATTTTGTGCTTCCGCTGCAAGGTATCCCTTTCCAAAGCGACGTCAATAGCCTACATTGAATTTCTAGGTATTCGTAACAGCGAAGGTGATCTCTTTCATCATACCGGCCGGCGTGCACTTTGCGAAAAAGGACTGCAACGGCTTCAAGAGGCCGGAATCACCATCAAGGCCAGGCGCTTTGCAAAGGTTTGCTAGAAGAAAGTAAATTACGACGAGCCTTGTTTAGGCTGAGGACGAGACCATTCAACGGAATTGGTATGAGTTTGCCGATCAATATGGACTCGACGAAAAAGACGTGAATCTTATTGAGTAGAAATAATATACCCCAATTAGGTTCTGTACCTCTGCGGCGTCAATGCAAAGCCAGGACCCACAGTGATGGACGAGCGTGGAGCTTTCATATTGAAGACGCACTTCTTCCCGAGAATGTGCCGAAATTTGGAGCACCGGACTGCCACAGCGGTTTGAAATTTACCTTGGTTTATATGCCTTGAATATTCTAGGTAATTGAAGCGGTTCTGCGCCTTTACGATCCCGTTGCGAAGGATCCAAACATCGACTATTCTTTGAAATTCACGAAAGAGGAAGATGACATGCTTCAGGTATTAGCTAAATTTGCGACAGTGGAAAGAATTTAGGAATACTATCAAAAGGGATGGACCTTCTTTAAAATCGCCGAGGCAATGAAGAAGCCGAAGGCACGAGTCAAGTCGAGAATCACGTAAGTGTTGGATTTTATCTACCAACTAACTACCTGATTAGGTACTTTCGAAAACAGGGCCTGAGCAGGTCCAAGAACATCCGATCCAGCGGAGCCTCTATAGATGATTTCTATTGGATGGCTTCATACACACGTGCCCGCTATCAACGAGGTTTTCCGATGCCTGAAACTGGAATCTTGGATGCGAATGGAGATTTCTTCCTTCATGCGAACCCAAAGTACAAGCTCACGCTACCCGTTTTGGAACGCTTGCAGGTTACTATGTTTTCCAACCGCAGCAAAAATTATTAGTTTTATGAGATCGCTCTGACGGCTAAGATAGTTTTCCTTGAGATTCGACTTTTCTTGCAGAAGCATAACGTCGTGCTCGAAGCGACTCCGCTCACCGATGTGGAGAAGCGAAAAGCTCTTCGAAACGCCACGGTATATCCTTTTTGCATCACTAAAATGTATTTTAGAAATTGATGAAGGAATTCGGAATGGGTCGATTGCTTTTTATCTGTGTGCTCAACTTTACCAAATATGCGCAGGCTTTGTATAAACGACATTCGGACATCTTGGAAGGTGAGTGCTAAACCATAACTGATAACTTCTATATATTCCAGCTCCAGACGATCGGTTCTTTGATTGGACCTTCCAACAACGACAACTATTCACAGCCACGAATCGGTTTTGGCCTAGGCTTTGCGAAGGACTACCAACTCGTGCCTCAAATACGATCTGCTCGGCCATTTTTGATGTAAATATGAGACAGAACTCTTGGTTGCCACCCTCCCCCCCCCCTCACTAGTTCAGACTTCTAAAATCATTCCTTCTAAAATTCATTACTTCTAAAAACGTTACTTTTAAAAGTTGGCACGTCGGTTCATCAGTTTTTCGGCACGGTTGGCAATATTTATGCCCAAATCGACGCGTACAATTTTAGAACTAATGACTTTTAGAAGTAATGACTTTTAGAAGTGGTGGTGGGTAGCCATATAATAGCACAGAAACTGTTTTTGTAGTTGCTCGACCCTGCCAACGATTTTCCCGGTGCTATGGATCCGCCGACGCAGGAGGACTACTACGAACTCGATCGGCTTTATCGAATTCATCGCTGTCGTTCCCTGGTATTTGATTTGGCATCTGATTAGTTTAGAAGCGCAAACATTGTGCCTTAAATATTATGTGTCTCATTTTTAGGTTGCAGTTTGGTCAGGCAAGCCCTTGCTGAAGACTTCATGGACGTTACAGTTACACAAACGTCGGTCGGTCCCTCTACGTCGGACGGAAAGGAGACGACTGTGGTGAGCGAGCGGGTTGGCAGTCACCTGATCGAAAATAACTCAAAAAAAATTCTAGGTTTTTTTCTAGGCTTCTAACATGTGTTAAAGCTTGTTTTTGAGTTATTTTCGGTTATAAGATGGTCGATTAGACGGTTTTCGATCAAGTGATCGGGAATCGAGCGAGCGAATGTTGCTCTTTCTCCTGAATTCTAGTGCGCAACCAATTTGCCATATGGCCCTTCATTCTAGGAATATCTTGGCGAAGCACTACGTTGGCGGTGGACCAAAATTGGTGCGAAAAGAATTGCGGAAGGGCAGATCGAAGTTTGACTACAAAATGATGGCAAGATTGTTGTGTCGACACATTCACGTTAGTGAAGATGTCCGTTGCGAAACTAAGTGATTTCTAGATTGTACGCGACGCTTGGCGAGAGATCATCGACGATTTCCGGGAGCAGCTTGAGGAGAAAACGTTCGATGAAGCCGTTGAGGTTGCTTTGCGAGAATACACATCAGAGGAAAATCCTAGGCAGTCATCCCGAAGCCCTATCGAATCACTGGTCGGGAATTTCACGATTTTCTCGAGCTTTTCATCGACTACAACCCAAATGTAGGAATGAGATACATGAGGTAGTCGCCACAATTTATGCCGAAAATCACTTTTGTTTTCAGGTTCCGGGACAGAGATCGTCTGAAAATTGAGCGGGGTATGGTGCGACTCGGCCTTACCGGCTTCTACACGGGATTCCGAAATGAATTTCAGTAATGTTTTTCCTTTCCGAAAAACTCTTTGTTTAGGTATTGTATCGAACTGCTGAGAAGAGTTGTTTGTAGAATTTGCCACAACCTGAAGCCGGTGGTGGATTTGACGACGGTGGCTAGGAACGATGCCTTGAAGGTACCGGGTTTTCGGAACGCAGGTGAACTGCGGGTCCATTTATTGACTTGGATCACTAAGTCCCCTACCGTGCAATTAAGCCGAGTTGCAAAAATCGATTTTGCACCCCAAGAAATATTATTTTTGAGTTCCGATTATTATCATTTTGGACTTGGGAGGGAAGCATTGGCCTAGAACTATCTAGCCTAAGCTCTAGCTCCTTTCCCCTGGTGGTGAATTCGACTTTACACCGACAGACGCCTTAGCAAAGTTATTCTAGTTGCTTTCAGGTACTTTCCAAGTGTTCTGCCTCGCACGGTGATAAAGCCTTACGCTCTGTTTCCACGAAAAACTTTGTGGATACGCTGTTGAGGTGAGAAAGTCTTAATAAAATCCTAGAGCTTTTTAGTCACATGGCGGAGTATCACCCGGATTGGCAGCCACCGGAAGGACTGCTCGATTGGGCGGAGAGATTGGCCGAGTTGCAGGAGAAAGATGGTCCCTCGAATGTAAATAACTGATATACATATGAAATGCGCAATGATTTCGAATCGATCTCCGTTTACATACCCGCTTGTTATCTCCTGATTTGCCGTCTCTTTCTACCTACGGGTTTTCTTTGTTACGTTCTCACTTTGTTATTTATTGTTGGCACGAATTGCTCAAATGCTTATTGTTATTGTTGGCCCTATTATTCGTTGTCACTAATTTGTTGTTGATTGCACAATTTTTCAAGTTGCAGGAATAAAGTTTGTTTCGATCCATAATGATCAGAAAAGGAGAGAAAAGGTTGTACAACCTTTTGAACATTCATGCTATTATCACTTCAAACTGCTTTCAATGAATTTCTTCTCTCAACTCGTGATACTCTCAAATGGAGCCGGACACAGAAGAAGACAACGTGCGAAAAAGGGCCCACGAGGGTATAAAGCCGCTGATAGTTGGGTTTATGACGCCTTTTAGACGACGAAAATGGCGCAGAGGAACAACCGGCTCGAAAGAAGAATAAAGCAAAGCGCACCTATTTTGTGCTTCCGTTGGAAGGTATGTTGTTTGGATGTCGAAAGAAGTAGATGACTCAAATGATGGATATTAAATAGTTATCATTATTTATAGGGATTCGTAACTGCGAAGGCGATCTCTTTCATCATACCGGCCGGCGTGCACTTTGCGAAAAAGGACTGCAACGGCTTCAAGAGGCCGGAATCACCATCAAGGCCAGGCGCTTTGCAAAGGTTTGCTAGAAGAAAGTAAATTACGACGAGCCTTGTTTAGGCTGAGGACGAGACCATTCAACGGAATTGGTATGAGTTTGCCGATCAATATGGACTCGACGAAAAAGACGTGAATCTTATTGAGTAGAAATAATATACCCCAATTAGGTTCTGTACCTCTGCGGCGTCAATGCAAAGCCAGGACCCACAGTGATGGACGAGCGTGGAGCTTTCATCTTGAAGACGCACTTCTTCCCGAGAATGTGCCGAAATTTGGAGCACCGGACTGCCACAGCGGTTTGAAATTTACCTTGGTTTATATGCCTTGAATATTCTAGGTAATTGAAGCGGTTCTGCGCCTTTACGATCCCGTTGCGAAGGATCCAAACATCGACTATTCTTTGAAATTCACGAAAGAGGAAGATGACATGCTTCAGGTATTAGCTAAATTTGCGACAGTGGAAAGAATTTAGGAATACTATCAAAAGGGATGGACCTTCTTTAAAATCGCCGAGGCAATGAAGAAGCCGAAGGCACGAGTCAAGTCGAGAATCACGTAAGTGTTGGATTTTATCTACCAACTAACTACCTGATTAGGTATTTCCGAAAGCAGGGCCTGACCAGGTCCAAGAGCATCCGACCCACCGGGGCTACTATAGATGATTTCTATTGGATGACCTCATACACTCGTTCCCGCAATCATCGGGGTTATCCGATGCCTGAGACCGGCATCTTGGACACGAATGGCGATTTCTTCCATCATGGGAACCCAAAGTACGAAGTCACGCTGCCCGTTTTGGAACGCCTGCAGGTCTGTTGGATCATTGTTGTTTCCTATCGGCGGGTCTTTTTGATCCTGAGAAGCCCGGGAAATAGCTTCGATTTTCTCTGCTAGCGTTCTTTCGAGAAACTGACGATTGTTTTTTTATTCGCGGCATCTTCTAACGAATGCAGTATTCCTTGAAATTTGTATTGTCTTGCAGAGCCACAACGTCGTAATCCAAGCCAATCGGTTGACCGATGAGGAGAAGCGGAAAGCTCTTCGAAATGCGACGGTATCTTATTACATCCTCGACATGTCTTTTAGAAATTGATGAAGGAATTCAATATGAGCCGGTTGCTTTTTATGTCGGTGCTCCGCTATGCCAAATATGCGAAGGCTTTGTATAAACGACATTCGGATAATTGGGAAGGTGACGGTTAATCATAGCTGTTAACCGAGATTCATTCCAGCTCCAGACAATCGCTTTTTTGATTGGACCCCCCGACATCGAGAACTATTCACGGATGCAAATCGATTCTGGCCTAGGCTTTGCGAAGGACTTCCGGCACGTACTACGACGGCCGTCTGCACGGCGGTTTTTGCGGTAGGTGATTTTTTGCGTAAAGGCCACCGAATAATCAAATCACGGACAAATACTTTGTTAATTTGGAGGTACTCGACCCGGCCAACGATTTTCCCGGTGCAATGGATCCGCTGACCCAGGAGGACTACTACGAGCTCGACCGGCTTTATCGAATTCATCACAGTGGATCGGACGTGCGTATTTCTTTCGTTGACAAGGAGACGTTTTTGAGTAACATCCCAGTTTTGAGCAGGACCAAGCCTGTCTTGTGCAGAATTTTGCGCTGACTCCGAATCTGCTTTCCAGATTTGCAGTTAGCGCATCTTGTCCAGAAAATTCAGAAAAAGATGCTCTTTCGACTCAACTATCACATGCAAATTTCGGAAGCCTTCCGGGAAAACCATTTTATTCACGATGTGTTCTTGCGCAGCATCTTAAAGCAAGTTTAAAAATATTAGATTTTGCTTATGATAGTTAAGTCAAATCAGCATCTTTTTCTGCACAAGATGCGCTTATTTTAAAGAATAATTTTCTCTCGAATTTTTGCAGGAGTCTGAACTTTGCGATATCAGCATTTTTGCCCTAAAATGCGCGGTGATTTAATTGAAAATACCGGTTAAGTAAACTTGGAAAACAGATTCGGAATCAGCGCAAAATTCTGCACAAGATGGGCTTGGTCCTGCTCCAACTGGGGTATCACTAAAAAACGTCTCCTTGTTAGTCCAAACATTGGCAACTCATGGCGCAGGGGTTGAAGCTGAGCCGACCCATAGAAGTTTTGATTTGCTATCGTTTTTCGAAATTCACTTTGTCGAAACTCCAATGCGCTGAACATTCAATTTGCGAACTGTTTGAGATGAATCATCGATGCGAAAAAGGCAGTGAAATATCTTGATAAAATGAAAATAAGCCGGAAGTTTTCAGGTCGCCGTCTGGATGGGAAAACCCCTAGCTAGAGTACGTGACCTGCTTAGGCTACACAAACGTCGCTCGGTTCCTCTGCGACGTGCGGAGCGTCGACGGCTATGGTAAGCGGCTTTGTTTAGCCCGGTTTCGTCAAGCTGCTTGGAATGCATTGCATTCTAGGAATATCTTGGCGCAGCAGTATACGGGTGGTGGGCCAAAGTTGGTGCGAAAAGAATTGCGGAAGGGCAGGTCGAAATTTGATTGCAAAATGATTGCCAAGCTGCTTGGACGACACGTCCACGTTAGTCAAGCTATTCATTACGATACTAAGCAAATTCCAGGTTATACGCGACGCTTGGCGAGAGATCATCGACGATTTCCGGGAGCAGCTTAAGGAGAAAACGTTCGATGATGCCGTCGAGGTTCTTTTCTGAAAATCGAAATAAAAGTGGAAATTCTAGGAAGTCATCCCAAAGCCCTATCGAATCACCGGCCGGGAATTTCACGATTTTCTCGAGCTTTTCATCGACTACAACCCGAATGTGATTATGCGTTACATGAAGTAAGCCGTTACAGGCTCTTTCCATAAAATGGCTTTTTCAGGTTCCGGGACTTGGACCGTCTAAAAATGGAACAGGGAATGGTTCGCCTTGGTCTCACCGGCTTCTACACGGGATTCCGAACCGAATTCCAGTAATTTCTATCCATACACCTAAGCCATTTTAGGCATTGTATCTGGCTACTAGGGCAAGTCATCTACCAAATTTGCGCACAACTGAAGCCGGTGGTCGACTTGACGACCGTTGCGAAGAAGGATGCGTTGAAGGTATAATTTTTAAGCGGACTAGGCTGCCAGCCCCGACTTCAGGTGCTCTCCAAGTGTTTCGCACGTCAAGGCGACAAGCCTTTCCGCTATTTGCGCACGAAGGACTTTGTCGATACGTTGTTGAAGTGAGAATTTTTTCTAACCCTTGATCCATCGATTTAGTCACATGGCCGAGAATCATCCGGATTGGCAGCCACCGGAAGGACTGCTCGATTGGGCGGAGAGATTGGCCGAGTTGCAGGAGAAAGATGGTCCCACGAATGTAAATATCTGATGTACATATGAAATGCACAATGATTTCGAATCGATCTCCGATTACATACCCGCTTGATCTCTTCTGATTTGTGATCTCTTTCTACCTACGGGTTTCCATTTGTTACGTTCTCACTTTGTTATTTATTGTTGGCACGAGTTGTTCAAAAATTTATTCTAGTTGTTGGCCCTATTATTCGTTGTCACTAATTTGTTGTTGGTTGCAAAATTGGTCAAGTTGCACGATAAAGTTTGATTCTATCGATAATGATCAAAAAAAAAGAAAGAAGCGGTAATAGAACCTTTTGAACATTCATGCTATTATCGATTCTGACTCCTTCAAATGAATTTCTTCTCTCAGCTCGTGATACTCTTTTCTAAACTTTTCAGGGTTTCCTCGTTAACACTAGCTTTTCCGCAATATCCTTTTTATTTTTAGCTCATTCGATGGAGCCGGACACAGAAGAAGACAACGTGCGAAAAAGGGCCCACGAAGGTAGGTTTTGATAGTTATTGTTGTGTCTTGCCATGTAGATGTGTGACAGCGCGGGACGAACAGTTCGAAAGACTGTTTATTCGGTGAACGACATGGCGGCAATAGGAGGAGGAAATTAGAACTGAACTGGGGAAATAAATGCCATCGCAGGCCCCTGGGGGAGAGAGACCCCGTTACGGTGGAAAGGGCACTGGATAGGCGAGGGACCGGGGAGCCAAGGGAAAAGGGCGCGGGCGCTCACAGGCGCCTCCGCAACACCTCCCCCTGTACAAACGAAAAGAAATGTGGATAGGAGGAGGAGACACCGAAAGGAAATACAACTGCGTACTAGCACAAACGAGGGATCAAGTCACAACGTAAAATAAGTGAAAACTTATTTGCTTTTTCCTTTAATAATTGGCGAGCGTAGGGCTTAGTCATCCTTCCTTCCTTCCTTCAGAACGTCCGGCGATGCTTGACCAAGGAAGGCGGCGATTTACGGCACGACTTCCTTCCCTCTTTGCAAGAATGATGAGCTTGAGGTTGGGCATCATGTCGACGGGCTGCTTGATGTGCGCGCTCCGTCCGCCGAGCTGTTGCAAACACTCGGTCTTTGCGATGGACCTCTTCCGTAGAGGTGGAACCCATCGGCCGGCTGCTCTTGGTGGTGGCGATCCGGGCTTTGTCGACTTGATGTTGTCGCTTTTTGTTCGCCGGGGCTCGTGGGGCTCCTCGTGCGATCGATGACCATCGTCCAGCGGTCCGAATTCCTTTCTGGCGCGGATCCATCGAAGTTGTGGATGCTGCGGGTGGGGGCATACCCTGTCCGATTTATCCTCCGGGGATATGGGAGGGACAATCTCCACGCCTAACCTCTTTGCAAGCGAATCCAGTCCTTTGTGGGTGAGGACATAACCGTACTTCTTTGTGAAGTTGTTTCGCGGCCGGTCTTGACGGAGTTCGAGCGGGCGAGGGGCAGCCGGATGCCTCATTGTGACCCTTTCGTCTCGACCTTCTCTGCATTTCCTGTCGTCCTTGGTGGCGACATCCTTCCTTCCTTCGTTGCGCTTGAGGCGAAGACGGCGCGCTTCGACTTGGTCCTTCTTGTCGACGGGCATGGCCGCGCGATCCGAGCACATAAAAAGTGCGAAGGCCAGATAGGGGTAAAAATACTTCCCTTTTAATCGAATCCTCCACGGGATGACGCCGCTTCTTGCCATGCAGAGCTTCTTATCCTTGCGCTTGATCACCATCTGCTTGACCAACTTTTTCCTTGACCGGGCGGCGGCTTGAGCGGCTGCTTCTTGGCTTGGGGGTTTCCTTGTTGTTGCGTGAGTTCGTGATCCTGCTCGCCAGTTGTTGTGTCTTGCCATGTAGATGTGTGACAGCGCGGGACGAACAGTTCGAAAGACTGTTTATTCGGTGAACGACATGGCGGCAATAGGAGGAGGAAATTAGAACTGAACTGGGGAAATAAATGCCATCGCAGGCCCCTGGGGGGAGAGAGACCCCGTTACGGTGGAAAGGGCACTGGATAGGCGAGGGACCGGGGAGCCAAGGGAAAAGGGCGCGGGCGCTCACAGGCGCCTCCGCAACAGTTATGTTTATGACGACTTTTAGACGATGAAAATGGCGCAGAGGAACAACCGGCTCGAAAGAAGAATAAATCGAAGCGCACCTATTTTGTGCTTCCGCTGCAAGGTATGTTGTTTGGGTGTCACCAGGCCTGGGAATGGGCCGGCCCGGGCCGGCCCGCCAGCCCATTTTTCTCGGCCCGGGCCGGCCCGCAGCCAATTTTTCGGCCCGCGGCCCGGGCCGGCCCGGGCCGGCCCGACATTTTGAGTACTTTTTTACCAAACCAGTATATGCCATAATTTAATTTTTCCGGAGTCACAAAAACGTGTTAGAACAAGTTCGTTAATCGTCTATAGGCTTGCACAACCGATTTAGGTATAGTATGTAACGAGAATTTATTCATAAAGCAGCACACAACCAGTTACAACTTTAGTTCAATAGAAAAAGTCTCTTTTACTTAGTGGAGTTCAATTTCTTTGGCGCCTGCGTGTAGTTTGAACGCTAATAGACTTAAATAAGGCTAACAAGGCATATTCCGAGCATTTCTGGACATTTCCGGCCAAAAAAAGCAAAAAGCAAAAGATTGACCTCGGCCGGGATCGAACCCGGGTCGTTTTCCTGATAAATCAAAGTTAAGCCAAAACTCGGATTTTTTTACTATTAGCTGTTTAAACAGATGATTTAAGTTGAATATCAATAAGGAAAACTTATAATGTAAGTAAATTACCACATTTAAACTAAATATAACTTATTGGCAAGGTGGCGGGCCGGCCCGCCAGCCTAAAATCCCGAAAATCTCGGCCCTGACCCGGCCCGGCCCGGGCCGGCCCGCCAAATTCCCTGGCCTGGGTGCCACGACATTTGCGCCCCGGCCATTTGCGCCCCGTCGGTTCGGACCGCGACACTTGCGCCCCGATTCCATAGTAAACTGCGGGGCGCAAGTGTCGGGGCGCAACTGTCGGGGAGCCGTTGTTTGGATTCCGGGAGAAGTTTATGACTAAATAGTTATGATTATTTCTAGGTATTCGTAACAGCGAAGGTGATCTCTTTCATCATACCGGCCGGCGTACACTGTGCGAAAAGGGTCTGCAGCGGCTTCAAGAGGCCGGAATCACCATCAAGGCCAAGCGCTTTGAAAAGGTTTGCTAGAAGGTAGTAAATGATGACGAACCTCCTTCAGAATGAGGATGAGATCATTCAACGGAATTGGTATGAATTTTCCGATCAATACGGGCTCGATGAGAAAGACGTAAATCTTATTGATTTGAAATAAGATTCAGAATTAGATCCTGTACCTATGCGGCGTCAATGCAAAGCCAGGGCCCACAGTGATGGACGAGCGTGGAGCTTTCATCTTGAAGACGCACTTCTTTCCGAGAATGTGCCGGCATTTGGAGCACCGGGCTGCGACGGCGGTTTGACATTTATGAAATACTTCAACTCCCTTGACACTCTAGGTAATTGAAGCGATTCTGCGCCTCTACGATCCCGTTGTGAATGATCCAAACATCGACTACTCCTTGAAATTCACGAAAGAGGAAGATGACATGCTTCGGGTAATGCTCTGCATGTTTTCTTGATTAACACCAATTTCAGGACTACTATCAAAAGGGCTGGACTCTCTTTAAAATCGCCGGAGCAATGAAAAAGCCGAAGATGCGCATCAGGGCGAGAATCGCGTAAATGCTGCGTTACATACTCAATTCTTTTATAGGTACTTTCGCAAGCAAGGGCTTAGTAGGTCCAGAAACATTCGCGCTGCACAGACTCCCGAAAATGATTTTTATTGGGCAACTTCGTACACGCGGGACGAACGTCGAGGATTTCTGCTTCCAGAATCTGGCATACTCGACGAGAATGGCGATCTCTTCTACCATGGGAGTCCGCGGTTCAAGTTGACGCCGCGATGCATCGAGCGTTTGAATGTGCGTATATGCATGCTCATTAGTGAAAATTAATTTTACAAATTGCCCTCTAGTAGAAAGTTAACACATTGCTACCAAGGAGCTATTTTCCTCTTTTAGGCTCACCACGTCGTGATCGAGAGGACACGATTTACGGATGAGGAAAAGCGAAAAGCTCTTCGAAACGCAACGGTAACTTATTGTTTCCAAAAGTATTTCTTTAGAAATTGATGAAAGAGTTCCAAATGGATCGATTGCTTTTGCTCTGTATGTTTCAGTATACAAAGTATGCTAAGGCATTGTATAGGCGAAATGAGGCGGCCTTGAAAGGTGACCTATTTAGTAAAAATGTATGCCATATTCCAGCGCCTGATGAGCGAGTCTTTGAGTGGACCTTCCTACAGCGACAACAGTTCGCAATTTCTAACCGATTCTGGCCTAGGCTTTGCGAAGGGCTACCGACTCGTGTCACCGATGCCGTTTGCAAAATGGTTTCTGAGGTACATAGGGTTTTTTTGTGGATTTATAAAAAACCAATGAACCTAATTGCGGCAGATCAGCTTTCCTTTTTAGCTAATCGATCCTGCGAACGATTTCCCGGGTGCGATGGATCCGCTGACGCAAGAGGACTACTACGAACTCGACCGGCTTTATCGAATTCATCGCAGCGGTGCGGTGGTAGTTTGTTCGTGCGATCCAGAGTCAGCTTTAGACGGCTGTTTGGTTCAACAAACCTTTGCGCACCACGTTGTCAGCCCTCCAGAACCATAAGCTCCGCACACTGCCCCTGAGACGCTTGGAACGCCGAAGATTGTGGCAGGTTTTGAATCATTGGGTCCGGGGGCCCTGAATACTAAAGATCAAAACGGTTGGATCACAGACGCTATTCTTGCTTCCAGGAATCTCCTCGCCAAACAATACCCTGGCCGCGCCGAGAGATTGGTGCGAAAGGAGCTTCGAAGAGGCAAATCCGGGATTGACTTCAAGATGTTGGCTAGAATGATTAGTCGACATATTCATGCAAGAGCTGCATCAGCTCGATTCACTATTTTATAATTAGGTTGTCCGTAACGCCTGGCGAGAGATCATCGACGACTTCAGAGGAGCTCTCGTCGCTAAGACTTTCGAAGAAGCCGTTGAGGTCGGTGTCTTCTTTAGATCAAAAACGATCTTTTTGAGGAAGTCATTCCAAAGCCTTATCGAATCACCGGACGGGAATTTCACGATTTTCTCGAGCTTTTCATGGACCTCAACCCGAATGTGATCATGAGGCATATGATGTAAGTCTCGCCACAAGAAATCTCGTCTTCATACTTGCAACAGTCCCAACTTTTTGCAGTTTCAAAGACGTGGACCGTCTCAGGATGGAAAGGAGCATGCTTCGCATTGGCTTGACCGGCTTCTACACAGGGCATACAACTGAGTTCCGGTAGGTATATACAACGTTTTGTTTAAAAAAAATACTTTCCAGGTTTTGCGCTGTACTTCTGAGGACGGTACTTCGTCTGGTTTGCCGCAACCTAAAGCCGGTGGTCGACTTGACGACGGTGGCGCGCAAGGATGCTTTGAAGGTACACTAATTTAACGAGGCAGCTCGACTATAGAAATTCTGTTCAGCTCCCTTGAGGGTCCGGAAACAACACTAATTTTAGGTGCTCTCCAAGTGTTTCGCAGCTCGCGGCGACAAGCCTTTCCGTAACCTGGCCACTAAGGATTTTGTGGATACGCTGTTGAGGTGAGAAGATTTGGCAACATTTACTAGCACTTTTTAGTCACATGGCGGAGAATCACCCGGATTGGCAGCCACCGGAAGGGCTGCTCGATTGGGCCGAGAGATTGGCCGAGTTGCAGGAGAAAGATGGTCCCACGAATGTAAATATCTGATGTACATATGAAATGCACAATGATTTCGAATCTATCTCCGATTACATACCCGCTTGATCTCTTCTGATCTCTTTCTACCTACGGGTTTGGTTTGTTACGTTCTCACTTTGTTGTTTATTGTTGGCACGAGTTGCTCAAAAATTTATTGTTATTGTCTGCACGAATTACTTACGAAGACTACACGAAGAATAAAGTTTATTGTTGTATTCGTTGACTAATCGAGTTTTTAATGAGGATTTTCCTATAATATTTGTCATTTTTGAAGGGAGTGATGAAAAAACTCTTGTTTTAGATGAAAGCGCGTAGGAAAGCCGAGACGAATGCCTCGGAAATTGGCCAGAATGGTTCGTTTAGTTGATTAGTTTTTGTTTTAGAGGGATACAGGCATGCTAGCAGAAATTGTGGGGAATTTCCGCTCTCGATACTTTGGTTTTTCTGATTTTCGGGGCGTTTTTCCAGCCATGATCCTCGCATTTTGGCAAGGAAGGCTAGCAGAGAGCCCTTGGGAGGAAAGCTAGCAGGCTAGCAGACATTTACGAGGAATTCGGCGTTATATTTGCAGTTTTGCTTTTTCTAGTTTTCGGGGCGTTTTGCAAAATCCTCGAATTTTGCTAAAGAAGGCCAGCAGAGATTCTTTAGGATGCGTAGCCTAGCAGAAAAGCTTTCCGATCTGAAACTCAGTCCTAATATCGTCCTTTAGAAGTGCTCGTCTCCCTGGCGCTAGGAGCTGTTCACTGTGCCCTCGTCACGCTCGTCAACCGCGTCGTCCCCGACCCGTACATGGACGAGATTTTCCACATCCGCCAGACGAGAAAGTAGGCGATTTTTTAAGTTATAAAATCGTCTGACCGACTTTTTGTACCTTGTAAAGTTCCGGAAAAATTGGTGCATTTTGGAGATAAAATGACGCTTAAAAAATCCCATTGTTCAGCTACTGCGCCGGCGTCTACACGTGGGACCCGATGATCACCACCCCGCCGCTGCTCTACGTCTTGGCGATGCCGTTCTGCGGGTGGGGCGAGCGGTATCTGAACTCGCTGCTCTTCCCGATCACGTTTTTGGGTATGCGTACCGCTTTTTTGCGAATTTTTGGATTTCTAGGTTGCTGTCGGCTTCGAAGAAACTTTGCGAAACCGGACGAGCCAGTAATTCTACCGTCCTTGGCAGTAGTGTTGTTACCGGTAAGTTTTTCAAGCGAAAAGCGACGATAAAAATAAGAATACTGCTTCATTTTCAAGCAGGAAAATTGCTATATTTTTCTACTTGAAAAACCCATTTTCAGGTGCTGCTTCACTCCTCGGCCCTCTTCTACACGGATCTGCTCTCGCTGTGCCTGGTCGTGTGGGCGTTTTCGGTACGAAGCATTCCTCTGTCCGCCCTGTGCTTCTTCATCTCGCTGTGGGCCCGGCAGACGAACATCATTTGGGCAGGTTCGTGTCGTTTTATCGGACTTTTAAAGATGGCTGTCATTTTTGCGAGTTTGTTCGATTGTAGGCTATTCCTAAAGCATCTCTGCTAGCTTGCCTTGGTTTTTCGGTTACTGTACTCCGGCAAAATTGGCAAGCTAGCAACGGGTTTTGAGGAATTTACTAAATCATGGGAAAGAGTTAAAAACTGCAATTCTCTTGAGACGATTTGCATCTACGTATTTGTCATTTTTAGGCCTCTACGCGGCCGTCGTTCTGCTACGCCGAATAGATACGTCGAAGCCGTTTAGTTCAGGGTTAAAAGGTATTTAGCTTTTTAAAACCCAGAATATATTTTTTTAAGCTGTCCTCTCCCTCGTCCCATATCTGATCCTGGCAGCGCTGTTTGCCGGCTTTGTCGTTTGGAATGGTATTTTTTGGCTCTGCATGCATAAAACAAGTCAATTTAGGCGGCATCGTCCTGGGAGATCCGAAAGCCCACCAGCCGCAGCTTCACTTTGCCCAGCTGCTCTACTTTGCCGTCTTCTGCTGCTTCTCCGCGTCGTTTTCGATTCTGCCGCACTGGCGAGAGGTGAGGGTCATTTTTTCGAGCCGGAAGCTATGTGGAAATCGGAAAAAATTGCGATGTTGCCGAAGCAAAAACGGCTTTTCCTAGTTTCCGGAAGCCGGGTGTCTCAAAATTCTGGACGGGGCATTGTAGGATTCGTTTGCCTTTTTCCCAGGGTTACGGTAGGCCAAAAATTAGCGGAAGAGGCATAGTCTGTCTCCGTATGCTGCTTTTTAAGATTTTTAATGTGAAAGCTTCTGCTAAGCCCTAAAATTTTGCGGAAAGCACCTTCGTTAAAAAAAAATTTTCGGGAAGCCGTGGCGTTAAAATTAGCTAAAAAAGCATTAATATTGAAAAAGTGCGTTTTCTTCGTAGCGCAGCTTTAGGATTTTAGCCTGATTTTCGGTGCATCACGTTACTTTCCTACTTTTGGCCTGCTTTTAACAAACCGGCTAAAATTTGTCGTATACATTGCTATTGAAAACGTTTTTTTCGGTTTCCGGAAGCCATAGCGTTAAAACCAGCAAGGGATCGGCTTGTGGAATAATTTTCCCGTCATCCCTGATCAATTACTAATCAAACCCGCAAAAAGCAAAAAGTCTGGGCCGAACCGGGATTCGAACCCGGGACCTCTCGCACCCGAAGCGAGAATCATACCCCTAGACCATCCGGCCACTGGGGGACGGGCGCCGCAGAGGGGCTCTTATCTCAACGGGGCGCCGGCCGGGGGAAAGTTGCCCAATCCGGGGAAATTTCTGATTGTTTGCCCTCAAATTGGTGTAATTTTTGGAAATTACAACTTTAATGAAATTTAGCATCCTTGTAGTCAGTAGTGTAGCGGAAAATGAGCAGCAAAAATTCAGCGCCTTCAAAAAATTTCATAAAAACGGTTTTGTTAAGTTTTTATTTATATCTATTGTGGCTGAATAAAGAACGATTGTTAAGATACCTTTCCAGAGCCTTTCTATAGAACCCGTACTCTGTAGTTTACTGGAAAAGTAGGCAGCGAAAATTAGCCTCGGAAAATTCAAAAGCACTTCTTTTTAGAAATTATTTTAACGCATTTTTTTAATTTACTGAGGTATAAAGCTTAGTTTTTAACGACCGAGATCCTCTCTTATAGCCCCCGTAATTTGTAGCCTAATGGAAAAAAATATGCTGCTAAAATTGGCGGCTAACCGAATTAAAAAGATCATATTTTCGTAGAGTATTTTTTATGCTTATTAAGGGAAGGTGCTCCTATTTTATTGCACTTTTTCAGATCCTCTCCTCGACGCTGAGCCTCACCTCACTCGCCCTCGGCGCCCCGGTCTTTTTCGTGCTCCACAAGTTCGCCCTCACCCACCCGTACCTGCTGGCCGACAACCGCCACGTGCCATTTTATCTGTGGAGGTGGGGTTTTTTAATTTTAATGGATTTTTCATATTTATTCGTATGGCTTTTTGACTTCAAAATACTTTTACAAACTACAAAAAATTCGATTTTTAGATGGATCCTCTCCAAGCCGACCGTCCGCCAGCTTCTCACCCCGATCTTCGTCGTGGCCTTGTTGGCGATGGGCCAGCTGAGTCGACGGGTGCCCCCTGCTCATCGACTACTCTTCGTCCTCTGCACGGTGGCTGTGGTAAGATTTTGTGACTTTAAAGGGAATGGGAAGCCAAGATTCTATGACTCGTTTTTTCGAATCTTCGAAGATTTCGTCTAGGCGCTGCGGGACCCATTTTAGACTAATTAACCGTACCCCGATGCACTTTTTGGGATTTTTGGGTTCTTTTGCATTATCGGGGGGGGGGGGACCGAATTTACGTCTAGAAATGCGTAGTAACGTAATAGGAAGCATTTTATTGATGTTTTTCGTTAAATATAACTGTATTTAAAATTGAAAAACTATCTATTTTTGTAAAAAACGATTTTTTTGGTATTTTTGCATCAAAATTCTAAAGTTTTTACGTTTAGGAATGGTATATAACTGTTTACAAAGACTTCAGCTATTTATATTAAAAAAATGGATCCTTAGAAACATAGTTGGTCCCCCGATAAGGCGAAAAAAACGATTTTTGAGACGGATACTGTATTTAGAATTGGTTCGAGGTTAAAATTCAAGTCAGTGGCCTAGCATTTTGCCTTCAATGGTCCTTTAAAATCGAAATATATCTTTTTCAGCTCGTCCCCGCCCACCTGATCGAGCCCCGCTACTTCATCGTACCGTACGCCCTGTGGAGGTTGAGTGCTGAGACTCGGTCGACGATTTGCTGTCTTTTGGAAGTGTTATCTCAGGTATGCCTTTTAAAGGGGCTGGGAAGTGAGGGGGCAGCTGGCAGAGAGTCTTTAGGAAAGGGCAGGCTAGCCGAGACTCTATGAAAAGGCAGACCAGCAGAAATTTTTGTGGCACTTTTTTGCTTGATTAATAGCGTGCTCGAGTAATATCCCCTCCATTCCAGTTGTGCATCTTCTCCGCTCTGTTCTGGCTCTTCCTCTACAAGCCGTTCGAGTGGGCCCACGAGCCGGGCCCCCTGCAACGATTCATGTGGTAGCATGTCAAATCCAAAAATTTTTACTCTTTTTTTGTGTGAATTTCGAGTGATTCGGGTCTCCTTCAAAGATTATTAATTTTTTGTAGTTTGTTCCTCGTTTTTGATAACCTTCTAAAATTGTGCTTCCCCATTTCCATCACATTCCACTGTATTTCACGTCGTAACTGGATGTAATAAATATTTTTGTAATAATAGGAACTGCACGATGTCCTAAAAAATATCTGCTAGCCTGCCAATTCCTAAATAACCCCTGCTAGCCTGCCCTGTCAAAATTTGAGCCCGTTTTTTGGGTAGATGCTAGCATCCCGGGGCGCGTGTGCTCTTGACCCAGATTTTTATCTCTACCCCCACTACTCATTTTTCGTGACTATTTTTTCGGGGCTAACTTACTAAATCTTATAAAGCCGAAATGCGATGTGGTAATTCCTTTAATTAGAATTTTCGAAAGCTAATAAAATTCAGGATTCCGGCTCCTTTTCATCGGCTTCTTCCTACTTGCGTCGATTAAATTGCTGTATTTTCTAACGACCAGGGATTTGAAAATTATGGAAATTGACACATTGGGTGGAAAAGCGGCAGGGAACAGCTTGAAAAATGTGGCCGTTTTCCCGCAATCAGGTGGGCTTGCTGAAAAGCTATTAAAAATTATTCTAGCTGTAAAAACAATAAAATTCGGATTTTTCTATGGGGATTTTTAGTGTTTTTCCTTAGAATCATAAATAGTATTGAATTTAACGATAAAAATGGTAATATGGTTTAATCAGCTCTATTTTCATGACTAAAACAACTTTCTCCCAAATAGAATTGGGAGAAATTGCAGTAAGTTATCATTAAAAACACCGTTTTACCTCTAAAATTGATGAAATTCGAGCTTTTCTATAAATAAAAGGTTTAAGATTGCCTATATAGCTTTTGAAGCTTTACCATAATTATTCGAGCATTTTATAAATTTAATTTCAGGCGGCTCCACGAAATTCGACCAACCCTGGCCTCTACCCGAAAAGCCAATTATCAAGCGGATTGAGGATCTGTACAAATTGGGCGACTATCTGTTGGTCGGAAATTTTTCGTACAGTAAAGGTGGGTGTGTTTTTTGTATTTTAAAGGAACTAGAAGAACAGAAATTTACGCTTTAAAGCTAGCTTTACAAACCAAACCAAAAATTCTAGCGGGTTTGACAAAATTTTTTGATTTACGCGCATTTTTTAGGATTTTAAAATCGAAAATTGTTTTGTTTTTGGCTTGTTGCTCGATCAAAAAGAGGCGGGACTGGATTCTTGCCTTTAATGGCCCTTTAATTAGGTTTTTTAGGTCTTGGAAACCTGATGTTCCAATATGCGGCTATGGTCGGATTGGCCCAAGAAACCCACGCTATTTTTCCGATCTCGAGTGACAATCTACTCCGCAGAGCCTTTGATTTGAATGCAATCGTAAGTAGGGGGTCTAGCAGAGATTCTTTGGGAAGGGGCAGACTAGCAGAGATTCTTTAGGAAAGGGCAGGCTAGCAGAGATTCTTTAGGAAATGGCAGGCTAGCAGAGATTCTTTAGGAAAGGGCAGGCTAGCAGAGATTCTTTAGGAAAGGGCAGGCTAGCAGAGATTCTTTAGGAAAGGGCAGGCTAGCAGAGATTCTTTAGGAAAGGGCAGGCTAGCAGAGATTCTTTAGGAAAGGGCAGGCTAGCAGAGATTCTTGAGAGATCCTCATGTTCTTTTTTTTCAGCTAGTAACCCCGGAGCTCCACGACAATCTGCTCAAACTGGCCGAGGGTACGGTCCTCGAGGTATTGTAGCGTTATCCTTTATTTTTGAATTTTTTAGTCCTGCTGCTCCTACAAAGCGCTCGATCTCGGCTTCACCGTCTTCAGGAGCGTCAAGAAAGTGGAGGGCTATTTTCAGAATTTTCGGTAGGGATTAAAGGTTTCAAAAAATTGTTTTTTTTGGCTTTTAGCTGGTTCTACCCCGGAGAGGCGAGCAAGCTCGTCAGGGACGAGTTTCAATTCTTGCCGAAAATACAGGAATTGGTGAGTCTTGCTTTATCCCTCTCTCTCTCTCTCTCTCTCTCTCTCTCTCTCTCTCTCTCTCCCTCTCTCCCCCCCTCTCTCTCGTTCTATAGCCTATTTTTTCAGGCTTCCGAACACCTTGAACACGCCAAAGCTAGATGGAGGCTCGGCCGGGCCGAAGCTGCAAATCGGGACAAAGAAAATGCCGAAAACGACTACAAACTACGATTTTCGACGGGTAGGAAGATTTAATATTTTGTGGATATTAATCTATCCAAATTCGGGCGGATTTGCCTTCCTAGTCCCTTTAAATTCCGAATTTTCAACTTTCAGAAACGGCCGATCCGGTTACGGTAGCTGTTCACGTGCGACGGGGCCTGGATTTGACGATGCATTCGAGGTACCTGGCTGCTTTAAAATTTTTGGTGTGGCACGCTAGCAGAGATTCTTTAGGAAAGTGCAGGCTAGCAGAGATTCTTTAGGAAATGGCAGTCTAGAAGAGCTTCTTTGTTCCAGAAACCTGAAGCATGGCCACGTCGCGGCTCCGGCGGACTACTACGAACGGGCGATGTACGAGTTCCAACGTCAGTACCCAAATGTAAGAAATTTCTTGATTATTTGGAGCATTCCTAAATTCTCTCTGCTAGCCTGCCCTGTATCACGCTCCCTTCAATTTCGATTTTGTAGCCCCTATTCATCGTCTCGAGCGACGACGTCGGCTGGGCGATGAAGAATTTAAAGGCCCGGAATTCAGGTGTGATTTTTTGTGTTTTTTAAAGGTGCGTTCAAGGCGAAATCTACTACCTGCCGAGGGGGACGGAAAGAGAAGTAGCCATGGCGACGATGTCGATTTGTGATCACTTGATCGCGTCGACCGGCACGTTCAGCTGGTGGACAGCATTTCTGGCGGATGATGAGCGGAATCAGGTACGAAAATGGTTTATACTAGCTGACGCAGTGTTTTAAAGGGATTGACAAGGCAGGGGTATAGGTTTTCTAGTCACTATAGATTTAACGGGGAGCACGACACGCGACGCGCGTCTATTTTCATTGCGTAATTGAGTTTTTCGCGCCGCGTCTCTCTCTCTCGCTCTCTCTCTCTCTCTCTCTCTCTCTCTCTCTCTCTAGCTCTCTCGCTCTCTCTAGCTCTCTCTCTCTCACTCTCTCTCTATCTCGCTCTCTTGCTCTCTCTCTCACTTAGCTGTCCCGGTTTGTAAATAGACGTAGAGAGAGTGCGAGAGAAAGGGCTAAACAGAGAGAGAGAGAGAGCGAGCGAGAGAGAGCGAGAGAGTGAGGGCGTCTATTTAAATATCCATCCTAGATAATCTACTACAAAGATTGGCCCCGCCCCCTCACCGACCTCGACCGCATGGTCAACAAGTCCGAATATTTCCTCCCCCGATGGCGTGGGTTGTAGAAATAAATGCACAAACGAGACACTATAAACCACAAAATACACCTAAATATGCAAACCACGAAAATGCACGACTAAAAAAAGCTTAAAAGAAGACTTATTATAATTCTTGGGCCATTTGGTAGGGGAGAGAGGGAGAGGGAGGGAGAGAGAGAGAGAGAGAGAGAGAACGAGAGTGTTAGGGTCATGAGAGAATGAGAGTCAGGGAGATAGACAGACAGGGTGAGAGTGACAACTTTACAGCTTTAGATTTTATTCTAAACCTTATTTTCAGGACCTCTCCGCCTCCTCCTCCCCAGCCTCAAGCTCCCGGCTTTTCCACAAGAATCCCTGCTAGCCTGCCCTATCTAGGCGAAGCGCGCAATTCTCAAGACGAAAAAGGTACTAAATTCGCTCTGCTTCAAAATGATTTATGAAGTTTAGGTTTTCAATGTCTACCCCAAGAACGAAGAGAACTGCCTCAAGAATCTCTGCTAGCCTGCCCGCGTTCCGATCAAGCGATCAATTCGAGAAGGGATTGATGGGTTCGAAGCAAATTTGTGAGTTTTTTGCGGGGGTTTTTTTGGCCTCTGGGGACTGTAGTTTGGGGGCGGGGTTGAAGAGGATAGCAACTTTTTTTGGGGGATTTGGGGGTTTTGACTATCTTTTAGCTTGGGATATTGATGCCATTTCTCTGTAGCCTGACCCTTATTGCCTTGAGTTTTTATCTTAAGTTTCCAGAATAATCTTTGCTACCACCCGGTCGCCAATCAATTCCTCAAAGTATCACTGCTAGATCGCGCGTTTCATTTCCTCAATTATCTCTGCTATCTGGCCTAGGGTATAAGTTCTGACTGTTCGTATTATCTGCCAAAAGATCTCTGCTAATTTTGTCTATTATAGAATTTCCTCAATAATCACCGCTAGCTTGCGCGCCGAGTAACCCGTTCCCAAAAGATACCTGCTAGCTCGCCGGCCTTCTTTCACCTAATTCCCAAATTGTTTCTGCTAGCTAGCCCGTCACTTCTTTTATCAAATCAGCTCGAGTAATCAGCCGATTGGGTTTCAATTTCCTCAAGAATCACTGTTAGTTCGCCCTTCCATCTCGGTATTCCAATGATCTAGTAACGCCCCTTATTTACCAGACGATTCTCCAAGAATCTCTGCTAGCTCTCGCTCAGCTCGAGATTTCCTAACGAATCTCCGCAGGCCTGGCCTTTCCCAAAGGATCTCTGCTAGCTGTCCTTTCCTCAAGAATCTCTGCTCCCACGCATTGACGATTTATTCAATCAACTCCTTGCCCAGCTCATCCAGGCAGTGAATTCGCAGTGGGGCCGTTTCGTAGTACTCCTGTAGTCGGGCTACCGTACTCCCATTCCAGTCGATTTTGGCGAATTGTTCAGCCACGGATTTCGCGCTTCTCGGGACGTTTCTAAAAGACGGAATTTTTGAGCCAGAGAGAGCGAGAGCGAGAGTGAGAGAGGGAGAGAGAGTGAGTCGTGAGTGAGTGAGAGAAAGAAAGAGAGAAAAAGAGAGAAAGAGAGAGAGAGACTTACTCCCTCTCGAAAAAAGCCTGCAGACTAGCATTCGTCACTTGACTCTGGCAAGCCGCCACCTCCATCCGTGGATAGTAGTGAATGTAATTGATGCACATCTCCTCATGCCCGCCCAGACCGCTCTTTAAAGGACCGTTTAAGCCAGATCTATAGCCCCTCTTCTCCGTTTTGCCTTCCCAGTCCCTTTAAAACCCCTGGCAGGCTAACAGAGACCATTTTGGAATGGCTTCAAGGCTTACATGCGTCATATTCACTCGTTTCATCGTGTTGTGCACGCAGGTGGTCACCAGGCGATCGCTCTATAGTTGATTTCATGGCGTAATCGGTTAAAATTGCCGGTTTTACGACGACTGGGGGCTCGAGCGCGTCCCGGTGTTGGCCCTGGGCCCCGAAATTGTCGTCCCGGTTGAGCTCGCCGATTTTTTGGCCTAAATGGCTTTTTCCTAAAGAATCTCTGCTAGGCTGCCCTTTCCTAAAAAATATCTGTCAGCCTGCTTTCCTGAAAAATCTCTGCCAGCTCACCTTCTCCTAAAAAACCCTTGCTAGCCTACCCTCTCCTAAAAAATCTCTGCTAGCTCACCATCCCGAAATATCGATGTCCAGATGGCTTGTGTCGTCTTGTGGGCGTGTAGCATGCTGGCGAACACGCGGATACCCTCGGGAGGGAACTAAAGTGGAATTTCTGGCTGTCACTGTCCCTTTAAAACGGGTTTTCTAGCAGTTTCTATGAACTCTTCAAGAAGATCTGCTAGCTACCCGAAAATTCTGACGATTCTTGTCTTTTCAGCCCCTAAAAACCCACAAAACTCGTGCATTCCGGGGCGCAATGGCCGTGTAGAGGAAAGGCTTCTTGTTTGGGAGGTACTGACATGGCATCAGACCACATTGTCCCCGTTTGAAGAACCGCAGCGTCGTAGCGGCTAGAATTTTTGGTTCGCGCTTGGCTAGGCTACCTAAGCCGGAGCTTAAGCCGAAGCCGAAGCCTAAGCCGGAGCTTACCGTAGCCGCGACGTGGCCGTGACGCGCATCCCCGAGCTGTCGGGCTGGGTGGGCAGTTGGCTGGGGTTGTGGTAATGGATTTCGATCATGAGGTGCTGATGTCCGTTTTCGCCTAGCGGAAGTCCCGCTTCGTCTGGCATTAGGATGGGCTAAAGATGGGTTAGATAATTTTAAAAATGCTGTCTGTCTCTCTCTCTCTTTCTCTCTCTCTCGCACTCTCTCGCTCTCTACCTCTCTCGCTCTCTCGCTTCCGAGAGTAGTTCTGACGACATCTAGCATAGACCATTTGATAAACCTACCGGAGCCCCAGCCGGCCAGGCTGCAATCGAATTCCGGCACCGGTGAACCCATTCCGGAAGCGTCGAGTGGTCCTGGCATTCTCCGGAAAACGGAACGGCACCCTCGGATAAACAGGAGAAGATCTGGATAGCAGAGATTCTTTAGGAAAGGGCAGGCTAGCAGAGGTTCTAGAGGAAAATCTTAAAACCCTACCATAAAATGGTGCACAAACTCCTCGTTCCCGGGCGTGATAATGGGATCGAGCTGGAAAATTGAGTTTTCTCAAGACCGTAAGCTACCGTACCCGAACCAGCTGATGCCGTTTCATCCTTATTGCTTCGGGCATCGGTTGCACGTGGCACCACAGGGTTGTAGTCTGACGCGGCACCGACACGTTCAAGCCGGTCAGGTTGAAGCTGACTTCTTTGGCTTCAGAATCCTAGAAAATGATTCCTGAAGAATCTCTGCTAGCCTGCGTTTTCCTACAGTATCTCCGCTAGCCGGCCATTTCCTAAATAATCTCTGCCAGTCTGCTCTCCTACCTGCGCTCCAGCGGCAGCCGCATAGAGAATTAGCAGCAGCCTCCACATTTTGGTAAAATTTCCCCAATAATCTCTGCTAGCCTGCCAGGAAAAATATTTTACAGCAAACTGTCTGAAAGCCCCCTCCAGACATCGTGTTCTTATAATTATCCCTCCTTGAATGGCCCCAAGTGAATGCCCGATCAGGGAGTATGCAAAGCATGGGAGAATTGACGGAAACTACGGACTTTCACCGGACGCGCTCAAAATAGAGTTTTACAGGGAGAAATGGGAGTTTGGGTGGTGTCGAAATAGCCGAAAAACACGAATTACGTTTGAGGATCTACAGAGTTTAGGTGTCGCACTGCCTTTAAAAGCTGAAATCACGGTATTTCAGCTGCTAAAATGTGTTTTACTGTAGCCTGATGCTTACCGTATTCTAATTTTAGCTGTCTTGCTACCTTTAAGGCTCCGATACCCTCTTGCATTTTTATCTCTCTCGCTCTCTCGCGCTCTCTAGCTCTCTCACTCTCGCTCGCTCTATCTCTGTCTATCTCTCTGCCACTCTCTATTACTCTCTGGCCCCTTCTCACTCTCTCACTCACTCACTCTCTCTCTCTCTCTCTCTCTCTCTCTCTCTCTCACTCTCTCTCACGCTCTCTCTCCTCTCTCTCACTTCCCAAAAAAGCCCTGCTAGCTGCCCCTTTTTCACGTTCTGCTTTTGTGATCGGCTAAATGGTCGAGGGTAAACGATATCCCCTCGCTCTCCACTCATCCTGGGTCCTAACTGGGGTCTCTTCTATTTGGCCACTGGGCCCCATCTGGGCCCCCCCCCCTCCTCCCTTCCGCTTCTCCAAATAAACTCTTCAATGGGACGGCGCGGCGGGTTAAAAGCACAAAAAGAGACGGTGGCGGTCAGATGAATGGATGTGGCCACACCTTGGCGCCCGGTTACAGGGCTCGGGGATGGAAATTAGGGTCTGAAAAGCTGGAATTTGCGAGTTTAAAGGGGCCGGCAAGGTTAGGTTGGGCTTAGCTAAGGCTTGGCTTTGATTAGGTTTTGGTTTAGGTTTAGGCTTAGGCTTGAGCTTAGGTCATAGGCTTAGCTTAGGCGTAGGCTTACGCGTAGGCATCGACTTAGGCTTAGGTATGCGCTTGGCTTAGGCTTAGGCTTCGGATTAGGCTTCGGTCAGGCTTGGTTTTTGCTTAGGCCTGCCTCCACAGGGCTTGCCTGCTCGCCTTTGTCATCTGCCTCCTCAGGGCTGATCGTATAACCCGCTGAAACCGCGCTGTCGCCACACCTTTAAGACAAGTTTTTGTTCTTTTCCGATTTACCCCCCAATTTTCCACTTAACTCCTCTCTACGTGTGTACATCGATGTGTTGGTGGAGGCCGGTGGCTGGGAACAGCCGCGAGGTGTTCCCCCTGTGCCTCCGATTCGAGATCCGCTGATAAATTGGCCCCCAGAGGACCCGGCGGCCCTACGCAACACCACAAATCACAACATTGGGGAACAGACGAAATTCTAAGGAACCTCTGTTAGCCTGCTCTTTTCTAAAGAACCTCTGCTAGTTTGCCCCTCAAAAATCCCTGATGTACCTCGAGAATTTCCTTAATTATGGGGGCGCCTCGAAAATCAACATTGGAAGTGCATTTTGGGAAATTTTTCCAAATTAGGGGTTGAAAACTGGCCATTTCCATCCAAGTTGGCCCTTGTTTTTTCGAGAAAACAGTACCGTAATTAGGTTTTGAAGGGAATCGGAAGGAAGCGAACCTTCCCAAATGATCTCTGCTAGCCTACCCGCTATAGATAAACGTGTAAATCGACGATTGGTTTTCCTCAAGAATCTGGGCTAGCCTGCTCTGATAAATTAGTTTTCAGAGGACGGCAATGGAAACTATTTTGGATGCCATAATCTGCAAAATTTCGCAATTTGCAAATTTGATAGCTTAAGAATTTCCTTAAATCGTAAATCGAAACGTAGCTTTTTGTCGCGAAAAATCGGCATAATTTTCGAGTTACAGTAGTCTGGATCGTGCTATTTCACTTACCGTAGTATCGAAAAATACCGTACTATGGAAGCCTAGCCTTCAAACCGTCTTGGTTTGCGTAATTTAGGAATTTTCGGAAACAGCGTAACTTGGAAGATACCTTATTCTATGTAATTTGGGACGTCCTGTAATCGGCGCGTTATCGTAATTTGTAATTCGCGTAATTTGGAAATTGTCGGAATCTGGGAAATACCGTAACTTGGAAGGTACCTTTTGTGTAATTTGGAGCATACCGTAACCTGCGAATTATCGTACCTTGGAAATACCGTATCCAACGTCATTTGTAAAGTATTGTAACCTTTAAGCTACTTTTCACTCTATAATGCCGTATTCTGTAGCCTACCGTAATCTTCATCATCTCCTGCCTTCACTGTCCCTTTAAAGAGTCCAAGAATGGCCCCATCGAACCAATTTTTTTCGCCCATCGCGCGCCAGACATCACCCCCCACGCGCGTTGGTGTGGAGCATCCAAATTAACGAGGAAAAACGCGGAAATCGGCAGAGAGTGGGCCCTAGGGGGAGGGCCCAGAGGGGGGCCAACCCGCCTAGAGATCCACGAGATTCGAGAAAATTTGAATCCAGAGGCATTAGGTGAAAAGGGGAGGGCCCAGACCTGAAAAACGGGCTAGAGAGCGGAGATTCCGGGTTCAGAACACGGCTTCCAGGGGCTGGGCCCTAAGGGGAGGGCCCAGAGAGAGACCCAGGGCGCTAGAGAGTCTGAAATGGTGAGAATTGGTGAAATTGGCTGTTTTTAGGTCTGGGCCCTAAGGAGAGGACCCAGACGAGAGCCCAGGGCCCTAGAGATACGGATAACCAGTGGAAAATCGGGAAAAGAAGCGTGCTATAGCCTTGGGCCCCAAGCAGAGGGCCCAGTTAAGGGTATGGGCCCTAGAGAGGCTGAAAACCAGGCGGGAATTGGTGAAAATTGCGCTTTTTAGGGTGAGGGCCCTAGGCAGAGGGCCCAGGCTCATCAGCAGGGCCCTAGAGATGCGAAAACGCGATGAAAACGCCATTTCCAAGCCACTGGGTCCCAAGCAGAGGGCCCAGACGTAGGCCCAGCCGCCAGAGAATTTGCTACCAGAAAGAAAACTACATTTTTCATGCACTGGGCCCCTGGCAGAGGACCCAGACACACCCCCGGGCCCCAAGGGGGATTCCCCCATTGGGCTAGAGCCCCGAGGGCCATAGGCCCTTGGCCCCCTCTGGGCCCTCTCCCCCTTTTCACTGGGCCCTCTGGCTAGGGGCGGGGCCTCGGCTCCGACGAGCGGAGCGCCGCGTAGCCGGGCAGCACCCCCTCCCCTCTCTTGCCAAGGCCTGGGCCCTCCCCCCTGCCAGGTGAGGAGCCCCCTCCCCCTCTGACTGCTCGTGCTCCACAGGGGTCATCCTCCTCAGCCTATATTTTCCCCGCAATTCCCTATTTCCGCTTGATGGCCGGCCCGAGGGCGCCGCCGCCGCCTGCCGCTGCGCGGGCCGCCGCGCGACCGCCCCGCATGGCCGGCCCCCCGATGAGTGGCGCTATATTTAAATTAGTGCTATTATTGTTGGTGGTGCTCGATTTTACGGAGGCTGCCACGATTACTACGACGATACAACCGCAGCGCTCGTTGAATCAGTGTGTTTTAGCGTCCTAAAAATTACATTTTAAAGCTAAAATCTTCGAAAATATACTAATTTTAAGGGTTTAAATTAAATTTATATGCTTTTACTAATTGGGGAATTTTTAAAAATTAATTATTCTACTTAATAAAAAACTAAAAATTATTTTTAAGGATTTTAAAGGGGCCGGAAGGGCTGGAAACCCTGTTTTTGTTCCCATGATTTCCCTAAGAACCTCCGCTAGCCTGGCCTTTCCTCAAGAATCTCTGCTATCCTGGCCTTTCCTAAAGAATCGCTGCTAGCTGGCCCGTAAATAGTATCACTCCGGAATTTCTGAATTTTCGTACCCCACCTCCTCTCCACTCGGCTCCCTGCTCAATTTTTATGGCCCGTTGAGGCGTGAGAATTTTTTCGGGCACCCTCCGCCATGACGCCATCCATTCCTAAGGAATCTCTGCTAGCCTGCCGCTTCCCAAATGGTCTCTGCTAGTTTTTGGGGCCTCTAATGCTCTAGAAAATGACGTATCGGTGTAATTTTTGGGCCTGAATATTTTTTCCGCGGTGGCCTGCAAATTCCCAGGCCCGAAAATGGCACGCGACCCGCGGAGCGCATCCATTTTTAAGTGGGTGCACGTAGAGGGGGAATTTTCGGGGCATTTTCCACAAGAATCGCTGCTAGTCTACCCTATCCTCAAGCAGCTCTGCTAGTTGGCTTTTCCTAAAGAATCTATGCTAATCACCGCAAAGAATCTCTGCTAGCTAACGATTTCCTAAAGAATCTCTGCTAGCTGGCGATTTCCTAAAAAATCTCGGCTAGCTGGCGATTTCCTAAATAATCTCTGCTGGATTGCCTTTCTTGAAAAATCTGTGCTAGTTGGCTATTTCCGCAAAAAAATTTCTGCTAGCTCCTCGTTTCCACAAACAACTCCTGCTGGCCTACCCTCATTCCCAAAGCGTCTATGCTAATTAGCTTTTTCCGCAAAGAATCTCTGCTGGTTCCCGATTTCCTCGGAAATCTATGCTAGCCTGCCCAGGCCTTTCCAATAGCAGACAACATTGACAAGATTCAAACACTAATCCGCCCCCTCGTTGGACAAAATCAGATTCCGATTATTTATCCAGCTTCCGCGGCTCTCCCTCTCTCTCGCTCTCTCTCACCCCATTCCAAATCGATCTAATCCGATTTTTGCGCGGCTCGCTCTCCCCGTGGGGGGAAGCTGCTGCTTCACCCTCCCTTTTTTCGGGAGCCCCCCTCCATGATGGCCATTGAAAATCCGGCGGATGGATGGGATGGAAAATGCCCCCCGATAGAGGGGGGCAAAAACAAAAACAACCCCCTCCCCTTCTTTTCTCTTCCTTCCTTTTTGCCTTTTGCATCCGGGAGGTGCGTAGTTTGGCTAATTATCCAGAGGGGGCAAGGCGAGAAAAAGAGAAGCCCGGATCATCTCAAATTAGCCTACTAAAAACAGGGCCTCAGCTGCGCGTATTTTGGTGTGTTCCATTTAAGGAGTCTCTGCTGGATTGCCGTTTCCTAAAAAATCGCGGCTAGCCTGCCCGTCTTAAAGAATCTCTGCTAGCCTGCCCTGACTTTACGATGTGAAATTTTCCTCAATGTGATCTGCTAGCCTGCCAGAGTTGCGGAATTCCCAAAGGATCTCTGCTAGCTTTCTAGAAATGACGAATTTCCCTAAGAATCTATGCTTCCTTGAGCTTCAAATTTTCCTAAATGGCCTCTGCTAGCCTGCAAGCGCTGAGAATTTCTCTAGGAATCCCTGCTAGCCGACCAAAGCGGAAAAATTCCCTAAGAAACTCCGCTAGCCCTCCGGAATTTCAGAACCTTCCTAAGGAATCTGTGCTAGCTGCTTTACACAATCAATTTCCTAAAGAATCTCTGCTTTCGCGAATTTTTTTAAATGGTCTCTGCTAGCTTATCCACCCTGCCGAATTTCCTAAAGAATCTCAGCTAGCTCACCCAACTTTTGAGAGCTTTGCTAGCGTGGCATATGTCGAATTTCCCCAAAAGATCTCTGCCCCGTTCCCTAGCAGCTAGCCCTTCCAAAAATCTCTGCTAGCCTGCCCCAGCGAAGCTTTTCCTCTTCTTCCGCCTAATCAAATTTCATCTCCATCCCCCCGGTCCCATCCGGGGGCTCGTTTTGAAAAATTTATGATCACGGCCGGGCGGCGGTGGCACGTAGCTGTGATTTTTTGGGGGTAGAAAAATCTAGGGGACTTTCCTAAAGAATCCCTGCTAGCCTGCCCCTTCCTAAAGAATATCTGCTGGCTTGCCCCCGTAAAAAGTACAGCGCGGAACCCTAATTTGCATATTTCTTTGTACCCTGCTGCTCCCGGAACGGGGCGCTTTTTTGAGATGCACCTCCAGCCCCCCACCTCGCTTTGCTGCCCCCCTCTTTTTCGAGTGTATTGGCGAAGCAAATTTGGAGGCGATAGAAGGGATGAGAGAGAGAGAGAGAGAGAGAGAGAGTGAGAGAAACGAGAGATCGATCGGGATTGGGAGCGAGAGAGAGGTCTCTCTCTCTTTTCGAGTGCGAGGTGGGTCTTCCTCCTCTTCTTCTTCTTCCGCTCCTTCAGCAGCGGAGAAGAGGTCCCATTTTCCATAAAGCCCCCGTGTCCCATGGGGGGCCCACAGGGGCCCACAAACCGATGGGGAGGGCCCCGGGGGCCACCAACACCATTCCGGCCATTTTGCGCTCGTTGAGAAGGGTATAGAGTGGAAAAAATGGGAAAATTAGGAGTCCTAAAGAATCTCTGCTAGTTTGCCCTTCCCTAAAGAATCTCTGCTAGCCTCCCCGTTTCATTTTTGTTGCCGATGCCCTTTCCGGACTTTTTCTTGCCCCCGGACTAGCCCAATTACCGGCGAGTAGCCCACGCAATATGCGTAATGAGCCCTCTCACCCTTTCCGACTCGTTTTTTGGTATTTTGCTAAAGAGCACCTGTGAGTCAGGCGAACTTTCCAGATATTGTGTGCTTTTCGTGTAATTTAGGGATCAGAAATGCAAATTTTTGGGCAAGCCAGCAAAGATTCTTGAGGAAATGGGCAGGCTAACAGAGATTCTTTAGGAAAGGGCAGGTTAGCAGAGATTTTTCAGGAAGGGACAGGCTAGCCGGGATTTTTGCGGAATTTCTCTGGCACCTTTTTTAGATCGTTGTCGTCATGGATCCTTAAAAGTGCGTAGCTTTTCCCTCAAATTCCCCCCAATTTTTTCCGCTCCGTTCCGAGAATAGCTTAAACGGAACACGTCACCAGGGAGGAATCGCCCCCCCTCCCCAGACGATGTGGGAAATTGAATACGGACGCGCCACCCCACCACGAGCCCCCCAAAAATGACTAATAGCTCCTCACTGGAATCCTTCAAAGACTTTTGAATTTTTGGGGGCTAAATGTTAAGAGTTTTCTAGCGGAATTGGGCGGATAATTTTTGAAATTAAGCGTGTAGATTTGCTAGGAAGTTTTAAAATTTAATCCTGATAAAAGATATGTATGGCAAGCTGGCAGAGATCCTTGAGAAAGTAAAAAATCGGCTACGGGCATGCTAGGAAAAAACCAAGGAAATTTTTCGCGTTTGCTGGTGCCTTCAAGGAATTTAAAAAGGCAGGAAACTCTTTAAGATGCAAAATCGAGTACGAATATCTCAAAAAGATGGCGGCGGGCATGCTAGTGGAGATCCTTGAGTGGCCTAAAAAATTTAGAGACTGGCTCGCCCCTTTAAAAGGTTTAAAAATTTAAGATTTAAATTGAGTGCTTGCTACTCCCTTTAAAAGGCTTAAGATGGATCAAAAGCTTCGAAAAACGTTAAAAAACGCGAAAATCACTACCGGCAGGCTAGCAAAGATCCTTGAGGAATTTGCCATTATTAACGGATTTGGGTCACCTCGTTTCCTTAAAAAAATACAAAAAAAAAAGAAAAAAGAAGTTACGTGACCGGTTTAATTAATCATCTTTTTTTCAGGCTCCTCTCCGTCCTTGATGAACGCGTCGCGTGTGGCGTGGCGCTGACAGATGTGGACCCGTTGATAGTCAATCCGATCAACGAAAAATTTCCCAGGTCAGCTAGCGGAGATTCTTTAGGAAAGGGCAGGCTAGCAGAGATTCTTTGAGATTTTTCTTTTCCAGGCTGGTCCACCTGGCCTCGTTCTTCGCCGAACACCCGAGGCACGATTTTCACGGGCACCTCGTCGCCAACGCGACGCGGACCGCGACACGTCCATTTAATGTGAGTCTCTCGCTCTCTCCCTCTCTCCCTCTCTCTGTTTCTCTCTCTTTGTTTCTCGCTCTCTCCCGTTAAATCCTCCTTCTTTTCCAGGCGACGTTCAGCGACAAGAAGCCCGTCTACGCGCTACAGTACCACTGCGACGCGTACGAGAATCGATGGGTGCCCACCGTCGTTTTTCAGGTTCGTATGATTCGTAGTGTAGCGTAGCGCTTCGTACCGTACAGAGTACAGTACAGCACGAACCCCTACACTACGCTACGTTAAGCTCCGCTACGAATCGTAACGTAGCGTAGCGTGCGGCACATTAATGTTTCGTATAAATGCCTTTTTCTTGATATTCTTAGTAATTTGGGCATTTTGTTGCTGCGGTACAGTAGGCTGCAGTTCTACAGTACGAACCTGTGCGAAATGCTACGCTGCGTTACGATACATAAACAATTTTTCGTGGTTTGTTTCGAACAGTTGAGGGTTTTTTTGGCTTTATGATACAAGCAATATTACACTTGAGTACTCTAAACTACGCTGCGATGCAGTACGCAATGGTACGCTACAATACTCTACTTACGAGGCTGTACGTTTTATATTTTCCTTTTTTCAGTCGAAGCCCGACACGCCGACGAAAAGCGACGGTTTTCTCGTCGTGCAGCTCGATCCGTTCGACCTGAACCTCTGCAACGATCCGTCGGTGGCCGACTGTAGCACAAAGGTTGGTGGAATACGTAGTTTGTAGTCTTGCGGAATCTTTAAATTTTTTATTACCTTCCTCCTGTTCAATTTTTTGCGACTTTTGACCCTTGACCTAAATTTTTTGACGGTTTTTGGTCCAGAATCTTTCTTTTTCAATTTTTTAGTTGAGTCCATCGCTCTAGCTCCTTCTCGCTCTGTTTCTCTCTCTCTGCCTCTCTCTCTCTCTTTCTCGCTCTCTCGCTTTCCCAAGTAGATTTTTGCTACAAATCGTCCAGTAGTGACGCGCGCGCGACTGAGGCCCCACGGGAAAATGATGGGCGCCGGTCTCTCTCTCTCTCTCTCTCTCTCTCTCTCTCTCTCTCTCTCTCTGCCCCGCTCTATCGCCAATCCGAACCGAAATCCGAGCCGAAATGGGCGCTCTCCTCCTCTGGCCAAATCGTGGCCACTTATGGACCGCGGGGCCTTCGGAAATTTTTCGCGGCCCTGTTCCGATGGCCACAAGATAGGGGGATAGTGAAAAAATAGCTTTTTTTAGGGCAGCTAGCAGAGATTCTTTAAGCAATACTAGATTTTCCAAATCCCATTTGGCAACTTGCCAACCCCTTTAAGTCCGGCTCGACCATCCCGCTCCCCCCGCCGGCTTAGCGTGTAACAAAAGCGGCCCCAATTCCATAGAATATTCAGCTCCGGCGGCTTTGTTTCACTTGCTCTCACTGCCTGTCTATCCCTCTCTGTCTCTCTCTCGCTCTCTCGCCTCCCTCTAATCTTTTGCCCAACCCAAGACACACAGCGCTAGTTCCACCCAAAAACACGCAACCCCCGGATTTTCTGGATATTCCGGCCGGCTCCGATTTTACACTGGAATTTTCTGATTTCTGGTTTTCTTGATGGCTTTTCTGAATTTTCCAACTTTTTGACCCCCAGGCAATCTAGCAGAAACTCTTTAGGAAGCGTAGCCTAGCAGAGATTCTTTAGGATAGGGCAGGCTAGCAGAGAAAATTTGCGCAACATTTCACCCACCTATCAGCCCGCAGGGAGCACCTTTTAGTCTTGATGTGGTTTCTGTCGCTCTCTCTCCCTCCCTCCCTCCCTCCTCTCTCTCTCTCTCTCTCTCTCTCTCTCTCTCTCTCTTTCTCTCGCCACAGGGGGTTTTAGATGTGGCCAGGAGGGGGGCCACGCAATTATCCACATCGTCGCCTCGGGTTTCCGCCATCCCTTTTGCCCCCCACCGCCCCGGCCCGGATCTATTCCACCCGTTTTTCGCTAAAAAAGGACACATACGGGAGGGAGACCGGAAACGAATCCTCAGCGCTCGAAGCCCAGGGCCAGGGCCCCGGGGCCTCGAAATTTTTAGGGGTGGGCTAGCAGAAATTCTTTGGGAAAGGTCAGGCTAGCAGAAATTCTGTAGGAAAATCTACACTTTATCCAAAAATGTACCATTTCTGCCTTCCCAGTCCCTTTAAACTTTAAAAATCCTGCTGTTTTGTTCCTGACACCGTCCCTTTAAAGTCTAAAATGTTTGTGAGGATGAGTAGCGGCAGAGATTCGTTCTCTAGACCCATCACCCCTCTCTCTCTCACTCTCTCGCTCTCTCTCTCTCTCTCCTGCTCATCCCCTCATCCTCATCCCCTCGAAGAGGAAGATTCGATTTCGTCCGCCAGAAATCATCGTGTTGCCATGCCCCCCTAAGGGCTTCTGCCCCCCTCGAGGAGGAGCAGCAGCACCCCGCTGAGCCCCTGAAGATTACGAAAAAATTGAGATCGACCCGGGGGGTTGACGAGGAATTTTTTGGCCTTTTAAGGGGACGATGAAGGCCTATATTCTGTGGATTTGACTTCAATGGACCTTTAAAATAGGACAGAACCGATTAGGCCATCAAAATCGACCAAAAGCCTAAGGAATCTCTGCTAGCTTGCTCTCCCTAAAAATCTCTGCTAGCCTGCCTTTTCCTATGGAATCTTTGCTAGCTCGCCCTTTAAGAAAACTCTGCCAGCTGACTTTTCCACAATAATCTCTGCTAACCTCCCATTTCCCAAATGATCTCTGCTAGCCTGCCCTTCCTTCCGCTTCACTCCTTCGAGCGAAATTCCGCATTTCCATCGGTGTCTATCCTCCCTAGTGGGCCATTCACAGACCCCATTTCCCCAATTTTATTCCCCGGGCTAGGGTGCTGGCCAGGGGCCCTTTTGGCCCCTGGAGGGCCACAGGGCCCTCGGGGGCGCAAAGTACCCACAAATTGGTACAGGGGCCAGTCGGGGCGCGCGAAACGGACGCGTTTTTCTGCGATGGGGACCAGCTGGAAATATTCCGCAACAATCTCTGTTAGGGCCCGTTCCTAAAGAAACCCTGCTAGCCTACCCTTTCCTAAAGAATCCATGCTAGCCCATTTTATAACCCAAAAAACCTTACTCAGTGAACTCGGCTAGAGTGCCCAGAAACTTGCAGGAGCTTAGCCGATCCCAAGCTGAAGTGAAGCCGATGAAGCCTCACGACGAAGCAGCCGAAAACTATCTACAAATCGAAGAAACAACCCAGAAAAATAGCCCCCCAAAAATAACCTCAAACTTGGGTAACTAAACCGGCCATGACTGTCACTTTGCCAATTTCCCACTCGCCCCCCATCTGGCCCACTGTCTGGGCATAAGGGTCGACCCCTCCCACCCCAATTTGTCAGTCGGTTCACGCCTCGTTCCGTCTGCCCCGGTGGTCCCGTACAGCCAACAATTTTCATGGGTTCAAGGCACCCATTCAAAAATGCCTCATCAAGCATTGCACTTGAACAGGAAAAGCTTCGGCTTCGCCTGAACTGCTTGAAAAGCTTCAGACTCGTCCGAATTGCTTGAAGAGCTTCAGAATATTCTGAACGGCTCGAAGGGCTTTTCAGATTCGTCTGAACTGCTTGGAGAGCTTCAGAGTTGTCTGAGCTGCTCGAAGAGCTTCGGATGCGGCTGAGCCGCTTGAAAGCTGGGCGGAAGGCGGCCATTAATGCGCCTACGTCTCAGCCTGGCCGAAACCCTAGCGGATTTTCCAAATTTTCGTGGTGCGGCTTCCGGGCCGAGGAAATTATGCTGTTTTTTGTAAGCTAAAATAACTTGTTGCCGTGGGTGTGCTTTGCATGCTCGCTGATCACCACCGACTAGACCCCCGTCTGGACCACCGTGAAACTATACCTCGGAAAAAAACGCTGGGTTGGTGGTTGGGGAGGACGGTGGACTTACTATTCCATTATTTTGAGATACTTTTGAGTATTAGTATTTGTAATTTTATTAGACTAGTATGAAATATACTCCTCTTATCTTATTCATAGTCTTCAGAAGACTATCCTATCCAAAATTGAGAATTTACTAAATTCTAAACTTCTCTTCTGATTTTAAAATTCAGAGGAAAGTTAGAAAGTAGCAATTCAAACTTCCAAAAAGGTAAAGTTCAGTCAGGCCTCACCCGAAACTTTATTTTTGAAAATGGTGGTCCCGTTTCTCCGAAGAGAATTGGTGACGTGACTCTGAGGATCAGAGGTTCAAACCCCCCGAGGGGTCTGCTGGGGGTCGGCAAAAATGCAATCCCCAATATCGCGCGTTTCACAGCCGAGGTATCTTCTGACAGTGGGCCAGACGGGTGGCGAGTCGGTAGTGATCAGGGAGCATCCAAAGATCACCCGAAGTACAAACTACAAAATCATGTAAAAATGCGCAAGGTTTGGGGTCTGTCATATGCTGCTATTCGCTAATTTTTGCTGTCCCCGTGTCTCGCCCAGGTACTTTTGGAGGTCAGCCAAAAAATATGGTCCTCTTTATTAATTTTCCAAGGTAAGGGATTCCCATCAAAATGGATAATATCCGAAAAATTAATAAAGTAAGCCTCGACTTTTTATTCCTAAGTTGTTAACTTTGAAATATTAAAAGTCGGAAAACGAAGGGCTCAAAAGCTGGCTTCAGATCCCATAAGCTGAGCAATAAAAGCTAGCTTGAGGCTTCGTTGCTTCAATTTGCATAAGCTTCCGTTCTGTAGAGATACAGAGCTTCAGCTTGGCAAAAATTGGCTAAATTGGAAGCCAGCGCGACGGCAGCAAGCCACCATCGGCTGACCTCCGCTGACTGAACCGAGGGGTCGACCCTTATGCCCAGACAGTGGGCCAGATGGGGGGCGGGTCGGGCGGAGGCAGGGGAACAACGGGCGGCGGTTCAGTTACCCAAGTTTGGGGTTAGTTTTTGGGGGCTGTTTTTGTGAGTTGTTTCTTCGATTTGTAGCTAGTTTTCGGCCTCATCGTCGTAAACCTTTTACTATTTATTCAAATCTGCCGCTTGCAATGTGACAGAGATTTTTGAGGAGGAAGAAAGTAATATTAGGCCAAAAAGAGAATAAAGAAGAATAAAAAGAGGCGAGAGCTGAGATAGATGGCTTCGAAAAACGAAGCCCAGACGAAGTCGGCTAAGCTCGTTGATGTTGAGACTTCGAGTTTCGAGCTTCTTCGTTCGTCGACGGCTTCTTCCAGACAAAATTCCTGCAAGATTTTTCTCGTTTTTCTTTTTCCCCCAGGAATTTCTGTTACCATGCCTTTCCTAAAGAATCCCTGCTAGCTTACCTTTACCAAAAAATTTTTGCCGGATGCTCTGCTGCCCTGCTCCATTTCTCGTTCCCCAAAGATCTCTGCTAGACTACCCTTTCCTAAATAATCTCTGCTAGTCTTCCGGATTTCTTCAAGAAACTCTGCTAGCTTTCCGCTTGCTAAATAATTCTGCTAGCCTGCCTTTCCTCAAGAAACTCTGCTATCCTGCCTTTTCCTCAAGAAACTCTGCTAGCCTGCCCTTTCCTAAAGAACCTCCGCTAGCCTGCCTCCCCTCCTAGACTCTAAAAGTTGCCCCACCCCTTGATAAATGTCCATGCCTGGGGGTATGGGTTGGCTATGGCTATGTCAGTGAGGGCCAAAGTGAGGGCCCAAGGGCCCAGAAATGGGCCCTCCGGGGACGTTGTGCCCGTTGGTGGTGGGGCTATAGGGGGGTCCTGTCCGGTGTGTGTCGAGAAGGGGATCGCCCTCTTCCGCCCCATCATCCACATCTGACAGCCCGCCGGGGGCCCTGGGCCCTCTGGGGGAGGGGGCTCAGATTTTTTGCGGGTGTGTGCAGGGCCCCAAATGGTGAGGGCGCGGAAAAAACGGCTGGGTGTGTGTCTGGCGCTGGGTCGCTGACGATCCCGAGGGGGTCGGCCTGGAAAAAATTTCCGGGTTTTGAAAGGGACTGGGAACTGTAGAAGCTTCTTGTAGATTGATGAACTTCATGTTGAACTTGATCGTGTCGGCGTTTCCCCGATCGAGAACCTGAAAAAAGAAGAATTAAACTAAAATCCCGAATAATCACTGCTAGCCTGCCTTTTTCCTAAAGTATCTCTGCTAGTTTGCCCGATTTCCCAAAGAATCTATGATAGTCTGCCCCGATTTCCTCAAAAAAAAACCCAGCTATCCCGCCCGATTTCCTCAAGAATCTATTCTAGCCTACCCCCACTTCCTTAAGAACCACCGCTAGCCTACCCCAGTTCCTCAAGACTCTCTGCTAGCCTGCCCGCCTCCTAAAAAATCTCTGCTAGCCTAGGTTATCTTTGCCGGATCAGGTAAAACAATATCTTGGAATTGCCAAAAACCCAAGAAAAATATCTTTGATTTTGCCTTTTACGTTCCTTTAAAACCGCTTTATCAAAAGATCCAGATTTCCATACAAATTCTTGTGTCACACTCCCTTTAAAATCGAAAAAAATGACATTTCCGGCTACATTTTGAAACCCAAGTGAAAAATACAAACCTCAACATCATCTTTCAGTGCTCATGGACGGTGCAGGGTGGTGTGCGCGTGCTGGCGAAGGCTTGCTGTGACGAGGCGGGGTCGACGGCAGTCTGTCGAGAGGTACGGTAGATGAGCATCAGTTGGGGGTCACGCTCCCGTTGGCAGGGTGCCTGAAAATGAAAAATATAGCTTTAAAACAGTTTTCTAAAATGGAGGCTGGAATTGAGACAAAGAGAGAAAGAGAGCGAGAGAGAGAGAGAGAGAGAGCGACAGAGAGAGACAGGAAAAGAGAGAGCGCGAGGGATAGAGAGACTGGACATGCGAGAGAGAATTCGTTTCTTTAGAGTATGAGCTTTAGAAGATGAGCCTGACCGCTCTCTGTCTCTCTCATTCTTTCTCTCTCTCTCTCTCTCTTTCTCTCATTCTCATCCTCATCCCAACAATTCCAGGACTCTGAGCGCGGCCGCAGCATGCTGTTGCTGTTCAACGCCGGCTGCGCGCTCATCTGCCTCATGTTGATACCAGGTAATTTTTTGGGTTGTTTTTTTGGAACTATAGTAAGACGAAAATGAATGACGAAAGTCGAAAATGCCAATTTTTAGTGGTGATCAACGCGCGGCGATCACAGCACGAGGGCCGAGGATGGGCCCTGATGGAGCTGTTCCTCATCGGCGCCTCAATTTTGTATTCTATTGTGAGTTTTCGGACAAAGGGAAACTAGCAGAGACCATTAGGGAAAGGGAAACTAGCAGAGATTCCTAAGGAAAGGGCAGGCTAGCAGTGATCCTTTAGGAACGAAACCCCTTTTTTAGTTGCTGCTGGACTGGATCGCGCCGGCGGCTGCGGGTTGCTGTGCGGCCGTTTGGCTGCGACAGATCGGATTCTCCATCTTCTACGGCTCAATTGTGCTCAAAATCTATAGGTGGGCGACCGGTGCGGCCCTTTAAAAGGGGCATGCAGCAGGGATTCTTTAGGAAATAGCGAGCTAGCAAAGATTTTGTAGCAATGGTCACCTGGCAGAGATTCTGTAGGAAAAGTCAACTAGCAGAGATTCTTGAGGAAAAGTCAACTAGCAGAGACCTTTCAGGAATCTTCAAGAATACCGGGTCCGCAAGGCGCAACACGTCTCCGTCCGCGAACAGGACATGCTCAAGTACTTGACGGCCATGTTGGCGTTGACAGTTACAGGTAGGAAAATCCGAATTTGAATATAAATACAATTTTTTAGGCCTTATCGCGTGGACGGCAGGATCGTGGGGAGATGTGGATCTTTGGAGAACAGCATGGCCGCAGTGCTCCTTTCAGGTGAGAGAGAAGGACAGAGAGAGAGAGAGAGAGAGAGAGAGAGAGAGAGAGAGAGAGAGAAAGAGAAAGATAGAGAAAACGCACACAATTCCAGAGCTGGTCCTTCATCTGGCACCTCTACGAGATCCTTTTCCTCGTCTACGGTATCCGGTTGTGTATCAAGGCGCGGAATAGCGACTGGTTGGAAAGGTGAGCGAGTTCAAGAAGTGCAGCCGGAAATACGTAACATGCAAAAAACGTGGTGTACCTTAAAAATGCCTTTTAAAAGCAGCCGGAAATGCGAAAAATAATTCCATATGCCCCTGTTAACGCGAGAGCGCTGAAAATCTACCTGCCACCGTCACTTTAAAATTAATTTTTTCCGCTATGCAACACGCAACGCGAGCGCCTCTCTTTTCATTGCGTAATCGATTACGACGAGTTCAAGGAGGACAAATGGCCTTTTAAAACGCATCGATAGATCAAAATCTACTTGTCGCCGTCCCTTTAAAATCAAAACACAGCTAGTCCTAATTTTTACAGTAATTTTCCCTATTTAAAACGCAAGATCCGCAAAATGTCTCCTGTCACACCCCCTTTAAAAGCAAGCTACAACGGGTCCCAATTTCTACAGTAATTTTCCAAGTGTAAAAATAAAAAATCTACATAAAATTTTTCCTCTCACGTTCCATTCAAAACCCCTTTTTCAGACCTATTGTTCCAATTCAAATTTCTAGATGGCAATTCACGGTGGCCGTGTGCCTGGAGATGGTGTGCACAATTGGGAGTAATCTGATGAGATGGGCATTGCGAGATTCTGCACATAGTGACACACTCTTCACTATCACTTTTGTACAACTACAGCTGACTGTCTCCGTCAATATTGTCATCATCATCGCGCCAAAATTCTATCTGGTGGGTTGATTTGAGGGTTGCCTGCCCCTTTAAAAGTTAGGGCAGGCTAGTAGCGATTATTTGGGAAAGGGCAGTCTAGCGTAGATTCTTTGGGAAATTGGGAACATAGCAGATATCCTTTAGGACGCGAGGAAACTAACTCGCTCTGGATTAGTCAGAAAAATTTCTTCCCCTCCACGCTAAGAGAGCAGTACCGAGATTCTTTGGGAAAGGAGCAGGCTAGCAGAGGTTATTAGGAATGTAAAAAAAGTAACCTAGCCGAGATTTTTTAGGATCTAGCCGATATTTTTGTACTGTACTGTTAACGGGGGGGTTTCGGGGAAACTAATTTGCTCTGGATTAGGGAGAAAAATTGGGCTTTACACCCCCGTTAAGAGACCAGTACCGATATTCTTTCGGAAAGGGCATGCTAGCGGGAATTCTTTAGGAAAGGGCAAGCTAGCAGAGATTATTTGCGAAAAGGCAGGCTAGCAGAGGCTCTCTAGGAAAAGCACTCTAGCACAGATTCCTAAGGAAACGTTCAAAAATTATTTTAAGGTCTCCGGGGAGTCAACGCGCCGCTCGCTAGCCGTGGGCCAAAGTAATCGTGCCCATCCCTCCCTGGCCAAACTGCGCGACAATATCCTCAACGGTACCATCGACTTTGCCGAGGTGCCGATCGTCGACATGAATCCGGAGGACATTCGGGCCGAGTTGAAGCGCGTCTACACACAGTTGAGGATGTACAAGCTGAAGAGTCTCTACCAGGACAATCCGCACATCAGCAAGAAGCGCGGTGGGAAGAAGTGGAGGTAGGCGGGCTGGCAGGGATTGTTGGGGAAATCGAAGATAAGGAAGTGCTAGGAAATAGCAGGGTTTCTTCAGAGAAATGAATTCAGGAGGCAAACTAGCAGAGATTCTTGAGGAAAACAAAAACTAAAAAACCCGAAATAGGCCGTCTAGCAGTGATTCTTTAGGAAAAGGCAGGCGAAAAGGCTAAAAAATGCCGAATTTGTACCAGGCAAGCTAGCGGAGATTTTATAGGAAACGGTCAGCCAGTAAATATCCCTAAATTTCCTCATAACGGTAGGCTAGCAGAAATTATTTTGGAAAGGGCTAAGTAGGAAGGATCCTTAGAGAAAGGGCATGCTAGCAGAAAATTTTAAGGAAACGGGGGTAGGCCAGCAGAGATTCTTTAGGAAGGGGTATGCTAGCAAAAATTATTTAGGAAATCGGGGCCGGCTAGCAGAGATTCTTAGAGAAAATTATTCATATAAGGCAGGCTAGCAAACACAATTCAACTAATCCTATAAAAAGCCAATTTTTAGTGACAAATCGACAGCTAAGACCGCCGTGAGAAGAATGTCAGTGGGTGGTGCGGGCGGGACGGGCGGTTCGGGCACGTCTCCTGCCCGATCCCGAATCGAAGAGGACGAGAAAAGCGACCTGACGGTGGAGTCGGCCCCTCACAACGTCTACCTCTGCACGAACAAGCTCAACCTGGAGGCCAATTGCTCGGTGCGCGTGTAGAGCGCAGGAGTTTTTTTGCGGTTTCTAAAGGGGATCGGACAGGTTGCGGGCAGGCTAGCAGAGAGCATTTGGGAAGTGCATAAAAGGGTAAAGATTGCAGTAGGACTGGCAAGCTAGCAGAGATCATTTGAGGATCGAAAACCTGCTGCAAAAGCTAAGATGGGCCTAGGCAAGCTAGCAAACGTTTTTCAGGAACCGCGGCCTAGCAGAGATTCTTTAGGAAAGCTAAATAGCCTAGAAGGCCGGCTAGCAGAAATTCCTAGGGAAGAGGCGAGCTAGCAGAGATTCCTTGGGAAAGGGCGGCTAGCAGCGGTTCTTTAGGACAGGGCAGGCTAGCAGAGATTCTTTAGGACAGGGCAGGCTAGCAGAGATTCTTTAGGAAAGGGCAGACTAGCAGAGATTCTTTAGGAAAGGGCAGGCTAGCAGAGATTCTTTAGGAAATGGCAGGCTAGCAGGGATTCTTTGGGAATGGCAAGCTAGCATGGATTCTTTGGGAATGGTAAGCGAGCAGGGATTCTTTGGGCAAGAGCAGGCTGGTAATGATTCTTTAGGAAAAAGCAATCTAGCAGCGATTCTTTCGGAAAACCACCCTCCCCGAACTGTCCGATTCCCTTTAAAAGCCGCCCCTACTACCGTAACCCGGTTGTAGTCTGTAGCCTACAATTTTCTGCCATTTTGCGAGGAATAGGGGTATTTTTGTAATTTTTGGACTTTTTTCTCTGTGCATTTTCTCTCTATATATCATTGTTTCCGGTGTAAATCCTTTTTTGGCAGCCAGGGCCGCCCCGGGTTACGGTAGTTTTGTCAACACGCGGATTTTTCGCGGAATACCGTAACCAGGTTCGGCTCCTTCTTAGAAAAGCTGCTGCTCCCTTCTCCTCAACGGGTCCCCCAGCCACATTCCCACTCACTTCCCCGCACGTGCCAACCAGTTGTCATTTTTTGGATTTTTTTTTGTACTTATAAAAATGTTCAATTTAATTTACAAAAATTTTTAAACTAAACATGATAATTTAGCCCTAAAATTGTTTAATTTAAATTTTCTTGATTTCGAAAATGAAAATCTAGTTTTTTAAAATTTGATATCATTTGCGTCGCGGTTGGCGCACTACGGTAAATTTTGTAAGGGGTGGTCCCAGGTGGAACTTTTGTAAATAGCTTTTTCTAATTTCTTAGAGTGGAAAAACCATTTTTAAAGCAGAAAAAAACGTACATTTAATCAATAATGTTTTAAAAATTTAAAGCCAATTTTTTGATATATTGTATCCGGTTTTTCAATATAAAAAACCATTTTTTGATCTCTAAAAATGGAAGAAAGTGGTTTAAATCTTAGGCAAATTCTATCAGAATTTTTATAAATGCGTTTTAAGGTAAAATCTATGTAAATTCCTCATTAAACGCCTTCCAAAATCAGCTAAAAACCCAGATATGCAAAAATTCTAGCCGGGACCACTCCGAATTCTTATTAAAAAATTTTCCGATATCCCACCACGTCCAATTATCCTTGCATAGCTCATTTTTGTAATTTTTTTGTATTATGGTATTTTTGCCGTTGATTTTGTGGCCCCACCACAAAAATCACACACAAATGATGTCTTTCCGCCTCGTGGAATAAATATTTGAAAATTTAATGAATTTTGTTTTGAGGAAATTGCACAAAATCCGGATGGCAGACTGGCAGAGATTATTTAGGAAGAGGCAAGCTAGCGGAGATTTGTTAGGAAAGGGCAGGCTAGCAGAGATTCCTTAGGGAAAGGCAGGCCAGCAGAGAGTCTCAAGGAGAGGCAAGCTAGCAGAGATTCTTTAGGATATGACAAGCTAGCAAAAATTCCTTAGAAAAGAGAAGCTAGCAGGGATTATTTAGGAAAATCCTTGTTCTAATTCGCGCCCTCGGGCTCTGGGGGCGCAAAATAAAAGGCAGCCGTCCGTTACCATAGTAACCCTAGGCCCAGCTGACCGCTAGTGGCCACCTGGCATTTGCATATTCCTAACTACCGAAAATTCGCCACAATGTTAGACACAATTTCCTCCTATTTTTTGAGCCTCGTCGCGCATGGGACGCTGGTTTTCGCGATTCTGTTTAATCAGGTAATTTGAATTACCTTTAAAAAATACGGGCAGGACATTCAAAAACCTTCAAGGTCAACTGATTTTCAATAGATACCTTTTTAAAACTTGTAAGAATCGAAAAAAATGCTATTAAAAGAGCCAGATCATCTACTTTAATGTTACCGTTTAAAAACCCTCAGAGTTAGACCTAAAAACGCAACATACGAAATAAAATTAAATCTAAAGCAAAAGTCCGTTAAAATGCAAAAAAGACTAGGCAAAAAAGAAATCCAGAAGCCCTTCATCTTGGCCGGACAACCCCTGTGGAATGATCGAGTGGACGAGGCCGATTCTGTACAGTTTACGATGCTACTATGCACGGTTATCGTCATGGACATTGTTGAATTCGGGTTTTTGATCTACAGGTAGGCAGCAGAGATTATTTAGGAAACGGCAAGCTAGCAGAGATTCTTAGGAAAGGGCAGTTTAGCAGAGATTCTTTGGGAAATCGCAGGCTAGCAGCAATTCTTTAGGAAAAGCGGGCTAGCAGCCATTCGCTAGGAGAGAACAGGCTAGCAGAGATTCTCCAGGAAGTCTCAGCCAAATTTTTAGAAAAAAGTGGCAAACCAGCAGTGATCCCTTGAGAAAAACCAAAAAAACTGTAAGTTGCAGGCTAGCCCAGATTCTTTGGGAAAATACGAGACGCGTGGCGTAAGGCAAGCTAGCAAACAGTTTGTAGGAAATGGCAAGCTAGCAGCGACCCCTCAGGAAAATTGTAAAGTGAATTTCAGATACCCGCCCCCTGGCCTAAGCCTATTCGCCGTCATCCTACGATGCCTCTCGTGCCTATTTCTACTGAAATTCATCGTCGACATCCACCCCGTCTTTCATTTCTGGATTCTTCTCGCCCTAACCGTTCTCCCGACATTTACCGTCAATTTTATACGAGTCGCGCTCACGTTTCGATGAATAAAAGGTTTTGAAAAGTGGCTGGCAACGATTCTTTAGGAAACGGCAGATAGCAGAGATTTTTTAGAAAGGGGCAACTAGCAGAATCTTTCGCAAAGGGCCAGCTAGCAGTGATTCTTGAGGAAGTCGAAGCTAGCAAAGGTTCGTTGAGGAAATGGGGGCAGGCTAGCAAAATTTTCGGCAAAGGGCCAGCTAGCAAAGATTCGTTAGGAAACGGCCACAGGGCATGCTAGCAGCGATTATTTAAAAATCTTTTAAAATCCAGACCCCGCAGCAAAAATTACTGTAAAAAAACGCACCATACCCCTCGTGGTTCCTGGAGAACGAGCGGAGATCCTTGAGGAATGGCTGATGGTCGGACGGTCTCTTCTTTCTTCCGTAGTAATGCTACCTAAATCTGGGAAAAATAACTAAACTTTAAATTGCTTACCTTATTGATCGTCAAACTCGGCCGGCTCCTCGCAGTAGGGCAGGCTCGCAGAGATTCTTGAGGAAGAGCTGCGCCGGGCGATGCTGAGGAGTTGAGTCTCTGAAAAAACAACGATATAAAGTCTGTTATTTGTGGAAAAGCGGAAAGAAATGGAAAACAACTTCAGAAAACGAGAGAGAGAGGGAGAGAGAGAGAGAGAGCGAGAGAGAGAAAACGAGAGAAAAAGCGAGAGAGAGAGAGAGAGCGAGCGCGAGAGAGCGAGAGAGATCAGCGATTCTTTAGGAAAGCGCAGGCTAGCAGAGAATTTTTAGGAAATGGCAAGCGAGCAGAGATTCCATAGGAAACGCTTCTGGCAAGCTGTCAAATTTTCTCCCGTACAGTACGCAACGATCCTGTTGCCGTGCACCCAGCTTATCATTTCCAAAGCACGAGAACGCGCAGGGGGGCTCTCCCGCATATCCGCGATTCGATAATTCCTATCGTAGATCGGGGCAGAGAGAGAGAGAGAGAGAGAGAGAGAGAGAGAGAGAGAGATAGTGAAAGGAGGAGATCCCCCCTCCATTGCGCAGACCCCCCATCCTCAGCACCGCCAAATTATAGCCACACGCCATATATCGAATAGTATGTTCCACCCCCGCAATCACTTTCTTATCTTCAAAATGTTCATCTACAAATAATCCATCGCTTGTTGACTTCACTGGCCCTTTAAAAACGCTAATTTTTTCCAAATTGCCCATTTTCTGAGGCATATATTGTTAAAATCAGCTTTCCTAGTTCCTTGAAATCGGCAGGGCAAGCTAGCAAAGATTCCTAAGGAATTTTCGAAAGTCAAATTCTAAGGAATTTTGCGTTTAGACACCCCTTAACATCCCAGAAATTCATGGCAGGCTAGCCGAGATTTTTTAGGATTTTGCCAAAGCTAAAGCCTATCTACAATTGCCTTCATGGGTCCTTTAAAATGCTAGCAGCCTAGGCCGGCTAGCAGGGATTTTTGAGGAAATTTCGCGCGTTAAAATCCATATGAATTCAACTCCACAAGACCTTTAAACGCTGGGAATCCATGGCAGGCTAGCCAAGATCCCTTAGAAATTTGCTAAAAAAGTTCCTAAAAATTTCTGCTAGGCTCACCCGTTCCTAAAGGATCTCTGCTAGCCTGCCCCTCCTCCTCTTGGGGGTCAATCCAGTAGTTAGTTTCCCTAATCGCCTCCCTAAATCTCAATAAAGTCATTCCGACTGCCCGATTGCCCCTTTTCCCCGCACCCCTAAAATGCCGCGCACATTTTTCCCATTCCGCAAATTTTTGGCGAGCCATTTGGGGGTAGCGGGGGGAATTTGTGGAATTTTGGAGGCTAATCGGGGATAGAAAATTAGTTTCTATAAATTTTCAGAATAGTTAGGCGGGCTAAAGGGATGGCGACAGTTGAGAAGCCGGTAATAATCTCTGCTAGCCTGTTTTGATTTACGAGGATTTTAAGGGGTTTGCGAAGGCATGCCTCCAAAACGTGAAAGTCCCCGGATTTTGTCTCAGTTTAAAGACATTTTAAAGGTGTTGTGTTCTTGGAATGAAGTGGAATGCGCACGGACGTACAGTTATCGAACAACTGTTTATCTACATAAAGTGGTGGCAGGAGGATCGGCAACAGAGCTAGTCTGTGCCGATAAGTGGACCCGCAACGAGATAATACAATCTAGTCTTAGGCGGGAAGTGGCGCACGCGACGCGACCGCAGGGGGGGCGCGCGCCGGTGGCTTACCCACTGGATAGGAGGGACAGCCGGGAAAGAGGATCTATTGTGGTCTAGCAAGCTAGCACCACAACAAAAGGCATGTGCTTTGGGCGGCTAGCAGAGATTCTTTAGGAAATACCCTTATCGTTTTTTATCACATAACAAGCTTTTCGTTCGTGCCCCGGGGGCATGAAATCGAAAGCGCGCAAGACAATTGGATCTCTTTCTCAGTAATAGTTATTGACAAAGGATGCGGTCTCTCTCTTTCTCTCTCTCTCTCTCTCTCTCTCTCTCTCTCTCGCTCTCTCTTCCCCCCGATACGTCCTTGAGAGTATCCATCAGTGGGGGGAGAAGAAGCCCCCTTTCAATCGGCCCACTACCATCATCATCATCCATACTAATTGACCGTTTCGGCGATTTCTCACTTTTTTTGGTTTTTGCGTTAGTTTTGGTAAGCCCAATTTAATTATACAAAATTGTAAAATTAAAAACACCTAGAAAGCTAAAAAATTCCGCCCAGAAAATAATCTTTTTTAAAACATAAATTCATTAAAAAAGCTATTTTTCCGTTTTTTACTTATCGTATTACTGACATCATTTCCGTTTCAGATACAGTTTTATTTACTCTTGCCTCCAATGGCCCTTTTATAGCGCTGTTTATTGTTTGTTTTCCCCCCACTCCATTTCCTGCTATATTTGTCTCTCTTTTTTCACAAAAAAATGCCAAAATTTCTATTTTATTTTTCTTGTTTTTGTTGATTTTGAGATGCCAATTTCTTTATTTTTTGCTAAAATCATTTTTCACATAAGAAAATCTGCTAAAGCGCGAACATTCACTTTATATGCTAATAGTTTTCTTGATTTTTGTCGCTCCCGGAATTTGTTGAATTTCTCTCTCTCTATCTCTCTCTCTCTCTCTCTCTCTCTCTCTCTCTCTCTCTCTCTCTCTCTCTCTCTCTGTTTCTCCCTCACTCTCTCTTTCTCTGTCTCTCTCTCCCTCTCACTCTGTCTCTCTCACTCTGTCGCACTCTCTCTTTCTCTCCGTCTCTCGCTCTCACTTTCTCTCGCTCTCTTTCTCTCCCTCTCCCTACCTCTCCCTCAAAAATTTTCCCTTTTTCCGAAACGGGCGCGATGGGTGCGCCGCCGCGCCGCGCGCGAACCCATCGCATCAATTCCAGCGCGCTGATCCATCACCTCACCCCTAATTTCCCCCGGGGTTGGTGCTTCGCTCTCTTTCTCTCTCGCTTTCTCTGTCTCTCTACTCTCTCACCTCAGAATCTCCTGGAGGCGATACCATGGTCAACCGAGACCACACCTATCTTTAGGCTTCCAGGAATTTCAGGGTCGAGTTGGGGGTTTTCCCGTTTTCCGGGTTGAGTTTCCTAAAGAATCTCTGCCAGCCTGCCCTTCCTAAAGAATTTCTGCTAGCCTGCCCTTTCCTAAAGAATCTCTGCTAGCCTGCCCTTTCCTGAAGAATCTCTGCTAGCTAGCTCTTCCAAAAATACGCTCAAAATTCCAGGTCCATACAATGGACGTGTCCCGGCAACGGGCCCGGATCGAGTCCCAGCTGGCTGCGCTGCCAGGTCAGTAATTAAAATATTTGTTTTATATTGAAATTACAAAATATTTAAATTCTCAAGATAACTCTGCTAGCCTGCCCTTTCCTAAAGAATCTTTGCTAGCTGTCGCACTCGAAAATAATTAATTCCATATGCCAGGATAACTAACTGATGTCAGTTTTTGGGTTGTAATTCGGGGCGTAAATTGGAGCGCAACGTAACATAGCGTAGCGTACCACTACGTAGCACTACTCCCTACGTACTACCATTTCAGGTTGCACCGATCGACTCGGCTCGCCATTAATTCTAATTTCTCCGCATGCCCACGCCTCGACGGCGGTGACGGCTAATAAAGGTAAGGAATTTTTTCGAAATACCGTAACTTAAGTTAATTCGTAAATATTAATTAATTTTATTTTTGATTTTCATTTTTACTTCATTCATTTTTCCTATTTATTTTATTAATTTCCCAAACTATAATTTAACCCAATTTCAGCCGCCTCCACATCGTGTTTGGTGGCGTCAAGCGGACTTTACGACGACTTGGTGGCGGTTTTGGGGTGAGTTTTGTAGCATTCAATCTTTTTCTACAAATTTTAACTGACTTAAATAATTTCCGATTTAACCCTAGCATTCAAAGGTTTTTGTACAAATTTTGACTGCTCTCAATAATTTCCGATTTAAACCTAACCACAAACTAAATTAACCGCTACTTCAATCTTGCTACAAACTACAGTAGCCATCTGGATAAAATTTCCCCAAAAAAACCCACAAATTCGCTTCGATCCCATCAGAAATTCCCTCGATTTGTCGTCCAATTTGCTCGAATTTCCGGGGCAGGCTAGCAGAGACCATTTGCGGAATCGTCGAGAAATGTCGAACGCCTAGAAAAAAATTGAATCTCGTGAAAAATGAGGAGAACTTACCTATTAGGAAAACATGGCAAGCTAGCAGGGATCCTCTGGGAATTGTTCGGAGCCGTCCAGAAGCTAGAAAAACTCAAATAATTTTTTAATAGGAGAAGCTTACCTCTTAAAATACTGTCGAAATATCCTAGATAAATTTTTATTATGCAAAAAAGAAAGCCCATTTACCTTTCTCAGAAAACAGGGCAGGCTAGCAGAGATTCTTGGGAACTCGTTCTAAACGGCCGACATCCTAAAAAAAAATGTAAATTATGCAAAAAATAACGAGCCTTACCTTTTTCAAAAATACGGCCGGCAGACTAGCAGAGGTTCTTGGGGGAATCGTTCGAAACGGCCGAAAAACTATAAAAATTTATATTGCAGAAAATCACGGAGCCTTGCAAACCTCTTTTCAAAGCCCGGCAGGCTAGCAGAGATTCTTGCGGAAGCGGTGTAGTAGATGCCTAAAATAAATAAATGAATAAATCAACTAGCTCTATAAAAACGGAAAACCTTTTTATTTATTTTTGTAGAAAATAAATTAATTTTAATTTCAGATATTTCTCCCAAATCCCGCCCCCGGAAGCTCTATCCGAGAAGGGAGGGCTTTGCGTGCTAATTGACGGCCGGAAGACGCCGTCCCGAGCGGTGCGTACCGTACTCCGCGCTTGTCAGGTTGGTTTTCCCAAGTGTTCTCTGCTAGACTACCTATACACAAATTTGCATGCATTTTCTGCACAGTTTTTAGATGCAAAAAGCCTAAAAAATATATTTTTTCGTTTTTAGCCAAAAATATATGAAAAATGGCCAAAGAAACGTCAAAGTTTTCGAATTTTCGAATTTTTAAAATTTTTATGGCTTTCTAGCAGTCAAGAACTATTAAAAACACTATAAAAATACATTAGATATCTTTAACCGGCAGATGAAGGCGGAAAAAATTAGTTCCCCCCCCCGCTAACAGTCCAGTAGCGTCGATTTTTAGCAAGCCCTCTACCGAAAGGTTCGACTGGCCATAATCCTGCAACCGGAGCGTTTTCTGGACCAACAGAAGATCAACCTCGATCTACTTGTAGAAACCCATCAATTTAAGGTGCGTACTTTACGCGTGATACGTACGCAACCCCCCTTTAGACGATCCTCACATCCGTTCACAAACTATCAAGATGGGTGGACGTCACGCAATTGCCAGCCTCGTTTGGAGGGCCATTTCCGTATGAGCCGCTACGGTGGTGCGATATGAGGGAACACTTCGAATTTGCTGAAGCTGCACTCAGGGCGAGACTCGCCGAACTTGAGGCCGGGGGGAAACCGCTGGAAGATGATGAGTTGGCGGTTAGGAGAGGTGAGTGAGAGAGTGAGAGAGAGAGAAAGAGAGAGAGAGAGAGAGAGAGAGAGAGAGAGCGAGACAGAGAGGGAGATAGAGCGTTAGAGCGAGCGATACAAAGGGAGAGAGTGAGAGCGAGAGCTAGAGCTTAAAAGCCAACGAGAGAAAGAGAGAGAGAGAGTGAGTGAGACAGAGTGAGAGAGACAGAGAGAGGGAGTGAGTGAGAGGGAGTGACATATATATAGAGAGTGAGAGAGAGCGTGCGATAGAGAGCGCGAAACAGATATAGAGTGCGAGAGAGAGAGCGAGAGAAAGAAAGAGAAAGCGAGAGATAGAGCGAGAGAGAGAGGAGAGGGTAAGACAGCGAGAGATAATTAAATTTTTTAGCGAACGCCTTCCTCCACGAAACCCGCGCCTCCACAAATCCCCTCGAAAAACAGTATGCCGCCACGATCCGGGAGCTGCTAGATAAATTAAAGGTAAGTTAAATCTCTGGCTGACAAACTACAGACTACAAACTAAGAAAAAACCGCTTCCAGGTTGTCGCCCGTCGCCCAGAAGTGGAGGCCGAGGCTCAGAAAAAGGAGGAAGAGGAGCAGGAGAAGAAACGGTTGCTCGAGGAGCACGCGCAGGGCGTTAACAGGTACGTCACGGAACGCGGTTCTTGTGTATTTATGGGGGGGGGGCGATAATTTTCCTATGGCGTAGTAAGCAATACAGTATTTTTACATGATTTTAGGAAAATTTCAAACTAGACGAAGGAGAGAAACCTTCAAAAAAAACGCAGAAAAATCTTCGAGAAGTAGGGATCTCAGTGATCTTGGTCGAACACAATAGATTTTTCTACTTAAGCTTACATTTTTTTAATTAATATATAAAAATACGTAATCATAATAAAAGTTAAAGAATTGGATAAAGCATTAATTTTTAAAAAAATGAAAATGATTAAATGGTTCGACATTAATGCCGTATTTTGTAGCCTATTGGACTGGCTGGAAGGGCCGGGCGAAAAGTGGGTACAATCGCTGCATGAAATCGGCGAGAGCCGAGATGAGGCTCGGCAGCTGGTGCGGGAGCACGAGCAGTTGAGCACGAAGAGTCAGGTATGTAAAAAACACGGTTCACTTAAATCTATCGAAATCAATAGTCTTGCCTTCCACGTCCCTTTAAACGGCTGTTTATACGCAAAAAATGGCCACCTTTTAGGAAGTGTGCCAACAAGCTGAAGAACTTGGCGAATTAGCGCAAAGATTGACGGCTACCGCCCCAGAACACGCCATCACGTTGCAAAAAGTAGGTTAATTACCCTAATTTTCCCCGGTAAAAGTACTGTCGCTATCCCTTTAAAAGGCCATCCAAGGCGATCTAAAGATTCTAACTCAAACACACTAATGGAAGGCTGTAGGGGTGAAAATATGCCGACTCCACAACCTGGCCGGAAAAATGGCTGCCCCCGCTAATTTTCACAAATTTCATCAAAAATTTCCCCGACAAGGATTTCCAAAAAAACCGACTTTTTCAGATCCGCGATATCCTGCTCGCCACCTCGCAAATATTTGCCGGCCGTGTGAAGCGGCAGGCCGAGATGGCTGGACGCAGCGAGAAGTTCCACGAGCAGATGAGCGAGGTCGGCTTTTTCGCTTTTACACCTAAAAATTAGTTTTTCTAATATAAATAAAGGAAGCCTTTAATACAGTTTTTTTAATTTTAATAAACGAAGCACTTCCTAATTTATCTTAATCCTAACGTTTTAGAGAGATTTTATACTTAAAATGTAGCGAAATTTTACTAAAGGCGCTGTTCAAATCTATCATTTTCCGTTTTTAGGAATTTCCGGACGACTACCCCCCTATAACGCAAAAGTACCTACTTTTTTAGTTTTCCCGAAAAACTGACAGCCTCCTCGAGTCGTTGTGCACGGATCCGCATTGCACGGATCTGGCGGGCGCGGAGGCCGAGCGAAAACAGCTTGAGGAGAAGGTCGAGCAGATGGGTGGGTCTAAAAAGAAAATTTTCAGCTTAAAATACCTTTGATTTTGCCCATTTTGCCTGAATCGTGCTTCAGAGGGCATCTACGAGTCGGTGATGGACATGGGCGCAGTTTTCGCGGAAGATTTGGCGACGCCGGATAAGAATACTAAAATTGTAGGTTCAAAACGAGATCTAGACTCTTATTATACCTTTAAAAGACGTAGAGATCGTCGGCGCTAAACGAAAAATGCCTGAAAAGTCGATTTATGCCCTAAAAAGGATTAACAATTTTATAAATAATTCTGTCCCGTTACGGATAGGTATAAAAAATAACTTTATACGTAGAAAAAGTCGCGACCATCGTAGAAAAGCTTTAAAAACTAATTAAGTTTTCCAAAAAGCCTTTAAAAAGCCTAAATTAACAGCTACAAAGTTAAATCACTAATTCTAACTAGTTATTAAATTGTTAGGATCGCTTAAAATACCTTTTTATACCCAAAAAACCTCGTAAGTTACACGAAACGCTCGAAAAAAGTAACGCTATATTAAAAAAACTTCAATAATTCATTATATTTATAAAAATTATACAAAAACCCCTAAATCTCTCTTCTATGGCCACAGATCCCCTTTAATCTACACAAAAATACTGGAACATTATTAACCAAGCTTTAATGACCAATTCTATTTCCAAAAATGACTCAAAACTGCCAAAATCACCCTTCTAGGGTCCCAGAAACTACGCTGCCGGCGTGCACCACGTCCGGGAAAGCATGGCAGCTGCCCGACATCGAAGAAAGCGGTAAAAAACCTATGATTTCGCCTTGAAAAAGCTACTTCAGTTGCCTAGACCTCGTTGACGTGCGCCGCCTAAAACTTGAGCAAATCATCCGGTTGAGCACGTGCGAACGGGACGCCAATCAGGTAAACGTATCAAAACCCTGAAAAACCGAAAACTTAGGCCATCGCCTGGGTCGAGGAACTGCATGACACGCTGAGGAGGGACTACAATCAGGTTAGCGAGCCAAGCTTCGTGCTTTTCTGCTTGTTTTCTGCTCTTGTTCGCTTAAAAAAAGCCCCACTATAGGTTGGCTGCGACGAGGAAGAGCTGCGCGTCTTGAAGAAGGACAGGGAACAGCTAGAAGACACCGCCAGGGTTTGTAAACACCACCATTATCTTCAAAGAACTTTAGAGTACTTATAACTATGGCAAGGAGCTGTGTCAAGTAGCGCTGGTGTTACGACGATCGCTGAGGATGGACGCCATTCCACAGGTACAACGCACAAAAACTATACTTGGTACTGGGTTGTTAGCGGGGGTGGAAAGGTTAGCTAGTCGATAACTACCTAAAAAAAAAAGAACAAAGGAATATTTGTCTTTTTTGTCAATAAAAAGCTGAAAATTTTAGGCAAAAACCAAAATTTCGAAAATTTTTATAACTTTTTACGAACTTTAGATAGTTAAAAAAGGTGGAAAGATCCCCAATTCACGATGTGCATTTTATTCTTGACACCAAGGTACGCTAATCCCCCCCCCGCTAAAAGCCCAGAACCCTAAGCTTTTTAAGAGTATAAAAAACGTACCCAACTCTTCCAGAAACAACTCGCCGACAAGCTCGAGCACACTTGGGGTCGTCTCTGCCGAGCGCTCACCGAACACGACTCAAGAACGCACATTTGCGGCGCTTTTAATTCTGCTTGCATCCAGGTGGGTCCGACCGCACAAAACTAAACAGCTTTACCCGAGCAACCGGAAACTCTGTGTATCACAGCGAAAGACGAACAAGAAGGGATAAGAATTAGAAGCACAAGGAATGAAATGGGTAACGACAATCGGGGGTTGACAATAGGAAATGGGTAATCTGGAGGGCGTCACAAGGGGGTGAGGCATTTCTTAAATGTGATAGAATACAACAAAAACCGTTACGGCTAGATGGAGGAGGGCAATGATTCGGATCCGTCCGTCGATTGGTCACTGTCCGCTTCCGCTTCCGCACCCACTTCCACTTGAACTTGGTCGGGCTTCTGGCCGCCGCCGAGGACGAGGTGCAGTCGCGTTGCATCCGGGATGATCAGCGACAGGATGGCCGTCTTCACGTCACCGTTGAAGTCACGCAGCTGCCGGGTGGCGATATTCTGGAAAAAAAACGTATTTTCTTTGGGTTTTTAGCCTTCCTAGGGGATAGAAGTTTTTCCTGTGCCTAATAACGTAAGAACCAATATTGGTGTTTTTGCATTATCGGGCGAGCAGCTTTTCCTGAGGTCCCCTTTTTCTAATAGAGATAGAGGAAATCTTTCTAAACGGCGTTTTTACTAATCCTGGACGTAAAAATTCTAATAAAAAATGAAAAACTTCAGATTTTTGCTCAAGAAATAGCTTATTGACTAAAATATCACTTTTTTGTTATTGAGATGGTTTACTACTCAAAAGTATTTAATACCTACTAAAAAGTATTTAATACCTACTAAAAACACGATTAAAATACGTACTATTACGTTACGCGAAATCTGTAAACTCCTAGGGCCAATTCCCCCCCCGGCGAAATGACCATTCGGCGAAATGAAGAGACAGCGGAGAAAGCAGAGAAACGAACCCCTTTTCAGAACCCTTATCACGACAAACTTCGAAAATTAATTTCACGTACTCTCTTTGTTACAAAAAGTGCATCCTAAAAGGCCAACGACAAAAAATTTGGTGGCACGTCAGTTCCAAAAGGGAAAATTTGATACCTCGTTGCACATCAGCTCGTCGCACATCAGCTTCACGTCGGCCGGGTTGATCTTGACGGGTCCGGGGCGCGGCCTGGTGAACATTTTGTCGAGGTCCTTCACCGAGACCACCTTCCAGTTGCCGCCGGCCTCCTCGACCATCTGAAAAAAAAACGAAATAAAGGCCCACAAGAGTCAAATACATACCTTGAGTAAAGCATCGTATTTTTTGGCGTCCGGCGTTTCCTCAGTCTCGGCTGCACCTCCGTTGAGCCCCTAAATCATTTATAATCCAGAAAATTGACTAAAACAATGTACCATTTGTTTTTCCGGCTCTCCACGATCACCAGAGAGCAGTTGTTCTTGCTGTAGAGTCACCATCTAAATAAAAATAGATAAATTATACCGAAAAACAAATAAATGTTGCTTGAAAACAAGAATACAGAAAAACTGACATTTTAAGATTCTACGCCGAATAGAAGAGCTGGACCGGCAAGCGAAAGAGCATTTGTTGGCGAAAGGGAGGAGAAGCAGTGAGTTGTAACAATTTATGACTCATCCAATTCAAGGCACCGCCCCGACACTGTTATTTTCGACGGAAAGGCGCCGGCTGGGGGCCGATGTCGCGGAATTGAGGCATATCGGCGAGATGCTGGTCGCGCAAACGAATGCCAATCATGTGTAAGTCGAAAAAGACAATAAAAATCGACCAACTTTTCAATACAATTAAATTAATCAATTTAAAAAGTTTAAAATTGAATCACGGCACCAGTTTTGGGCCAAAAATGCGAAAAGCAGGGCACTGCTACGTTTTACACCAGTTGACGTACAAAAGGTTTCACGTATTGTTGCGTACTACTTTTGCAGAAATAAAAAAACCTGATTTTTACTAGGTAGATTCAATATAATTTAAGCCGGATTAAAGTTAATACTTTAACATAAATTGATTAATTTTAGAAAAACTTAATTAAAAATAATGAAACATTGACTTACGCTACAAATTTTGGGCCAAAATTTCAAAAAGCCGAGCGCTGCTACGTTTTGCACCAAATCCGTACGTACGGTTTTGCGTATGGTTGCGTACTACTTTTACAGAAAAAATTTCAATTTTTTCATTTTTGAAATTCAACCAAATAAAGCCGAATGAAGCCCAATTAAAATTCATAATTTAATAAAAGCTTAAAAACTAACTTTAGCGCGAGTCGAGAAGCCAGAAGTGCAGCCGTGGCCCTTGTACGGCAAAAAGTGGACGAGGTAGGGTTCCAAAACCCAAAATTATACTTGAAAATCAGGTGGAAGACCGGAGGGCGCAACTGGAAACATTAATAGAGGGCCGAAAGGCGCCCAGCGAGGTAAGATACCTAGAAAACCTCTAAAACCTAACTCTAGGAGCCAATTCTGATCCGCGAGGGCGCCGCGCCGAGCGCTGGCAGCATCCGCATCGGCGATAATGAGAGCTACTTGTAAAAATTAATAAAGCTCGTGCTTCTGAGGCCATAAATACTTAAAAATTGCCAAAGGTTTTGTGATTTTCGAGAGATTTTGCTCACGCTGGAAAGTTGCCAAATTTGCACCGGTTTTTTGAGGTTTTTGCACGTTTTCGTGTGACGCATGACTTTGGAATATTTCAATTCTGTGTACTTTTCCCTGATTCGATAAACTTTGGTTTTAGAGGAGAGGATAAAAGACGCAGGACGCCAATTTGGCACTTATGCATTATCGGGGGGCGGTGGGGGGTGAACCAACTTTTCCAAAGGTTCAAACTCTTCAAAAGTTCAGTTCGAATTTTTTAGACCCCGGAAATGTAAATTATTTCAGATTCTCGCAAACAGTTAGCCTTTTTTAGGCGCGCGATCGGATTCCGGCGAATGTGTAAAAAGCGGAAAAACGTTGCGAACGAATTGGCAGATTGTCTGGCGAGCGAGAGAGAGAGAGCGTTAAAAAGCGAGAGAAAAAGAGTAACAATCTGGTCTAGTTCTCGGTATCGCGCCCTACAATAACAAATTTTCATTCCCGGTCCGAATCAGAAGGTTCCGAGTGTCCCCGAGGGATAAAAAAGCGGAATAGAGGAAGTAGGTAATTTGTCGGCGAGGAAATCTAATCGGCTACGTGACCAGACAACCCTCAAAAGGACCGCAGCCCGGTTGTACGGGTCATTTTTCAGGTAGAAAACCGTAGAAAACGGATTTTACACCTTATTTGATAATTTTAGCTTTTTTTATAGAAAAAAATAGTATAAAATCCGCTAATTTAAGCTGCAAACTGCGCCCCGTTCGTTTTTTAAAGTATATAATGTTACAGACGCGTCTAGGAGAGCTTATTTTTGCTTTTTCCTCAAAACTACAAGCTAAAAACTACAAAATCCAACGATTGACGCTACAAACTACAACCTACGCGCTTGTTTTGCGAAGAAGATACGTTAAAAACAATGAAACGGGCCGATGACGAGTTACTTTTAGGGTTTCTTTTTAAACTACAAGCTACAAACTACAAAGTACAACAACTGGCGCTATAAACTACGACGCAAACGCTTTTTACTACTCGTAGATACTTTATAAACTTTTTAACGTTGTGTAAGCAGATTTTTCGATCTACTTTTCGGAATTTCCTTCTCGTGACAAGCGACAAACTACAAATTCAGTAATTTAAGCCACGGCTAAACTCTACTTTACCCCCCCCCAGGCGAGACAGTAGGCCTGGGGGAGAGGGCGCAGGCGAAGAGATAGTAGGCCTGGGGGAGAGGGCGCAGAGAAAAGGGGCGTCTGGGGGGGGTAAAGTAGAGTCTTACCTAAGCCACAAACTACAAAATCTAACAATTCTAGCTACAAACTACAACTTCAGATGGTTTTTAGGAACGTGTAAATATTTTAGAAAGGTTCTATAGGCTTTCAAGAGGATCTACTTTTGCGTTTTCCTGAATGTTCAAGCTGCAAAATACAAAAACTAACAAGCCGACTATAAACTACAATTCAGATGCTATTTCTTGAAGTGGCCTTCATCATTCATAGCTACATCACCGCTTCCGTGGCCCTCCTCGTCAACGGCGCGTTGATGTACGCCGTCTGCACGCGGACACCGCCCGAGCTAAAAGCTTACGGGGCCCTGATTTTTAATATAGGTATCGTTTTCTTATTTCTGAAAGGTTAAAATTTATTTTTAGTGCTCTCCGACTTTCTGGTGGCCCTTTTCAACCTTTGGCTACAGCCGCTGCCGGCCAGCTCGGCGAATGAGGTGGGTTTTTCGAGGATTTTTTTGTAGTTTAGAGTTTCAAAAACGTTTTAAAACGTTATATTACTATTATTACGCGTATATACTTTAGATCTATCGCCCGGAAGGTGATTCCGGGATATCTTACGTGATTATGGGGCCTGTTGTGTATTTTATCCACCCACACACGAATCACGGGCTGACCTGTATTTTTATTGGGTAGGTTTTGAACCATTTTTCTTATGTTCTGTAGGATTTGAATCATCCTTATATCGTAGGTAATATCCAGCACACTTTAAATAGCCTTAATAATCATATTTTATAACTTTAGACTTATCCTCTACTCCGTACTAACCGTCCCGATCTCGTTCGTCGCTCGCTACCTACTCATTTGCCATCCGGAGCTGTGTAGTAAATTTCAGAAAGGGCCGGTAGGTCTAGAAACGTATATTAAAGTATGTAATAGTGTATCTACGATTTAATATTACTTAAATATAGAAAAAATACCTTTAGAGCCACCTAATCAAACCGCTCGTCGGACTGATTCTGCTTATAAATTCAGCCGTTGTCGCTGTTATTATGTATCTGGGGGATATGCCACATGAAGAAACGGCTTATCAGGTGAGGACGACTCCTAAAGAATCTCTGCTAGCCTGCCCTTTCCTAAAAAATCTCTGCTATCCAGCTTTTTCAGCAAGTTGCCCCCATCGTCGATTGGTCAGAATATTATACACACTATGAAGACGATCCAGAACAACCATTATTCGGAAATTTGATCCATTTGGATTTTCATGCAATAATTGCTTCCGCTATTTTTCTATCTAACGTTTTTATATCTTACGTGGTGCTGGTGATCTGTGCTACTTGTATAATTCGGTAAGGTACCCGCTAGAAAGGGCAGGCTAGCAGAGATTCTTTAGGAAAGGGCATGCTAGCAGAGATTCTTTAGGAAAGGGCATGCTAGCAGAGATTCTTTAGGAAAGGGCAGGCTAGCAGGGTTTCTTTAGGAAAGGGCAGGCTAGCAGAGATTCTTTAGGAAAGGGCAGGCTAGCAGAGATTCTTTAGGAAAGGGCTGGCTAGCAGAGATTCTTTAGGAAAGGGCAGGCTAGCAGAGATTCTTTAGGAAAGGGCAGGCTAGCAGAGACTCTTTGGGACATTCAGAATTTCAGAAAATTCCGTGAAATGCAGCACTCGAGCACGATGTCTCCAAAAACCTTGAATATCCAGAAGCGGCTGACCTATTGTCTTATCAGCCAGGCAGGAGGGGTCGAAAATAGCCTTCACCGTTCCTTTAATTCAGTCATTTCTGCCGATATTGTGTGGAGGACTTCCGTTGACGCTCATTTCGGTAACGATCGGGTTCCAGATGTATTCACAGGTTTGTTAGAGATGTTTTCTCTCTCGCGCGCGCTATCTCTCTGCCTGTCTCTGTCTCTCGCTCTCTCTCGCTCTCTATGTTTCTCTCGCTTCATTCGTGCTTTTTTTCAGCTAATCTCTAGTCTTGCTATGGGTGTCCATTCTTACCTCCAAATCGGCACCCCCTTGTTGACCATGTTCTTCATGCCCAGCTACCGTTTTGGGGCACGGTGGGTTTTTTAATGAATTTATATACCTTTTAAAGCCTTATTTAATATTTTTTAAAGTATCCAAATTCGTTAATAAAATTCTACATGGCCTAAAGCTATAAAATCTACCCCTATTTCAGAAAAAACGCTCCGCAGACCCCGCTAAAAAACTGGATGGCTGCCCGGGCACGGCGATTTACGTTGAAAAGTCCGTTGCCTGTGAGACTGAGCAAGGTACTGTAGCTTTAAGGTACTGTAAATTGGGTAATTTTTAGAAAACACAACCAGCTCAGTCGCAAGAATCGGCCAGCTGCACCGAGCAACCAAAAATTGTCCCCAAGATCCGGGCAAAATCGGCCGCCCTCAGCTCGAGGACTCTATAAATAGTTCATTTCCTAAAAAATCTCTGTTAACCTGCCTTTTCCTAAAGAATCTCCGCTAGCCTGCTTTCCCCGAAGAATCTCGGCGATTCGCCCTAAAAAGTCGATTTTCCCCGAATTTCTCACATTTTGATCAGGCTCAATCCACTCTCGTTTCTCTCTCTCTCTCTCTCTCTCTCTCTCTCTCTCTCTCTCTTTCTCGCTCTCTCGCTCTCTCTCTCTCTTCCGAAGCCTCTCTCTCTCTCGATGTGTGGGCGACCGATCAAAATTAGCTGATCCGCCATCAATCACACCTTTTTCTCCACAAAGGTCTACCGTCCTCGCCAAGAAACAAAAATTGTTTTCCGCCCAATTCCGCGCGTGAACGGGCGGACACCTCCCACGCCCCATGAGTGTCAATAGGCGCTTAGCGGAACGCGACAGAGATAGCGCGTTTATTTAGCGAGTATGTTTGGCGGCTATATCTCATCTTCCGGCTGGGTTTTTGATGTTTAGGTCTATCTCAGTTTTTAGCCGTGCTTTTTTAAAGGGATTTGGACGGCACGTGAGAGGGAGAGGGCACCGTCAATAGGAACTTAGCGGAACGAGAGTGGTGTCCCTCTCTCTTCACATCTCTGTCTCTCTCTCTCTCTCTCTCTCTCTCTCTCTCTTCCTCTCTAACTTGCTCTCCCGCTCTCTCTCCCGCACTTCTCTTTATCATCTCCCACACTTCCGCCTACCGTACCCCGCCCGGAATTTGGTCGCGCTTCGGAGCCAGAGGTGTCTAGCAAAGGAAAACTGTTTGCCGCCCCCATCCTCCACGAAAATGATGGATATCCGCTAGTCCGGGTGGGCGTGTCGGGGATGAGCCTGTAATAAGCGGGATTTTCATCACATTTTGGACCTCGAGACGTGGGAGGAGGAAGCTGAACTTTGAGATCAAGACGTCAAGAGGCTAAGAAATTGAGTTACTGGGTCTCTCTCTCGCTCTCTCGCTTTCTCTCTTTCTCTCTCTCTCTCTCTCTCTCTCTCTCTCTCTTCCTCTCTCCTGCTGTTCCGACTCTGTAGTTTGTGGTCCTTCTGCCCCTTGAAACTCACGCCAATCACGTACCCATCCGATCGTTCCATCTTCCAGAGATTTTGCAAAGACGTGGGGAGACCGAAAAATGGCTGATGCTCCTCGGTCCTGCTGACCGGGTGGAGCCATTTTGAACGATCATCCCCCAGATGGGCGATATCTTGTCCGTTTTTGGGGATGTCATGGACATTTTGGGCTGCAGTTTCTGGTGATTGGTTGGGGGAGGTTAGCAGAGATTCTTTAGGAAAGGGCAGGCTAGCAGAGATTCTTTAGGAAAGGGCAGGCTAGCAGAGATTCTTTAGGAAAGGGCAGGCTAGCAGAGATTCTTTAGGAAAGGGCAGGCTAGCAGAGATTCTTTAGGAAGGGCAGGCTAGCAGAGATTCTTTAGGAAAGGGCAGGCTAGCAGAGATTCTTTAGGAAAGGGCAGGCTAGCAGAGATTCTTTAGGAAAGGGCAGGCTAGCAGAGATTCTTTAGGAAAGGGCAGGCTAGCAGAGATTCTTTAGGAAAGGGCAGGCTAGCAGAGATTCTTTGGGAAATGACCGTTTTCGGCTACAAACTACAACCCATGGTCTCATGGAGGTCCCACAGCTGGTCATGCTATCTTGTATAGACATCTCAAGATTTGGCTTAGCGATACCTCTTTGCCGTTTTTTTGTGTTTTGTCCGGCTAGAGAGAGAGAGACAGAGAGAGAGAGAGGGAGACAGCCACAGACATATCGTCACGCGACCATTCACCCCGACCAAAAAGTCGCGACGCTGATGATGATTTTTCCCTGACATCACCTCCTTCCACAACACACCCCGCACCCACTACGCCACTGTCCTCCAAACGTAGTTAGCGAAATGCGCGCGTTGTTGCTTTTGTTTTGCTTATTTTTAGCCCTGGATTTTTGGGGGTATAAAGGGCGGGGGAATCCCTGGAGGGATCTGAACTTGTCGAACATGTCGATACCCGCGCTTTGAAAGATTAAAGGGGGGAGGTGGCTCTCCCCCCCCCCCCCCCCCCCCCCCCCTCCCCCTCCCCCCCCCCTAAAATTCCGCCCCACTCCACCTTACGTCCTACCGTATCACCCGCCTCATCAATCATTTCGTTGTTTTTGGCGGGCGAATTGGCACCGGAAACCGATTGTGACGTTTTCAATCACTGGATTATTGTTTTTAGCTGTCTGTTTTAATAAAGAATCTCTGCTAGCCTGCCCTTTCCGAATGAATCTCTGCTGGCTACTCTTTGCTGTATTTTGATTCGTCACTCCGCTTTGCTACGTCTACAGTCCGCCAAAAATCGTGAAATGTCGAAATCGTACCCGCACCCCCGGCAGCCCAGCAGTTTTTCCTGGTCAATGCTGTGCTTTTGACGTTGAAGCTGAGAGGACAAAGACGGGGGAGAGAGAGAGAGAGAGAGAGAGAGAGAGAGAGAGCACAAGACGAACTGTCCGCCCACCACCTCCAGCTAGCATTTAGCAGCAGCTCCTGGCTAGTTAGTGGTGGTTGAGCACCAAAATTCGGCTTCCTCTAGTTGAGTCATGCCGATCTTTGCTGGTCCTATCCCTTTAAAACCCGTATAAGAGGCTGAAAAACAGAATAAGCGGGTTTCTCTGTCTCTCTCTCACTCTCTCGCTCTCTCTCTCTCTCCGCCCCTAATTTGCATACGGGTTCCAAAAGCACTGCAGCGAGCCCACCTAAGAAAAATCCGGCTTATCACCCCCGCCAATCTCGAGCGTCTGACATCATTTTGGCGAGCCTTGGGCGAGATTGTCTAAACTACAGTATCCACTCGTCCACTTTTTAAAATTCCTGATTCCGCTTGAATACAAGATTCCGATTTCTTGGTCAGCATTTCAGGCTTTTCCGGCCTTTCCGGCGCCCACCTTTCGGTTTCGTGACGTCAAGAGGGTTGGTGGGGGACCGGAATAAATTTCTGGGGCTTGGCTATAAAGGGAAAAGCCGCGGATTTTGGATATTTTTATACTTTGAAAAGATTTTTTAGTATAGTTTTTGAGATACCTAATCAATGGTTACTTAAAAATTAACTTAGTCCGCTAAAAAAACTGTTTAAAGCCAATTTTTTACGTCAAAAATTAATTTTCATCAAATTCAACACCAAATTAAATGTGAGAAAACTTGTTTAAAATGGCTTTATACCTATTCATTGAGGTTTTATGATGTTTTACGAATGATTTGGAACGTTTTTTAGCGTTATAAAACTGCAAAAACATGTTTTTAGGTAGTTTCAAGCTGTTTCTCTCTAGAAAGGACGTTACAGTACACATTCGTACTCCCTGAATCATTCTATAACTAATTTATATTATTTCCGATGCACTACTACTTTACTATAGGCGTATATTTGTGTAAATGATTGACCATAGGTGCATAAGTACGTTTTTGTGCCCTCAGGTCATTTGTTTCGATTGCCTGGGGCGTGCAGATCTGATTTCTGATCTGATCTCACCCGCGCTACGACCACCAACTATCCACCAAAATTCCATAAAACGTTTTGGGGAGAGGTCAAGGTCCGAGAGAGCCACGTCTAGAGGGTCTAGACGGGTCTAGAAGACGCTATTAGCTTATAAATACCTGTGTTTTCGTCATTTGACCATATTCCAAGCCTAAGCCTAAGCCAAGCCTAAGCTAAGCATAAGCTAAGCCTCACCCTACGCTAAGCCAAGCCTAAACCAAGCCTAAGCCAAGCCTAAGCCAAGCTAAGCCTAAGCTAAGCCCAAACCTAAGTCTAAGCTAAGCCGAAGCCTAAGCCCAGCCTAAGCCCAAGCCTTTCCAAATACCCGAAAAACCGTACCACCAAAGCCCTCACACTTAACACCGGAAACCAGCTTTCTCTGGAGTGGATCGGCCAACTCATCAGCCAGCCTTGTATTGCCTGCCCATAGCCACCCCTGTATTTGCACAAGTTCCACGGTTCCGGTTCTTTCCAAGTGCCGTTCGAGCTGTTTGACAGTGATTTTGGGGTCCGAGATCGTATGGGGTTCCTGAGGAATCTCTGCTAGCCTACCTTCCCTCAGAATGGCTGCTAGCCTGCTTGTCCTAAAGAAACTCTGCTAGTCTGCTCGTCCTAAAGAATCTCTGCTAGCCTGCCCTTTCCTAAAGAATCTCTGCTAGCCTGCCTTTTCCTAAAGAATCTCTGCTAGCCTGACCTTTCCTAAAGAATCTCTGCTAGCCTGCCTCTAATCAAAAATCTCTCTGGGGTCACGATTCCTCCTTCCCATACCGCAGGCGATTATTTCAGGGGCCGGTTTATTGACCCGGCAAATAATCGGAAGATGCGGGTCCCCACCACCGAATTATCGGAATCTGATTCGGAACAACCGGAATTTCGGTGCCGATCGGAAATAACTGGTTGACAAGGGGCTGGAAATCAGACCCCCGATTTTGCTCATAAATTACCTCGGCTATTGGGTGCTAGGCGTTTAATGAATTTTCTGGATTCTTTCGGAAATGGAGGCTAGCAGAGATTCTTTAGGAAAGAAAACTAGCAGAGATTCTTTAGGAAAGGGCTGGCTAGTAGCCATTCTGGGGGGAAGGCATACTAGCAGAGGATCTTTAGGAACGGCTAGCAGACATTTTTAGCCCATCATCATTTCCGGCGCGCTGCCTAAATTGTGACTCACTGGGAAACACCCCTCCCCGCCACGCCTAAAAGAACCAAAAACGCCCACCGTACCCCCGGAAAATCTCTCTAATTCTTGAGACACTAATCATATCACCTGGTTTTCCGGATCTTGGGTCTAATTTTGGCCCCGCCTCGTGATTTCTGGGCTTTTCTGGCCGTTCTTGGGTTCAAATTGTCATAGAAAGGTTTTGTTTGCTTAGTTTTTGTAGATTTTCATCAATTTTTGAGTATATTTTTACCTTCTACCTTATTTAAACTTTATTATAGTCTTTAATAGCTTGTGAATAGTATAGCGAAATGTTTTGGAACAAAAAAAAACTAATTTTTTGGTTCTTATTCACCATTTTTGAGCGCTCTCTGCTCGGCGACACTATAAAAATATTTAGATATTGTCATTTTGTAGGAATTCTTCAGTTTTCTTGTTTTATATATCTTTTTCTCCCTTCCTTGTATAGTTTTAAGCCTTTAAAAACGATTTTTCCAGAAACTACCACATCCACAATGGCCTTCCAATTCATCCGCAAGCTATCCATGCGCAAAAAGTCGCACGTCGTGCACGAGGTAACCTTTTTAACGTTGTAATTCTATATTTTATAATTTTCTATAATTCTAAGAGTTTTATATAACTGTAAAAGTACTGTGAAAAGCTAAAAATTATAAATTTCAGCACAAAAAATGCTCCGCCGCCAGTTCGACTTCATCACTCGCCTCGCAAAGCTCCGAAAAACTCACCGCCGAACTCGCGAATCTGGTCGTTGATCAGCTGTCCGTTTTCGCAAAGTTGCGGTTGAAACGAATTAGCCGTGATGTTCATCATTTGGTTGATCAGGTGAGAGAGAGAGAGAGCGAGAGAGAGAGAGGGAGCGAGAGAGAGCGTGTGAGAGAGAGAGCGAGTGAGAGAAAGAGATATTAGAAAAATTAAATAGTATCGAGAATACTTCAAATAGTATTTTTCAAGCCATTTTAATCGTTTTTAAGCCAAAAACTCTTATTAAAAAGCTATAATCGATACCTTTACAAACCTTCCAAAAACGCTAAAAACTAATTGCTCCGTAATTACGGTTGAGCGTGCATAGGAGCGCCGCGTAGCAGCAGTTTCAACCCGATTCAAGGGTTTTCAAGACAACTTTAATGGATTTTTCCATAAATCCGATTCAAGGGTTTTCAAGACAACTTTAATGGATTTTTCGATAAA